GTACGTGCGCACGCTGAACTTCCTCAAATTCTAATTCGGCCTATTGGCCTACTTTGTGACGGAAGTAGCGGCTAACTCGGTAAATCTCGCGCGGATACATTGACTGGCGGGGGATTGAAACGAACGACTATTCCGTCCGCGGCTGACTCGCGTTTCCAAACAACCTGAGAAGCGAGATCGCGCTTCGGAGTATTCTTCCCGGTATTCCTGCAACGCGTTCTTGATCCCGACGATCTGTCTGAGCCGGGACTTTGACGTCGCCGCGCCGACGCGGCGCGGCGGAATCGGGAGCGTGAGCTCACGCTTTCGCGACACACTCCGCGGCCGCGATGATACAAAATTAGATTCGGGAAACGCCCGACGGGAAATTAATGGGCGCCCGGAGGGGACACGGGCGACTGGCCGCGCACATTGCGAGTTCGCGGGAACGATTCCGTCGCGGGGAAATCAGCGCGTCGTCGTTGAAGAGAGGAATTATGACATCGCGCGTCCAGCACGTCGGGATCGCGCGACATCCCGATTCCGACGCGCGCGTGAGTACGTTCCGTCAGCCACGTCAGCGCGGTAACCGAACGTCGTGAAAACTCGATCGGCTCGAGCCGATCGACCGAGGGATTTCTGTCGCGAGGCTCCGCCATAATTCATTAGAGGATCGGCTAGTTTCGGTAAATATTTAGAAAAGGGTACACCTCAGCGATTTTTTTTTCATTTTCAAATATGTTACAAAGGATGAAATTCTGAGTGACTTTCCCTAATACAATTATATGGAGGTCGCTTATAGTTTCTGAGATGTTTGATTAAAAAATTTTATAATTGTACGTTGAAGTAATACTTGAAGTAGAGGTAAATATATAGAAAGGGGTACACCTCACCGGTTCTTTTCATTTTCAAATATGTTATAAAGGATGAAATTCTGAGTGACTTCTTGATGCAACTACCGTATATGGGAGTCGCTTGTAATTTCCGAGATATTTGATTTTAAAGTTTTGGAATTTTGATTATCCTGGAATTAAATTCCAGATATCATAAGCCGACGTTATTTACAGTACAATTCAAACAATTAATCCAAACACAATGTATAGAAATATAGGAAACAGTACATTTAAGCGGAAGAGGAGTCCGCCCCTCCCCCGCACCCCCTCCCCAAAAAGACCCTAACCTAACCTAACTTAGTGCATATTTATATATTGCCGGGCGATGTTGAAAAGATCTCCTTAAAAGCCACAACACCTAATTATATGCAGATATTATAATAAGTCTAAGTTGATAGATCTAAGTAGATAGATAGAATAAGCCAGGTGATAGATCTTAGGAGAACTTTTTTTCAACAATGTCCAAAAATATATAAAGATGCAATAAGTTAGGTTAAGTTAGGACTTGTTTGGGGGGGGAGGGGGCGCGGGGGAGAGGCGGAGCCCCTCTCCGGCTTATATGTACTGATTCCTATATTTGAAGTGAATGAAAACTGCTTGTCTACTTCAAATACACTTCAACGTACAATTATAAAACTTTTGAGTCAAATATCTCAGAAACTACAAGCGACCCCCATATAATTGTATTAGGAAAAGTCACTCAGAATTTCATCCTTTGTAACATATTTCAAACTGAAAAAAGAATTGGTCAGATGCACCCTTTTCTATATATTTACCCTAATTTTATTAGCCGCATGTATGCATGTCGACAACGCGATTATCGGACATCGTCGTGTCAGGTCGATCGCTGCTGACGCGCTGCGGCACTGAGGATCCGTCGACGGACCGAAGGCGTCCCGCCTCTCGCGACGATCTCTTCGAGGTGACCTCGAGTGCGAATCCGCGGTCGTCGGAAGACGCCGTGGATTCGCGCTGAATTCGAACGCCGATGTGAACCGGGCCGAGAGCGACTTCATCCGGGATTAATGCGAAATCGGTGCTTGGAGATATCGCGGAGGAAGAAGACGCTCATCGTCACTCCGTTTGTTCCCACAGGCGCTGCCAAACAGCCGGAAGAGCTTTACGAGCGCTCCCGTCTCGCTTTGCATCGCCTGCAAATGGACGCGAGAAGAATAAAACGAGCCTACCGAAGCGCTCCCTCGAGAGTCGCGTGCTCCGACGACGACGACGACGACGACGACGACGACGACGACGACGACGACGCCGCTGTAACGTAGGCCTCTTTTATCTCTTGAATCAGACGGTCTTGAGCGCTTCTCACTTCGGCGAACGTTACTCGCAAACTGCCGAGTGGAAAGGCGTATTGCGAACAGACTGACGTGTTTAATACAAAGAGAAGAGAGAGAGAGAGTTATATCGAAATGAACTCTCTCGTTATTCGTCTTATTCACTTCAAATCGTACTTGTACAAAGTGACCACGACGAAATTTCCTCCCGAAATTTCCTCATTTATCCTATTCGAACATTAATGTTCCTCTTTCTTTTTGCACCTAATGGTGGCCCTCCTTTCTTCCCATCCACTCTCTCTCTCTCTCTCTCTCTCTCTCTCTCGCTCCCTTTTTCTTCCTGCCGTTAAATATTCCTCATTTACGCACTCCCTTCGCGAGAACGATAAATCGTCCGATGCGTGTGGGCGTTTCGCAGGGCGTCTCGCACGTTACGCGGATATTTATTTCGCTCCCTAAGATGTACGCTATACGTGTCTACGAGGAACCTTAATTAACACGGTCATTCCTCACGCGGCACAGGCAGGCACGGGGAACCGCGCACGTAACACACGTCCGTTCTGTCAGGAGGCGCGGCGGTGGCGGCGGGTGGCGATGGTGGTGGCGATGGTGGTGGTGGTGGTGGTGGTGACGGCAGCGGCGGCGGCGGCGGCGGCAGCAGGGTATCCATCGACATCGAGAGCCCGGGCGTGCCCGGCTAAAATTCCTAGAGCATACGGTAATAATAGGACGGTCGACGTTCACGTCCGCGCGCATTGTTTACGCGACAGCATGATTCACGCTTGGATTTCCAGTAATTAATGCGACGTCCCCGTAGCTGCAAAAGCACTGCGTCGCGAGACGCATGCACCGAATGCCTGCGCTGTGTTTCGCACCCCGGGGACGCGACGAGCCCTCGAACCGTATTAACCGGCGCGAAATCTTCGCGGAAACGCCACGTGACGTGATACGCAACGTAACGTAACGTTGTTATTTGACGTCGATGTAACACAACTCTCTCTCTCTCTCTCTCTCCCCCCCTCTCTCGGTCGTTTTCGCGAGAGTTCAAAGTGAACTCGCGCTTTTACGCTTCTCTTTCGTGGACTTTCTCGGGACAGAGAGCTGCCAGGGGACTCTGCTTGGAGTAGAGGAAGCTTACGAGAAAGCCATAACGATCTCTGAAACTTTTATCGGGCGGCTAATTCTTCGGCATTACGTCGGGTCTCTCGTCGACTGTTACCAACAGAGAGAGAGAGAGAGAGAGAGAGGGGGGGGAGGGGAAGGAAAGAAAGAAGACACGACACGACCTCTCTTCGGTTATTTAAAGAATTCGCTCGCTCGTCGGAAGCGGAGGAGGGAAGATCTCCGTGGAAGAGTACCGCGAGTCGCACACACGATCCTCGAAAAATAGGAAACTTTACAACAGACACGAGGTATCCGCATTCTACGTGCGCTTACCACGCAAGAATAAGCTCGTTTGCTCGAATTCGCGCGATTTGAATTCCGCGGAAAGCGGAGAGGAACGCGGGAGATCTCTCCCGCGTATCTCTCACGCGATTGTCCACGCGAATGGGGTCGAGTCACGCTACAGCTCGCTTCGCTAGCCACCTGGCTAGCTAGAACGCTACCGGAGTGCGAGAGTCTTCGGCGGAAGATAGCGTTCGAGAGGACGGTCGAATTTTGCCGTCTTCGTGTACCGCGCGAGGCCGGTTGTCCCTGTCGCCGACGCGTCTTATCTCGGGACACGCTGACAACGAGCGATTGTCTTGGAAACGACTGTCTCCAAGGACACGTCGTCGTTACTCGATACAAGCCGACGAACGTTATTGACATAATCCGACATCTCCCTTCATGAGACGATGATTATACGTGCGTCGGCAGCGACTGCATCGAATCGCGGATCCTCGAGGAACAAGGAAGAGATCCGCCGAAACAAGGCGGAATATAGGCTTTTGAAGGGTCTATCGACTTTGCGGTCGCCCCGTGTAATCGGATAGAAATATCTCGGTAGAATGTAATTCATCAAATGCTCCCCGAGAAAAGACGTCGGAACTAAGTTTCAAAGTAATCCTCTTGACTTTTATCACGGCGAAGAGAGAGAGAGAGAGAGAGAGAGAGAGAGAGAGAGAGAGAGAGAGAGAGAAAGAGAGAGAGAGCCAAACATCTTCCAATCAGCGGTCGTGCGGAATTCGCAGCTTGAAAACTCACATTCCGAGAGCGCAATCACAACTGGAGGATCAACGAGCCCGCGTGAATTATTTAAGTAGGTTTACGCAGGGTTTTTCGCAGGGCAACGTAGGATTCGCAGGGAGCGATCGACCAGCCGAGAGATCGCGTGAAAAGCGCGCGCGCGTCTCTCTGACAGCGGGAGAACTTTACATACGTACACTTTTTCCATCTGAAGCTGAAGGACGAAAAGAGCCGCTTTGTTTTTCCTCGCCAATGATTCGCCACGGTTTCCGACGCTCGCTGAGAGACATTCGCGTTTGCCTCGAATGTCCGTGTAATCAATAAACGAAAAGCCGATCACGTTGCGTTCCTATTCTCCGCGGAGAAACGCGACGTCCGCGAGAGTTCCATCCACTGGAGGAATGACACGAGTGCGTGAGCAATCGAATGAGCCTCGAGAAATCCGCCAAATATCACCCGCGGTCGCCATTCTCAAGTTCACCGAGTCCCCGACAAACGCTTGCCTGGCAAACGCTCGATCTCGCGCGATTTCACTCCTGCGTCCAGAACGACAATTCTCGATCTCTCCATCAGCGGGAGCGAAAGGACCGCTACGGTCTCTCTCGCGCGCAGCCTCCTCGCAGTCCTGCCGGGGTCGAAGGACCTCGCGATACGATCTCGCTGGATTTTTTACCTCAACAAAAGCGAGCACGAGCCGGTAGCCTCGAAGGATGGGGAAACGGTAGTTGGACGATCCTGCTGCTGGCTGCCTCGAGGGAAGCTCGTCGCCCGGGTGGCATGGCTCCCACCTCTTCACTCCGATCCTCCCGGCCGCTGTTGCCCCGGCGAAGGATGTTCTCTCCGTTCGTCACTAATCCCGGTTAACTGTATCGTCGCTGATCGTTCGGCGACTCGCACCTCGAGCCCGCGGCCGCTGATCGGACCGCGACGTCGCTCCCTTGCGCGGTAGCCGCGCACCCCGCGCCAGCACCGTTCGCCAGCGATACGCGAATATGTCGTTAGCACCTCGCGCGCACCAGCAGGTTAGGCCGTGTCCTTCCAGAAAGACATCTCGCCGGTTGTCGTCGCACCACGTCGCGTCGCGGCGGCTCTCATCGAAGACGCGGACGCCGTGCGGTTCGTTCGATCGTCGACTTCACGAAGAGAAGACCGAGGAAGAGGAAGAGTGGCAAAGAGAGAGAGAGAGAGAGAGAGATAGGGATAGGGGGAGAGAGAGAGAGAGAGAGAGAGAGAGAGAAGGGGGAAGAAAGAGAGAGAGAGGGAGAGAGAGGGTGGAAGGTCCGCGACGTTGGCAGGACGCGCGATGGAACACCACGGAGCAGGGAGGATCTCGAATCGGAAGAGACGCAACAGGGACTACGAGAACGAGCGACGAAAAGGAGGACGACGGCAATGTCGACCACTGCGACGACGGCGACGACGACGACGACGACGACGACGACGACGACGGCGGCGGCGGCGGCGGCGGCGGCGGCGGCGGCGGCGGCGGCGGCGGCGGTGGCGGCGGCGGCGGCGGTGGCGGCAACGGCGGTGACGACGGCGACGGCGACGACGACGACGACGACGACGACGACGATGCCGTGCGGAGTGTCCGTACGACTGGCGACGAGATCAGAGACGGAAAAAGGAGAACACGGAGACCTGGGCACAGGACACGATGGCCCGGCCACTGCGCCGGCACTGAGGCTACGCCGCAGCCTCGGCCTCCTGATACTCCCTCTTCCTCGCTCTCTCCTCCCGTCCCGCTTTCGTATCCAGCCGTCTCTCTCTGGCTTTCCGTCTCTGTAATGCTCTTCCACCCCGCCGCGGACCACCCTCCCCCTTCCGTCGTCCCTCTTCTCGCCGCTGCTCTCGCGCTCGCGCTCTCCCGTTCACCCGCCTCGCGTCTCTTCGTGGTCGAGGAATTTTGAAAACCCTCCGGGCGTATGTTTTAGGTCCTTCCACCTCCTTCCCTTTCTGCTTGTCTCTCTCTCTCTCTCTCTCTCTCTCTCTCTCTCTCTCTCTCTCTCTCTCTCTCTCTCTCTCTCTCTCTCTCTCTCTCTCTCTCTCTCTCTCTCTCTCTCTCCTCTCTCTCTCTCTCTCTCTCTCTCTCTCTCTCTCTCTCTCTCTCTCTCTCTCTCTCTCTCTCTCTCTCTCTCTCTCTCTCTCTCCCTCTCTCCCTCTCTCTGTCTCGCCATCCGTGATACATGTATACATCTCTCTTTCGAAGTTTAAATGCAGTCTACCGTAGTTTTCGGAAATTCACCTTCCGTCTCCGTTCCGCCGTCGGCTTTTCGCCGTTTCCGCTGCCGTCACCACGTGAATTTCTCTCTTTCTATTTCAAGTCATCCCGCTCCCCTCCATTCCGCCGTCTCTAATTTGCCCGCGTTTCCCTCCACCTCCCTCTCTCTCTCTGTCTCTCTCTCTCTCTCTCTCTGTCTCTCTCTCTCTCCCCCTGTCGCTCGCTTTCTGTGTCTTCCCCTTCTCTCTTATCCCGCACCCCCGTTCTTCGTCTTTCCTCCTCTCTGTCGTTTCTCTGAAACTCTCTTTCGTCTCTTCAGCGCCACCGTTTCCGCGTCTACCATCTCTCATCCTCCCTCCCTCTCCCTCTCCCTCCCTCCCTCCCTCCCTCCAGCTCGCTCCTGCTTCCACTCTTGTTTCAAAATTTTCGCTCGCGCTTTCCCTCGGTTGCTATCCACGTCACTTTCCAGCCGCTACTGCCCTCTCCCTCTTTCCTACCCGCATCGTTCACCCCCTTTTCTCTCGTCGGATCTCTTGAATACCGCTACCTTTCCTTCCATCCAATACATCTTCTCCCTCGCAGCTTTCCCCGCTTTCTATCTCTTTCTCCCTCTCTCTTTTGTCTGCTTTTCGTACATCCTTCCCCAACTCGCGCTTCATCCCATCATTCCTCCCTTCACGGCTTCTGTCTCTCTCTCTCTCTCTCTCTCTCTCTCTCTCTCTCTCTCTCTCTCTCTCTCTCTCTCTCTCTCTCTCTACTACCCCTACTACCGACTGCTACGAGCTATACGTGATTCCACCTCTCCCTTCAGGATCTTTCATCCCTTTCCCATCCATCTCTCCGCGCCCCGACTTTCGTCCCTCTCGTTCGCCCTCGCTCACCCTCCGCCAACCTCCCCGGTTCCTCCGTCAGCGTAACGCCGCGATCTCGCGTTCTTTGTATCTCCCGCGTCCCACCGCGAAAGTCAATCCTGTATCGTCGGAGGGCGCATCTTCCCGCGAGCCGTCACCGCGATGGAAAAAACCGAGTTCGGGAGCCTCGCGACACGTCGCTGGATGGAATAAAATACTGGCGGGCCGGACGCTCTCATGTGGTTTCCGGACGGCGCTGCGCCGCTCTCGCGGGCGAATGATGAATGCTCGTGACGATTTACGACACGCTGCGAAGAAATGCGCTCACATGGGGCGCGCGACGCGCGCGCCGCGCAGGGTCGTACTTTCATACGGTTATTAGATTATCGTAATAACACGATTGCACTCTCAAACACAGGCGCGTGCGCGCGCGCGCCATCGACCAAGGTAATTAACGAAGAAATAATCTTCCGTAATTACAGCTAGCCGGCGCGCGGGCGAAGAACTCGCGTAATTAGCGTCGCCCTTGCGAGTAATATCGGGAAGCGTATTTTCGCGCGGCTCTTCGACGAATTAATTAAACGCCGCTGACCGCCGAGAGCGGGCCAAACTTTTCTTTGTTCTCTTTTCCTTTTTTTTTCCCCCCTTTTCCTTTCCGCCTAACCGCCACCGACCGAGGATCGTTCTGCGAGAATCGCCGTGTTCTCTCTCTCTCTCTCTCTCTCTCTCTCTCTCTCTCTCTTTTTGTCTCTTTTGAAAATCAGTTGGACAACATCGACAATGCCTCGCCGTCCGCGGCACCCTCGAACGCGAAACGAGGCGAGGTCGAGGAAGGCTACCGATCGGGATCTCGCGATGTCGTACACAGTCGGAGATGGCCTCGTTTGCAGCCAGATGCTGCTTGATTCTGAGTCTCGTTCGACCGCGTCGCTGATGAAAAGTTTCAACTTGGGAGAGTACCCGGCTGAAAAAGGAGCGGCAAGAGCAAACGGAGCGAAGGGAATTAAGAGTGCGCGAGATACTTAATCGATCTTCGACCGCGCTTTAATATCGCCGGAGAGCACACTCGCCCGCGCTTTCCCCGCTGTCGCGCGGTCCGGCTTGATCGTCATCTCGGACAAAACGGCTTTTAAGGGATTTACGGGGGTGGCTATCTTGTGGCTATCACGGATCCGCGCGGCTCTTTCCTTCCTGCCCCCGTCGCCCTTTTCTTCCCTTTCTTTCTCTACCTCTATCTTGCCTCCTCTCTTTTTATTCCCTCCCTGAAGCCAGAAAGTGTTGCACCGAGGTAAACGTACACGGATAACGAAAACGGGATTGAGTTCGCCGCGCTTATTTAGCCGCAGAATGGGCGGAGGGGATTTTTGCAAAAAGCCGCGCGCTCGTCGCCCTCGTCGCTCGAGCGAACGCTCGGAACGGTTTGATCGAGAACGTTCCCGACGTCGCGGAGGCACGCAGAAGTGCTCAAACGAAACTTGCACCGGAGATGTGAAATAGCTCATTCAACTTTAATCTCCAGCGAGAAATCATTCTCGCCCCCCCCCCCCCCCGCGAATGGAGAGAGCCGAACCTCGCGACATTGGAAACCGCAGAGGAGACCTCCGCCATTGTTGCTCGCGCGGAAACGGATAACGGGCCGTCATCGAAGTACTCAGGTGAGAGCGAGCTCGCTCTCGTCGGACGCGCTCGCGCGCGTCTCGCAACGTCTCGCGGCGTCGTAAAGCGAGCTTCCACTCCCCGCCGCCACGTCCCGTCCTCGTTGTTGTTTTACGCCTATCCTACTTCCGGGAACGCGCGCGCACAGCGCGTAAATGTCGCCGGCTCGCCCCGTAAATATCATTCGTAGAGAGCGACGAAAATAATCCCTCACGCCGTCATGAGCCGCGCTGCCACGCGAACGGCTCATAAAGCGCGCTCTCTTCTCTCGGACCTTGCGCTCGCGTTTCCCGCTCGGCCGAATAATCTCTCTCAGGAGGCGCGCGAGTGTGAGAGAGTACCCAGCAGCGGACACCGACGCGCGCGGTGTGTCAGCGGGTGCTTAACGCAAGGCGCTCGCGAAGACGATATATCCGATATAGCGATAGGGTCGAGAGCACGCGAGAACGTTATTACGGCGATAGGCCGTAATGCAGGGCGGACGAAAATAGTAAGTGCATGCAGGTTTCGGACGTCAGCGGCGGCATGCAGGACTCGGGCAGGGTATCACGTGTTAACTCGTGGTACCAGCCAAGGTCGATCTCGAAGCCGAGGCCGGGCACAATCCGAGTCGGTACTTCCCTTCGTGGTCACGCAAAATGAAAAGCCACCTCTGTGGCTTCTAACCTTATATTCACAGGATATCGATCGACCGGGACAAGAAACATTGCATGCGCGTCCTTGACTCCGAAAACCTTTCCGTTTCCGGGGCCAAGGTCGCCAGGTGAGGAGAGTGATTAATCGTCCGGGGGAGCCTCCCTCGCGCGCGCGCGCGCGCTCGCGACCTCAAGGACCTCAAGGACCCTCGCCGATTCTTGCGAGACCGCCGTTTGATCGCCGCGCCGGATAAGTTCACGGCGATCAGTTTGCACGTAGCGCGTTTGCCGCGCCGAGCCTCTTTCCTCCTCGCCAATTCTGCCGGCCTCTTGGCGCCTCGAGGTCGTCGATGCGTTCGAACGGACGGCGACGTGATGCCGGGGCGACGAGAGGCGAGGGTCGATGCGTTCGTGCGGACGAAAGGGGGCCGTTGCGTTTCCCAAAGGGGGACACCTTTTGGAAATAATTTCGCAGGATCTCCTCGTTTCTCCCGTTTATTACGTTTATTAACCTAACGTGCCACGACTCTCTCCGTGCGGACTCGCGGACGGGCAAACTAGGATCCTGGGACGACGGCGAACAGAGACGGTGCTCTTGCCGTGTCGTGTTGCATTATTCCCGGCGCCATTTGTTCCGGCCGAATAAAGAGCTTTCCGTTCCCGCCGGCTGCAGTCGCAAAAACCGAATCGGCCGCTCTTGGCAACTCTGCCGCGCCGTCGGGCTCGTCCCTGCACGATAAATTCGAGAATAACGTCGGCCGTACAAAGGGCAATAACGAGCTTTCGAGAGGCCACACAGGCGGAAATTCGTCTCGCGGGCTCGCGATCGAAGTGCAGTTTCGATTTGCGCGAATTCGAAGTAGATCCGGAGCGGATGCGCGCGGCCGTACGTTGACGGGGACGACCAGAGGGCGAGGAAAAGTGGGAGCGAAAGAGGGTGAGGGAGGGAGGGAGGGAGGAAGATAATTCACCCTCTCTCGCGCGCGCCGATGACGTTTCGAGCGGAGGTAGATGGGTCGATTATGCGACGATCGACGCGCTGGGAGTCTCTGCGAAAATTTCGATTGCCTCGGGGACGTCGGACGTATTCCGGCGGAGTTTCGCCGCGGCTGCGACGAAAATGAAGCGCAGCGGCACGTTAAATCGAGTCGCGCAACACGCTACGTACAACCGCGCGCTGCTCCGGCTGATTAAGACGCGAGATTGACGTTAGAGCCGATTTGTACTTTCGTGCGCGTTGAACAATCACGGGGGGGACAGGGTTGCACGCAAAGGCGTGACGTAAGCCACGCCGAGTCTGAGAATTTCGGCAGGAACGGAGATCCCTCGGCGGTCGGCGCGCCGCGCAGACAATAGCCTTCACGCTGAAGTGACTCTCTCTCGGCGGTGCTGCTGAGAGCGACGCGACGTGGACGAGGACGTCCACGTTTCGCTAAACGCGAAACAACAACGAGCAAGCCGCGTCTCGCCGTTGTCTCGTTCTTCGAACGACTCTGACACTTCCGCATGACAATTGGCTTTTTTCTCGCAAAAATTCCGCGGCACTCGCTGCTGCTGCTGCTGATGTGAAGGTAGAAATGAATTTCCCCTCCGGCCCCACCGCGCCCGGCTCTCTCCCGCTCTCTTGCTGGCTACAGAGGTTTATTCCAGGAGCGCGCTAACGCGGTGCTTTCATGGCGACAGGACTCTTCAATAGCGAGACGAACGCGCTCGACAGGATCGTTCCTTCTACTTTGAACGATCGGTGAACAATAAATATTAGTATCGCGTGCGATAGAAAAAGTAATAATCCAAGTAATAATCCACTTGCACAAAATGTTAAGACTATTCCCGGTCGCTGCATGTTTCGCTGCAAGGACTCGCTTCGTCCTTCTCTCGTCCTTTCATATATTCCTGTTTCACATCCACCCCTCTCTGCATTCTCTCTTTCGCACAAGACGATTTCAGATAAGTGGAGAATTATTTCGCCCGCGAGCAAGCCAGGCGGATCAGGCGGAGGAGCGATTATTACTCGTCCAATTTCGTTCACTAGATATAACAGGCACAAAGTGAAGTTATTTGCGAGATATCGAATGAGACCGCCGCTTCTCCAAGTTCGACTTCCCGTTCGCAAGTCCGGCCGCTTCTCCGGAAACTTTCGAAGTCGAAGGGAGAAGAAGAAGGCTTGCGTCTCATTAGTCAGGCAGATGTACTCGCGCTTCATTTGTCCCGCGGCCGAAGATCGCTATCGGCGTCGCCGATAGCATTTGCGGACGATGAAAAGCGTGGGCGGATCGGCGCGCGCGCGCGCAGCGCATTGTTGTTGTTCGCCGAGAAGCAGCGACAATGGGCCGGCCCTCGCCGCGATCCCGGCGGTACCGGCGCAGATTCCTCCAGCGCGGGAAATAGGCCGCTTTCCCTTTGTTTCGCAGCCCTCAAGGATAGGAAACTGCGGCCGGGTAGTCGGCGTAGTCTCCGCTCCTTGTGGGCTCGCGGCAATTCAGTCTTCGAGTCTTTCAGCGCGACGGGGAGTCTTCTCCACGAGGCGACGGGATCGATTTTCGTGAAAATTCCTACACTAACGCGGCGCTTTGTCTACATTCCGCCACGCGATCCTACGTTCTCTCTCCCTCTGTGTGTGTGTGTATGTGTGTGTGTGTTTGTGTGTGTGTGTGTGTGTCGCCAGCGAGCGTAAAAATGAAAACAGAAGCTTAATCGTCGTCTCGATGAAGCGCGACTTTTTCCGATCATCCCCATTGTGTGATGAACCGCTCGAGGTGAACGTAAAAGATTGGAAAAATATCGTCGATATCCGAACGCGGCGGCGGCGGCGGCGGCGGCCTCGATTCCGCCGGAAAAGAGGCGGAACAGTCCTGAGATGTATAAATCGCTCGGGCTGTGTGCCGTATCGCGTATTCGCGTGCCAAAGCGACCTTCGCGATGCTCTTCAGCTATTAGAGCACCATTTAAACCTCCGGCATGTACTACGTATTACGAATGGCGGAGGTCTCAGCCCAGTTTCCACCGTGCTGGATATTCGACGTCGCTGATCGTTAATATTGCCTTCTCGCGATCTGCAGAGATCGCCCGGTTTGGTGCCAGCATGCGAGAGAGATTGGAAATGCAGCAGCGGCGCGCATTCGTTTGTAATATTATTGTACGGGCGGAGTGCTTGTCTGTATTGCGTCGTAACAATAACATGTATTTTTTGTTCCGTTTATTTTGTTCGCCTGCCGGTCGACGGCAAATCGAGCGATTATTGGCTTTCGATTTGCCGGAACAAAGTTCCGACTGGAAATTTTGCTTCTATATTAACCCGGCAAATTTCATCGAACTTGCGGGGACCAAGGGACAGGATCAAAGGAGAATCTCGCGAGATATAACGAGATATATGCACAAGCTATTGTCCTGGTTACTGCCTGGTTTCTCCGTTGATTCAAATGTCAGACTTCAAAGGGAAGGATTTTAGCTCAGAATTATTTGATATTTCACATTGCCCCGATGTCTATGTTCCATTCTCGTTTGATATTTATTTTTAATTTCAGCCGACGGTGTATTCGTTAAATATAATTTGCTCATTTGCAGGCAAGGTATGTGAGATGAGCAAATATTAAATTCCCTGGCGAATGACTGAGGAAGCTGAAGGATAAATAAAAGAAACTTTGTTCGCAAAATCCTAGCAAAAGCCGTTTACCGGTCTCGAGAATGTTTCAAAGTTTCCGTTTAATCGTCGGCATCGATCATCGTCCGCAGCGTTAATAAAAATTTCGCGGAACGGTTTATAAAGCGGCCGCGAAGAAGCTGTAATTAAAAAGAAATATCTCCGAGATGCCGGACGTCGAACCTGAAGAGATTGTCGAGGACAACGATGCAGGCTGGATGAGAAGATCCGATAGGGCAGATCCTCCTGGCCGATCCTCCTGGCGATCTCCTCGGAGCGGAGTCGCGAACTCGCTGGAAACTCTCTCGAATGTTTGAGAAAATATTTTTCTCCCTGGCAGGCGAGGATTCCGGGTCAGCGAGTCGAGTCGAGTCGAGTCGCCTCTCCCGAAGATTCGCCCATCGTCGGCGTGTGGGACTCGCGGATACGCGACGGATAAAATGATGAAATTTTCCCTTGACTGTCCGACTAACCGACCGATCGATCGACCGGCCGACCGACCGACCGACCGACCGACTGACTGACTGACTGACTGACTGAACGAATGAATGAATAAATGAATGGATGATCGAATAACTTGGATTGGATGACTGATCAGGCTGAACGGTGGGTGGACGCTGGTCAGACGAAAACGCGATTGTCGGTGGACGCAAGGACGAAACGTGCCGGTCAAGCTTTACGAAGGAAAAATAACAAAGTTTGTTTCCTCTTAGCCGATAATATAAAAATCCGGGTCACACCAAGCCGGTGCCGGAATCGTCCTTGAAGTCGTCCGTCACTACAACAACAATGCTGAATTCCTCTTTCCTCTTTCCTTTCTGAAAAAACACGGTGGGAAACGCGAAATCAATTACGCAGGCGTCCGCAGGATACATGCCAATGAATAGATTTATTATTTCGTCACACAAAGTTTCGTCGCTCGTTTCGGCGGTATTCGTCGAATTGTTACTGTCGTTGCACTTAAGTCGACTGAGTCATCCTCATCGCGTGCACGTTCGTCCGCGTGCAGACCGACTCACCGATCACCAACGCGAGCATGTCGAAGCAGGATACTCGCAGCGGACTCGCCGCCATAATTTCGTCCAGTTGCCCGAGTCGGTTCGGTCTGACGCGCGTCGCGAGTGACGGGCGAGTTAACATTCGCTAAATCGATCGACCGGTCCATCGGCGAGCCGACGTCGGTCGTGTTTGGCACTATAAGGGGTAAGAGGAACTTTGACTCTGGTCGCGGGCTTCCACGCGGGCTCTTCGTCGGAAGCTGAAGCCGTCGAGATCGACGAGAGACCGATGCGAAAATAAATTTGACAATACACGCGCATATAGAGGGCTGAAAAATGACACTTCGTGTCTTGGATGGATCTTTCGTGGATCTCTATGCGATCGCATTAGGACCTATCCTCATCAAAGATTACGCCGACACGTAGTGCATCCATTGTTCCGCGATGTTAGACGTCGCCGAAGGATCGTCCGACGGAATGGCCCCGTCTTCTCGCCCATGGCGACTCGGCCGTTAAAGTAAGAAGGTGTGGTCCAGGTCGAAGCACTCGCTCCAAAATTTGTCCATCGTGTGATAAAGGTGGGGCGTCACGCGGAAGAGACCGTGTATCTCGTCGGGGTATGTGACTTGGTTAAACAGGATATCCTGATATTCCAGCGCCTTGGCGAGCGCCATCGACTGCTGATAGTGTACGTTGTCGTCCGCGGTGCCGTGTATCAGCATGTACTTCTTCCCGCGTATTCCTTCCACTCGTCGCGAGATGTCCGTGTCGTTGTAGCCGGCCAAGTTGTCGTTTTCGCTCGGCAAGCCCATGTATCGCTCCGTGTAAATGGAGTCTGTAACGAAGCGGACAGCGCTTCTGACCAAGTGTGTTAACCGGAGTCCGAGCTTAAGGCGGACTGCCGAGGCTATTCGAGCGAACTGATCGAGTGTATCCCGGAAGCGGAAGGCGCGTCCGTCGCGGCTAACTCGCGGCGAATTTACTTGCGGAATGGTGGTGCGACATCGAGGAGAGGATTCGAGGGAGATGAGATCGATGAGCGCATAGGGGGATATGATTGACGACGACACTTCGCGTTATCTGAGAATCCGAGTCGCGGATTACCGTAATAGATCCAGGAGGATACGGGCGCGACGGAGATGCCACACTTGAATACGGACTCCGCGTCCGTCGCGAGCACCATGCCGCTGGTGAAGCCGCCGTAGCTCCAGCCCCATATGCCGGTCCTCTGCGGGTCGATCCATTTGTAGCGTTCTTGCAGTATCCTGGAAGATTACGAGGGGGGGGGGAAGAGGGGGAGGGATAATTTTCGCTGCCGATCTGCTCTCATCGAGCCGTCAACAAGACGATGATGCGTCGCGCAACATCACAACTCACTTGGTAACCTCGATGGTATCTTCAACCTCCACGATCCCTATATGCCTGTATATCTCGAAGAGCATCTTACTGCCCTTGAAGGCTGATCCTCGGCCGTCGATCCACGCGCAGATGACGCGCTGGTTGGTCGTCATGTAATACTCGTAGCCGTACCTAGCTGCATCCGTGATCCTGATGGTGTCCGGGCCGCCGTAGCTGCGGGATTTTCGACAGGTCTTAGTCGACGTCGAACTGACGTCATCTCCCTCGCGCTCGTCCGTGCGTGAAGGGTAGAGGGGAGAAAAAAATGTGGGAAAATGCTGACGACTCCGCGATCTTCAGGATGGACTTTCCTCGAGGGCGATGAGCTCGAAGCGCCGAGAGAGATTTCGCTTTATACGTTCGATTTATTTCCCCTCGCGTCTAGAATCCGTCTGAGAGAGAGAGAGAGAGAGAGAGAGAGAGAGAGAGAGAGAGAGAGAGAGAGAGAGAGAGAGACGTTTCGCGCACAAAGCAGCGGGATCAGTCGGGAAGCGGCAGCTTCCGCGAATAGTTTCCATCGACGTCGACATTACATCGTGTTCGATGTTATCGGTTACTCCGCTATACGAGCGTTCGGCATAAATTTCCAAGTAGATAAAAAGTCCGATACGTCACAAACGTTTCTTGAAAAGAAGCAACCGCGCGCGAAGAGAGAGGGCCATTAAAAGCGATGCGAAAGGATCGATCGGCACGAGTCGGCTCCGACAAACAGCCTCCGCCGACGATGGCTCTAATTTTAAATGGAGATTGCGAATCCCTTCGCGCGCGCCGATCAATCAAAGCGCACGCCGGCGTAATTGCGCCCGTAGTCGCCATTAACGATGTATACACAGCGAACGTTGTCGTGGATAAACACTTCGCGTCTATCCTGATCGCTGCCGTCGCGAGCGGGACAACATCGCTTCCTCGGGAGCTGCCTCGTTTCATCACGCGACGCGGCAACTTTTCAAACGGCGACGTGAACGTCTCCGCTCGAATTCCAAGCGACGCGCGGAAGTGCGCGCGCTCGGCGGCGAAATTACGATTTCCGCTCAACGTTGCCCGCTCCTGCGTGCGTGATGCATCTCCGACATTCTTATATTTCGCGAGCGCGCGACGAAGTGTTCTCGATGTATTCAGTGGTGAGGCGAATCAACATCGCTCAGCAGTTTGGATTTCATCTTCGTGTAACGAGGATAGAAAGAGGCAGAGAGAGAGAGAGAGAGAGAGAGAGAGAGAGAAGGGGTGTACTCACACGTATACCAGCATGGGATAGGACTGTGTCTCGTCAAAGTCCGGCGGCAGGAACAACCTGACCCTGCAATCGTAGCCGTTGACGGTGACGTTGAAGTTCTTCTGCAGCGGCATCAGTCGCAGCGACAGCATGCTCCTGATCAAATTGTTACCCTGCCACGTCATGATCTGCCGATTGTCCTCCGTGTCGTGTATGGTGACCGTGAGCGGGTCGGGACCGAGACAGATGAGGGCGTAATGCGACATCCGGCTTGAAAAAGACGCGGTCGCGTAGGCGCATTTGTTCCCTGCAACGTTGAAATCGTCGGAGCTTGAGCCGCGCGCGATCTTGTGCTTCTCACCCCGTGCCCTTGCGAGGGGTGCTCGCCATCCCTCTCCCTTCCGTCTCTCGCGCGTTCTGCGCGATTTCCACTTTCCTTTTCGCATGTGTGCTTAACCGTAATAGCGGAACATGCACATACTTTTATGCGAAGTTCACCGCGCTGGCTGGCTGGCTGGCTGGCTGGCGCGCATATCGCTAAGCCCGGCTCGAGAAGAGATGGCGGGCATAAATTCGCGTGCACTTTCTATTTGCCGCCGGTCGATATAAATCCCGGCTGGCGTCATATTTTAAAGGGATATAGGGTGCAGCCGGTACAGCCGGGGATCGGGATCGGGGCGGATCCTTCGTAGACATACGTGCGATTTTTTCCGGCGCGCATAGTCGAACGAATTAATCTTCCTCGCGATAGCGCTCGATCGTGGGAGCGCAGCTGCCGCCCGGCCGACAGTCGGAAAAACCCGCGCGAGAGAAGTAATATTTCAGTCGCGCTCTTTATGCCTTCGACGTTGCGCATTAAGTCGATTCTCCGGAATCTTCTTGGTATGGCGACAAGCAGATAAGTTGGCGCGCCAAGTTTCGGGCGAGGGAAAAAATTTGAATATTCTTATTCGAGAATTCGGTGGAACTCCCTGTGCATCTCGCGAGCGCGCGCGACGTCCTGCAAAAATACGAGGGCTAGAAAATTGCGTCGATTTTCAAGAAAGGGGGAGAGAGGTTGAAATGTGCCTCGTAGATCACGTCGTCGGCGCTCCGCGTGATTCCGAGTTTCGCGTCCATTTCCCCGCGGATTTTCTCGCCGGCGCCATGCATACGCGATTAGTATTATCATCGTTTTTGCCCTTCCCCCCACCTCCTTCCCTTCCCTTGCCGTACCTATGTAACGATATCGACGCGACGCGTATGTGTAATACACCTTAAGTGTTTGCCGACGGCGGTTCGCAGTTCCTGCCGAATGTAATTACTCTCTGCAGGTCTTACGTTTTAATTGAAATGTGTATATGTATCGCCCGGGCGAGTCTCTCGAATCGCTGTCGACGATGCGGTCGTGAAATTCGTCGTCGGCCACCTAACCGACGAGACACCCCGCTTACACAAGCGTGCGCGTCCCCGTCGCCTCGTGTCAGCGGCCTGCGGTGTCCGAGAGAGAGAGAGAGAGAGAGAGAGAGAGAGAGAGAGGAGGAGAGGAGAGGGAGAGGTAGACAGAGATTTCGCTGAGCGAATCGAGTCGGGCATTAAGAGTCGACTCGGCTTGCCTCGTGTCTCGCGCAGGAGTATAAAATATTCCTGCGCGCAGGAGAGAGGCGCGCGTCGTGTTCTAAATAGAATATTCCGACGCCGCACGTTCGCGCGAGATAGCGTTACCGTGCGCGCGCGCGCGCGCGATGTAAGCTCGTCATAGCGAACTGATGAAAAGTGCCAGTCGCCACCCTCTTTCTGCCCCCTCCTCTCCCCCTCCCCCTCCCCCTCTCGCCCTTTTCCCCTCGCGCGTATTCGCGATGCTAGGGCGGCGATTTCGAGGGCTCACCTTCCGGCGTAAGCTGCTCGCAGGATATGCAAGTCGGATTCTGGCTCGCGTCCAGGGCCACCGAATACAAATTCCTCTGGCTCGGCTCGCCCGGCGCCGTGGCGAGGTAATAAACCCTGCCTCTGCGCGCGTCAACGGTCAGGATTGCCTGCACCTCGGAAGAGCCGGGCGTGAGGTCCACCGGCGAGGTAAACCGGCTGCCGTCGTACGCGTATCTGAAGATTTTAAGCGAACGAGATTACAGCGGAAGAATATCGACGAGGACAATTTTCGACTCAGCCCCCTCGGTATATATAACAGAGCGTAGGAGGGGACGGGGGGAGGGGAGTTACAAATTTCGCGCATCCCTCGTTTCGGATCACCGCGGGGCGATTTTCCGGAAAATCGCGCCCCGACGACCGCGACTTGCTCTCGCGAGTCTCGTTCGCTTCTCACCTCACTATGTGTTGGAATTTACCGGCGCTGCTGCCGGAATCCTCCCGATGTAAGAGCAGCGCGTGCTGGCCGACCCTCATGGGGCTGTTCGGTTGGAGCCAGCCTCGCCTCTCTTCGTCGTACCAGACAGGTTTAGCGGCGCCCTGCGTGTCGTACATGACTAGCTGGGACTGATTCTGCACGCGGTTCGTCCACGTCGCGAGTACATGCTTCGGATCCCACCAGCTGACGGTGAACAGCACGTGATCGCTGCGATGGGCAATCGAACAGAGAGACACGAGAGATTAGACTGCGGCGAATCGCCCGAGGAACCGCGGCGCGACGACGCGAGAGCTCGTGGAAAATCGCCGCGGATACTTGCCTGCCGACCACGTCGATGGGCGCTTTTAACGCGACCGCCGTCGACGATCGATCGGCCAGGTCGATCAGCGACAAGGACACCACCGGATTCGGTGTGCCCACCTGCAAAGCGTACACGAGAGCGTTATCGCGAACACATCGCTGGTTGCAAATTACGACTTGCGATACCGCGAGATGACGGCACCTCGGAGAGAGAGAGAGAGAGAGAGAGAGAGAGAACAACCGCGGCGCCGCGCCGATAACGCGTGTGATTGAACAATTACATCGCCGGCGGAATTAATCGGCTCGTAGCACCGACCGACGACGTAACGATGGCGTCTAAACGCCCTGGGGAGTCGTCCGGCCGAATGAAGAGCCGAGCAGACAAAGACCCACACGACCGGTCGCCTCTCGCGAGGCGGAGGTCCGCCAACAAAAAAGCGGCAAATAGCCGCGGCCTTTCCCGCGCGGAATCTCCGTTCTCCGTGCACTTGGACAATTGGATTACCAGTCGTGACGGGACAAATGAAGATCTAGAAGGTGGAGTAAGCTCCGTTTAAACGAGCCTTTCAACGCCAAACGCTACGGGCGGCCGCCCGCGCGATTACAGCCGATTACGGCGAGTCGTGCCATATTGGTCGTAAATAAATTCTCGTTACAAGTTTTTTCAGGCTCAGCCGAACTCAACGGGATCTCCTCTCCTCTCCTCTCCTCTCCTCTCCTCTCCTCTCCTCTCTTCTCCTCTCCTCTCTCACCTTGGGATACTTGATCCGCACTTGCGTGGGATATTGGTCCTTGAGAGAGCCGGGCGCGCCGTAATAAGTGTACTCCATATCCCTCACCAGAGTGTCGTTGAAGGTCGCGAAGGCTAGATACCGCCCGTCCGGGGAATACCATATTGCGGACGACGAGGAGAACACTTCCTCTGCGATCAACACGCATTCGCGATTACGTACGCTCGTGGTCTCGAGAGAGGCTCGCGAGCTCTCTGTACACTGCAACACCTAACCCGAGTGTGTTATTTTGACACTCGGTATATAAGCTGGAGCTTTCTTTGCGCGTTTCTTGTCTTGTCTGAAATCACGTCGTTTGATGCGATTTCGATATCACTTAACGCGTTTAAACGCGTCAAACGACGTGACTTCAGATAAGAAGACAAGATACGCGTAAAGGAAGCTTCAGCTTGTACGCGTCAAAATAACGCACTCTCAGGTTTGCAGCGTACTCGCTTACGTTCAGGTGCCAGGTACCTTCGTACACCCAGTCGGCAATCCCGTTGAACACGACTCCGGACTTGCCGCTGCGCGTCAATCTCCGCACTGTGCTCTTGCCGTCCTTGAAGACCATGTGATGGATATCGTTAGCGCGGACGTAGACCAACTCGCTGCCGATCGGCAGCCATGTTGCCAATGAGATACGGGCTTCGTTCGCGACCTTCTTGAACGAGCTGCAAAATAGTACGGGTGAAATGTCTGCCTCAGCGGTTCGTCGTTCGGACGAAGAATTCGATGTTGCTCGCGAAGGTTACACCTGGCAGCAATGGCGGGAGATATTTATTTTAATGTGTTTCTTTTTTTTTTTCTCCTTTCCTTTTTGTGACCAAGACAACAGTCGTCTGCAGTGTGAAAGTTCGAGTGGTTCTTTGTCACGTGTGACGATTGGATCCCGAGGCCGTCGCCTATCTATGTGGAGGATCTGATAGCGATTTATATGACGAAATGACGGCTCAATCGTGCCGTCGGGTTTTATCTGGACAGCCGCACGTCGCGCATTCTTTCGCAATCAAACTTATCGCGCAGTCATTGTTATTATCAACCGTGAGTAAAAACGTAAGTAAATATACTCACCCCCGTTTCACGTCGTGCACCACGAGATTCATGTACTTCGAGTGCCTGAATACCTGTAAGAAGGAAATTCACCTTCACGCTCGCATTTACAGTGGGCGAGAGATTATCATTATCGATCGATCGATCGACGTCACACTCACATACTTGATGTTGTAAGTGAAGAACACATGCTCTTTGTCGGCCGAGAAGCTTGCCGGGGCGAACTTGTATTCCGGCTGAAACAATTTTAACGAGTCGGTCTGTCTGTCGCGAGTGTCGCTTACGTCGATTAGGAATTCACGAGTCGCCGGGATGTCGGTTGCCGCGAAATATCGCGGAACGTTGTTTCCTCTCTAAATTCTTGCGAGTGGATCGCCTCGAAAAATGTCGAGAGGGTAAAGCGTCTCTTTGTAAATGGCACCGACGCGACTCGTTAAAAAGTTAAGGCTTTATTTAGTTAACTCCTGCCGTCATCTATCTCCCTCTCTCCTCCTTTTCTCGGACAAAACGCAGAGATCGCTCGCTGTGTCCCGAAAAATATCCCGCGGATTAAATAAATATGCATCTCTCGCGATGAATCACCACACGCAGGCGTGAGACGCGCGTTCTCACCGGTAGAATCTTTCCGTCGAATATCGTCGTCTTCTTGCCAGTCACCACGTTGTACTTGGTGATATAGCCGAAGAGCAGATTCTCGACCATGATCTCATTATCGGAGATCCACGTGCCATTGAAGCCAAACTGTCCGTAGAGGTTCAGATAAATTTCCTCCAATGTGAACGGTTTTTTCTTGCTCCTGGTTGTCGAGTCCTGGTCAGCGGGAAGGACACCGCGTTCGTCGCCGCGCGAGACTACGCGGATAGATCAAACGTAAAAAGAGATTATGAGTGACGGCTGCGATCCGCGCGATCGCGGGATCGATCAAAACCGGCGGCGGCGGCGGCGGCGGCGGCAGCGGCGGCGGCGTCCGACAGTTTCAATCGGCAGTTACATATTCTTCGATAATCGATTATGCGAATGTATCGATCGCTCAAAGGTAAAGTCATTCCAAGGTAAGGTCAGCGGACTAAACGCGAGCGAGCTTACCTGTTCGTGCTTGCCCGATGACGAACAGCCAGCCGGACAGCAGCAGGAATAAGAGGACCTGAAAAGGATTTTAGGTCGTGTCAAGTGCCACGATGCCACCGACGTAACCGTCAGTCCTTACATTGTCCGCGTTCGCGGCAATCTTCCTCTTATCGCGGTCGCATTCGCGCGGATGCGACAGTTTGAGGGTGGGAAGGGACGTGGAGGAAATTCGAAAATAGCGCGTGACAGCGGCCAGAGAGCGACGAGGATGAGCAATTTCGTAAAAATCCAAGACTCAAAATTAAAAAGCTGTCGGCGGAGGTACCGAAGGCACGCACGACTGGATAATGCCCGCCGCAGTCAAGGCCGTTACTGCTGGAAAAAGTCACGACGTTACTGCTGGAAACTTCCAATTACGCTCGTAAAGCGCCCTCCGCGTATATTCCTGTTCCTCGGGCCGCGACGCGAAGAACGAACGCGAAAAGTTTCGTCGCCTCGCGCGGGATATTGTCACTCCTTGTCTAGCCTATAAACATTTTCATCGGGGACGACGGGGATTCTCCGTTTCTTCGGCTCCGCGAAGAAATCTGTCCGCGGGAAAGTGAAAAATGCCGTGCGCGCGGTTCTGATTAGAAAAAAAAGTCGCGCTCTCATTAGACTGACTTCTTTTCACCGGCTAACGAGAACATTCGACGCAACTAATTAATTCGAGAGAGGTTACACAGCGCGACTCTCCTCAGCTTCCTCCTCGGATTATAAATTACGATCTTATCCTCTCGTGCACGTAGTGCCGACTCGGCGAGGTAGCGGTAGTCGGTCAGAAATCTCAGACTCGGCCGATCGTCGTGACGATGCGACGTCGCTGCTTCGACGGTTACCGATCTCGGCAAAATGTCTTATCGCCGCGATCGCCACGATTAATATTTCGAGCGTGTCGGCCCGCGCCAGCGTCAGCGTGTATTTTCTATGACGGCCGGAAGGGTACGCGACTTCGAAAGAGCTCCGAGGCGAGAGGCGATAAATCGAGGCAGTTCGGACCCTCGAAACTTTCCCATCGATGGCGCACATCCGCGCGCACAAAGAGTGCTCTCACGAACTTATCGATTCGATATGTCGGGACGTTGCGCCCGCGCCCGTCCCGTGGATGAAATCGAAACAGAAGCAAGTCGGATAAAAGCCTCTCCGGACGGAAGATCGAGACTTTCGACGAGTCGATACTTATTCTCGCGCGGCTGGCCCTTTTAAGTGCATCGCGGGCGCGACGAGTCGCGTCGCAGGACGACGAGTGCCTGCAGGAGCGGCGGCACTTCGCGGTTCGCCGCCTCTCAGAATCCTCACGTTCGTGCAAAGGCCGCGAAGCGAACTTGGACAAATTTCCGCGAATATGCGCGGAATGGATCTCCATGTCGGGATTTCCGCGACGATCTACAGCCGCGATCGATCAAGATACTCGTCGCGCGCGCTTGTAGATCGTACATTATCGCACACGTGTGTGTTTTGAGGTCGCCACGGTGACCCGTGCTGGGCGATAGTAATAGTTTCGCGGCGATAAAGAAGCGATCTCGCTGGTAATGAACGGGGCTACCGCGCATTTATCAGCGAGTATCGGCCGTGGAAAGTTCCGCGGAAATTTCTAGCGACGAAATTTCTAGGATTCGACGAATTTCGCCAAAGTCACAGTTCTACGAAAAACCGTAGAGTCTCGAGGATTTCTTTTTTTTCTCAGACTCGACGAGGTACAGTCGACTCGGAGGCTATCGATGTACGCGCGGGCAATGCGAATATTGACGGATCGACCGACGCGTTAATTGGGCTCGAGGTAAAACAGAGAGACAAGTCGGAGCTACGAGATCGGCATAAGCCGACGACTACGCGAGTAGCGAGTCGTTTGCGTAGGGCCGCGCTGTTTCTGCGTTGTCACGCGAGAAACGCCGGAGAGATTTGCTCCCTTTCGAGAAGCCAAAGAGCCCAAGGTAGAGCTCTCCCGCAGAGAGAGAGAGAGAGAGAGAGAGAGACTCGGCAGGAAAATCCCTCGGTTTTGCACAGCTCGCTGTACGCTTCGCAGTTCTCCCGTCGCCTCGTGAACTTCGTCCGCGCCGCGGGCGACCGTGTCGCGGAAAATCATGGGAGAGCAGGGAAAGGAAAGAGAGAGAGAGAGAGAGCGCGGAAAAAGCGAGAAGCAAAAGGGAAAAAGCCAGGCTGGCGCAAAATTCCGTGGCGCTGTTTGTTCCGTTGACGTACCGTGTGTCCCGCCATGTGGATAGCCGTCGGCCGATTCGTCGTCGATCGCGAAGTCCGGGCGACGTTCGGAAATACCGCTGCAGTGCGCCGATACGTCCGACGGAGACTAATATATCGCGTGCTTCCTCGGCGTGCTCGTAGTAGCAGCAGGTGCTCCCACCTCCTTCGACAAATTCAGGGCATACTGATGCGTGAGCGCGTGTCTTCCGTCGCGTCGCGTCGCGTCGCGTCTCTCCTTCCTCTTTATTAATTCACTCGACTATCTGCCGAAGTCGCCTCTTCAACACACACACACACATACACGTACAAGCCCCGACAACAAGAGCCTCTCTTCTCTGGGGCGTCGGCAAGTCAGATCAATCCGTGCCGGGAACCTCCGCCTCCCTCCGCCAACCCCTTCAGACGAATAAATTCGGAAAAGTCAGCGTGGCTCGCTTGTCACGCGGCAGAGCAGAATCGAAGTCACGGCAAGTGACTTTCCGTCGACTCGATGAGAGTCGCTGACCGTCCGTGAGTGGAAATATCGAGAACTGAAATTGTTAATTATCACGCGCACGTGCCCGTCATTCTTATCACCATGTCCATGAATTCGACGTCGGACTCGTTCTCGCTCGGGCTCTGTAAATCGCCCTTACACGTGGAAGCGCACAAGTATAGCGTAATAGCCGTACCAGTTGACTTGTTTGATATGCGTTTTATGCGCACGCGATAAGTATTATTGTATGCAATTCATGACACGCGAGTATAGACGGAAATTTGATAGCGGCTCTTTTCCTGCAGCGCGTCACGAGCTGATAATCGAGTCGTGACAAAAAGTCGCGCTCGGTCAGGACGAGTCGACGAGTCGCGTTAAATTCCGCCACGGTGTTATTACTATCTCAAGGCTGTCTGTGTGTTATTTAATCGCGCGCGCGCGATAAGCGGCGGTCACCAACGCCGGTGCAGCCGTGAGGTAAACAAAGTGCACGCGCTGTCCGGTGAGGCGCGATATCGGCGGATCGGCGTGATCCGCCGATCGGCCGGAAAAGAATTCGACGAGTCGGCCATCGATATCGGCCCGGGTCGCCGAAGACTCAGCCGACGGTGCGGGGTAAACGCGCACCGAGCGCGACGATAACGGATGATTACCGCTCGAACGAGTCGTCGCGACGAGTCGCGCGGTACTCCTCCCTCCGTGCGAATTCGAGGTGCGGGCCGAGCTAATTAGCGCGGCTCACCGCCGCGACGAACGGCGCATTTTCGGTGCGAATATCCGCGAGCGTAAAACCGCCGCGCCGGCAGCGATAAAAGCAAAAAATTATTAACGACGTCGAGGCACGCGAAACACCGACGCGGCGGCTGGTCGAATTCGATTTCCCTTTAATCTCCGCGCATAAAGCGTCTCCACAATAAAGCCATCGAGCTATCGCGAGTTTTTTCCTACCTCGACGAACCATATCCCTATCGGGAGGGAGACTCATGACTCCGATTCTCGCAATAATGCCACCGTAAACGAAACTGCGAGAGCGCTCTTGCTCGCGGCTTCTTTCGCGCGCGCGCGCGCGTTTTTCCTCGGATGCTTGCTTTTTCCTTTCTTTGCTTTGTGGTCATTGCGGTTTCCGATGATCCGCAGGACCGTCGCAGGACAATCCCCGAGAGAAGTGTCAGGCGTCGCGCGTCTCTCCGCTCTCAGCTCATACAATTTACATCTCAGCGTCTCGCTTGTCGTCGCGGCTCGCGGCTTCGGCTCGACTCTCGTCGGAACGCACCTTTCGCTTGGCGAATCTTTCGGGGAGAGACACGATCGTCGCGCGATCGCTTGTCGGTGTGCGAGTCTCAGGCAGGTCAATGCCGTAACCTTTTGAGCATCAGAGAAAAGAAGCGTACGACCTTCCCGCGTCGCGTCGCCTTGCGTGTCATCATCATCTCGCGGCGTCGCGTGTGACACACTTTACGAGAGGAGGAAGAATTGCTGTCATCATCGTCATCAGCGCCGTGCATGCGTCTTCGTCGCGGCCACCTCGTCGCGCACGTGGGTCATCATCGAATTCTCAGCCCGCCGCGCCGGCAATCAGCCAATCTGATTCGATTGTGAGGTCGTCCGCGCTTCTCGCATTAGCGGCGGTTAAGCGAAGGAAACGTGCGGAAAATTGCGACCCCGTGAATATACATGAGGCAACGCGACGACGAGAGAGCGAGCGAGAGGAGATGACTCTGAACTTTCTCGTGCGCTCGCGGGCTTTTCCTCCGAGAGAATGGGACGTGCGTCGGACGCTTCTTCGTGCGATTAACACGATTATGCATTCTTTTTTGTCCCGTGCGCGCCTTTTGTCTCTCTCTCTCTCTCTCTCTCTCTCTCTCTCTCTCTCTCTCTCTCTCTCTCTCTCTCTCTCTTCGTTGTATCGCATATTTATTTCGAGCCTCGTCTGTATTTCCCCGTTTGACATTGTTTCCGCCTGTGCTACACGCCCCGCGTGTATTCCTTTCACCTTATGCGATATTCATGTCGCCGTTTGTTTTCGCACAGATCGGAGAGGACAAGATGTGAGAGGCAACGACGAGGAAACGATCGCAGTGGTGACTTTGATTCCATTCGACGATTCGTTATCTTCGTCGATGGCCGCGAGTTTCCTCTCCGGAGGGTCTGGCCTCTGCGTTTGAATCTGCGCTTCTTCATTTTGTTGACGTTCCTCGTGTCTGTCGTGTACGTCGAGGTGGCACGCTGCCGTCTCCCGACGATGCCGAAGCGGCGTGGAATCGCCGCGATAGGATATCACTGACGAGCGATTTCGTCGCGTTGGCGCGGTGCGGGATTGAAGTTAGTCGCCATCTCGCCTTAATGACACGAAATACGGGAACCTGAAGAGCGCGACTTAAGTTACCTACCGTTAAGCCTGGCGCGTGTGCGCCTCGACGTGCCTACCAGAGGCCAACCGAACGTCGTCTTTCATTCTTTAATTCGCGTTACTTGCCAGTAGATGGCTCCTAAAATACAGTTAAAAATTTTACGAGCAAGACATGGGGGTATGTTTACACGCGGTAGTCAACCTTGCCCCGTCCTCCGCCCAGTCGGCAAAATGGTGTTGAAAGGAAGTACGCGAGACCTTAATTAAAAATCTAATCTTTATTATATAGCTTGTGTGTAAATGGCGCGCCTATTAAAAGGGAGACAAGAGCGAAAGCGGTCGATCTTCTCCTCGTCCCACGTAGTAACGCTCTCGGACAAGAAGTCGCTTCAGTACCATTTAAAAAAGGTATCCCAAAAAATACAAACGTTTTGCAGAACGAGAGCGCTCGTTCCACACCGCGGTGACCATGCTAGAATAATCTGAAATCTCTGTCATTCGCATGTGAACTCTCTTCCACCCCCGAACGAGCGAGAAAAAAATTTCATGCTCGCCAGCGTCGAGCCTGACAGGGAGGGTGATGTGCCGAAACTTCCGGGGACGACAGTGTCCCGCGTCAGCCCTCCTTCGGCCAGCCCCGCGAAGAGTATTTCCGATCCTTTCGTGGGCGCGTTTACTATCGATCGAGGGGATATAACGCGTACCAGTCGCGTTGCCACGAGTCGAGCGAGCGAGAAAGGGCGAGCGAGCGAGCGAGGGGAAGAGAGAGAGAGAGAGAGAGAGAGAGAGAGAGAGAGAGAGAGAGAGAGAGAGAGAGAGAGTGCAAAGGCCACCCCCTTCGGACCGACGACTATAAGTATCGGTCGCGGTCGGTCCGCACGGCTTATGAGCGCCCTGCGGCCCCACCGGCGCGGTTACCGTTTTCGCGCTCGCGGAAAAGCCACTTGGACGCGGCTTGGAGGATCGTTCCGATCTATGAATAGATCCCGAGCCGTTGGAGACGCGCGGTGTTTGCCATTTGCAATCGAGCAACAGCGGCCGTGCGATCGTCGCCCGGCATCGGCCGGGAGTCATCGATCCGCGGGGGAAAGCCGCGACGAGCGCAGCACGTGGAACTTCCGGCGGTGAAGCGAGCATGACGACCTCACGGGATCGAGGAGTTGGCGAGGAACCGGCGCGGAGGCCGGACTTGAGGTGGAACACCTGAACGCGATCGAGCGGCCTGAACGGGATGTCGATCGACGTCACCTGAGGAGAAGCCGGCCGAAATGAGGAAGAGCAAGTCGAGGGGCAACGTCATCGACGACGTCTGCGGCTGCTCCGCTCTGTCGTCGATCATCCCGAGGAGGGACTTGAACTCCACTTCCGGTAAGATCGTCATCGCCGCTCGTCCGAAGGGAGGGCTAAGCTCGGCCTGCAACCACGTTTCCGTTTCCATGCCCGCGTCGTTAAACTTGTGGGATTTCTTCTTACGCTCTCGAGACCCGATGGCCGATGTCTCTTAGAAGGCACCACGTGGAATTATCCTTCTAATTCTAGATGTTGAGCGGTCTAAAACCGACAAAAGCCTGAATTAAGGAGCCACGGTGATTACAGACGCTGGCTAATTGTCGATGTTTAGAGTAATCGTCGAGCGGGACGGAATGATGGCAGTCGCACGTGGAAATTCGACGAAAGAGCGCTCACGGTACCGTAAATATAGCGGACCTCGTGCGCACAGTCAGATTTATTTGGACGCGGCTATCGACGTCGAATTACGACGTCGACACCAACGAGCTGCTCAGAGTTTGTCTACGATGCGATTCGAATCGATCGCCACGCACGTGTTCTCCAGACGACGGGAAACTCGAGCGATCGATGACGCTCGGCGAAGCCGCTCGTCGCGCAACCTTGAACGAGAAAAACGATAATCGGCCGCGTCCGTCGTCTGGACGCGAGATCCCACTTTTATCAGTTTTCTCCTCGTCTCTCTCTTCCCTGTCTCTCTGCCCTCCACCGAGTCGAACACCGTTTATACCCGCTACGTTTTCTTCTTCTGCTCGTTCCTCCTCCTCTTCCTCCTCTTCTTCTTCTTCTTCTTCTTCTTCTTCTTCTTCTTCTTCTGCGTTGTCTCTCTCTCTCTCTCACTCTCTTCGAACCGCCTCTCTTCTGGTTGCTTTTAACGATTACCGCATTGTTTCGTCTCGCGGTTTTCGCTCTCTTTGAAGGCAGGCCTCGTTGTTATCCAATCTTGCAGGTATATAGGTATATTGGTCCTTAACGGTGTGCTAAATGCGACCGCGTCACTTTCTTCAGCGGTAAAATTAACAGTCGTTACCAAGTCGTCGCGTCTCGCGCCGAGAGAACGGACGCACGAATTTTCGTCCTCTCGGGCTCTCTTCGCTCGCCACGCTCGTCATCGCTTAGCCCGTCTTTTCTGCCTATCATTTTCCATATCGACAGGCAGAGGCTAAAATTGCCAACGACGCGACGCGTCGAACAATCGACGTTTGGCGTCACGACGTCCGCCGTGCCGTTCCCCGCTCCGCTTCGCGAGCCGAGCCGATTCCCGCCTCTCATTTTTCTTCTCTTCTTTCCCATTCTACGTGTTGCCCCCTCCACTGCTGTTGGCCGCCGCAGCCACCAGCTGGTTTGTTTCTGGATACATCAACGTTTCACCGACCCTTCGTAGGAGCCAGCTTTGAATCTCTGAAGCCAGTCGGCAATCGGTGGTGCTCACGATTAGATCCGTCTGCTGCGACAGACCGCTCTTCGACCGCTGTCTCGCCTGGATCTTTAATTGTTCTCCTTTTCTCCCCCGTTCCCCCCGTCTTCCGCGAACGAATCAATTTGCGTCGCAATCGCGTTCGCCAGGCGATTTTCGCTCAACTGCGCTCAACCGCGGAGCGCGTTCTCCAACAACGAGGAATATGAATTGTACGGCAACGGAGTCGCGTGAACGAGCGCCATCGGCTTCACCTTAGTCGCCCCCACCACTTGCAGGCAGGGTGCCTCTCTTGCGGTCCCCTCGTCTGGACCTGGGTATACCCGGGCCCCGGCGGATGTAAGACAGTCCATTCCATTCACCGCGAGGTGATACCGAGGAGAGCATCGGCGGAGGAGGAGGCGTTGTCCTCGCGCGAGCCGCGTGAACTGTGCCGAATCGAGCAGTGCGACCGGCCAGTGATGATTGACAGTTAGTTGATCAACGTTAGTTGACGATCAGTGACGATACGTCGTGGAAAGGGGCTTGGAGCGGGGCTCGCGCTTGAAACACCGACGGCGGCGACAGTGAAACGACGTATGGATCGTAAAAGAGAGAACGGCAAGCGCGAAGGCGCAAGAAACTGCGGAGCAATGTGAATATGAAGACGTGAATATCGAGCTGCGCTGAAACTCCCGGCGAATTGATATCGACGACGAGCGGGTCGCTCGGATGTCGCTTTGTATGCCGCGCATGCCGAGCTGAATGTCTCCACGATGGTCTTCTTCGGGCGGAAAGAAAAGCTGGAGGATCGGCGGCTGCTGGCCAGCATGGACGCTGTGAACGGCGCGAAGATCCATCAAATCGACAACGGTAGTCCTTCTGCTACTCGGCGCGTAGATCGTTACGTAGACGGTCCTTCCCGAAGAATACGACGAAACATCCTTTTTATATCGCGAGTCATGCTTCTCCGAAATTAAACGGAAATATCTCTCTCCGTTGCGTCCACGTACGAGTATGAGCTCTCTCTCTCTCTCTCTCTCTCTCTCTCTCTCTCTCTCTCTCTCTCTCTCTCTCTCTCTCTCTCTCTCTCTCTCTCTCTCTCTCTCTCTCTCTCTCTCTCTCTCTCTCTCTCTCTCTCTCCTTCTCCCACTCTCTTACACATATTTCCGCGAATGCCCATCCGGCGAGCAGCGTGCGTAAATATTATCGCCGGCGTATTTTTCATTCCACGCGCCTTTCCCGCGCTGTTAAGCGTCGACGTAACGGTTATGCCTTCCGGTCGACGCACTTTCCACCGTCGCGTTCCCTCGTCGTCCCTAAGCGCATACATGAGTTTTGTCGGCCCATCGCCGTAACGAAGCATCCCGGGGCTGCGCCCGGGGCTAAGCTGATGAAGTCGGCGATAACGCAGCCCCGTGTGTCACAAGCGAACAAACATCACAACCGTGAAAACACAGCGCGACCGTGGTGAGAGAGAGAGAGAGAGAGAGAGAGAGAGAGAGAGAGGAGACGGCAGATTTTCGCAGCGGCATTAATCGTCCCGTCGAATTACGCAACCGCGATTTTTCATATTTACCGCGCGCATTCCCGTGGATACGATACGCCTGTTTATTCTACCCGCTCGTTCGTTTAATTCATTCACGAGCGCGCACACGAGAACACTTCGATGCGAGGCAGGTAGCGTACGCCTGAATCGATGCCGCGCATTGTGTTGCATTTTGCATTTTGCACTTTGCAAAATTCGCCTAAGGAAACACGGCGCGAAAAGCGCCGGCTTGCACGTCGTATTACACGTCCATGCCTTCGTAATGGCGTGCATTTATCATTCATGCGCTGCATAGTTGGCGCGGGTTATTATTACACAGTCGAGTGGCTCTTCATCGGGCGCTCGGCTTTCAAACGTGTCGCCGAGGCATGGCCGATCGATAAATCGCGTGCTGTTCGAATCATCCCTACATTTTGCCCGAAACGAACGGACGACCCGGAAGGACGCTTCGCGCGCCCTGCAAATTCCCGTTCCCGCGGCCGCGCGCGATTAATTTCCTTAATCGCGATCGCCGGTCAATCCCGGGATCGCTAATAAATGCGCGGCGTATTTAACGACGTGCGCTATCAGCGAACGTAGAGCCGCTCAAGCAGAACGCGATAATAACGTCTAAGAGGCCTTGGCGTTCCGTCGAAGCCGCGAATGGAGTGGCGATGTTAATTGAAATGCATTCAGACATGTCGTCGGCGATTTTGCGACCTCGAGCTTGCAGCCGAGTCTCAAATCGAACGTACGCCGATGGACCGCGCCGATTTGACCCTCTCTCGAGCGACGGAAAATTACGTGACCACTCCGCTCAGTCACGCTACCGGCCCGGAAAAATTCTCCCCGCGTCGATACGATCGCGTCGCGCGAAACTGCGTCGCGCAACGAGAACAGCCGGTTGACCGTTCCGACCGAGTCGATCGATCGGCCGCTCGGCTTCGAGTGTTCTCCATATTCGTCCCGTCATTCGCACGGACAATTAATCAACTTCTAAGCGATCTATTAAGGCACGCGAACGCGCCGCTCCCGAGGGCTCTTCAGCAGCGCCTCACGCTCGAGAGAGATAGATCGATAAACAGACGGACGAACGCGTTTATTATCGTTTAATCCTTGAGAGGAAAATCACGATTATACTTATATATATATATATATATATACATAACGACAAATTTAAATGACGAGTATATAAAAAAGAGAGAAAGAGAGAGGAAAAGAAAGGGAGAGAAAGGAGGAATCGGAAAGAGATCGGCCGATCTCGCGTGGCGTCTCGGCCACCTGTAGCTAACCGAATATTGATCCGGCCGAAAGATGGCCACGCCCGGGTTCACCCTCGGCATCGCCACAACCTCGTCGGCACCCCGCTTCTCACTCTCGCCGCACTACCCTTCTCTGAGCTCTCTCTTTCTCTCTCTCTCTCTCTCTCTCTCTCTCTCTCTCTCTCTCTCTCTCTCGCTCGCTCGCTCGGCCGCTGACGACCGCTGCTGCCGACGCGGCCGGTGGTGCGGTGGAGTGCCGTGAGCGTTTCTCCGCGTGGAATCCGCGGCCAGTTATGAACGAGTGCGCCGTTCCTGTTCCAGCCGCGTTCATGCACGTGCGCGACAACATCGAGGAGCTGGGCAAAGTCGCCGACGACACGGACCTGCTGTTCCTCAAGGGCCTCCTCGACAGCCCGGTCGTCACGTCGCTGGTGAAGGTGAGTCCTCACCTGCGGGGTCCGGAGCGGGCCCAAAAGCCGCTCATCACGCGATAAACAGCGTCACGGTGAGACCCGCGTCGTCGTGAGTGACTCCTCGAGCTCGCCGGGACGCGGAGGACTCCGCGAAGGAGTCTCGTCGACGCTGACTCCCAGCCGCGTCGTCGTCGACGCAGCGGCGGCGGCGGCGGCGGCGGCGGCGGCGGCGGCACGTTGCGTCGAATTGCGGGCGCGAGAGGGTTTATTTTCTCAGCCGTCGATCACGCTTTTTATCGAGTCGTCGCGGCGGCTACGAGGAATCCTAGTGCCTCGGCGAGATGTATCTCGCCGATTCGGCGGCCGACGAGCCGCCAGCTCGTAAACGCGCACGGAGAGTGCACGTCGTTTCTCCGGGCCGGCGCGCGTAACGCGCGCGCACGCACCGTCGCTGTTTACTATCGCCGTGGAGATTTACGAGGGCCGCGAGCAGCATCTTTACGAGCAGCTCTGCCCGCGACTTTCTAATTCGTCGCATCGCGTTGAATGAAGAATTAAGACGCGCGCGTGTTCTGGCCGGCTGCCCGCCCCGACGCAGCGTTCGGTGTCGTTGAACCAGCGCGACAGCCGGTGCTGTCTTGAGCGTGAACGCTCAAGACAGCACCGGCAGCAGTCCCTCGAACACGCTCGCCTCATCGGCGGAATCGAGCCGCCGACGAGGACGCCGATCAGCGGCGCGACCGCCGCCCGCGCCGTCGCCGAGGAGCCAATTCCGACCCGATTCCCCACGGCGAGTTCGTCGCGAACTCGCGAGCTCCAGAAGTGCGTCGCAGCTTCTCGCGTCCCGAACACGCGAGCCAGTAGCGCAAATAAATAGCGAAGGATCGTCCGCGCTGCGGTCGGCAGGCGCGAGCAGGATGGGGAGTCATCGGGGGAGTCATCACTCGCGCGAGAGAGATCTCGGGAAATCGCTAGTGATTTTCCTGCGCTCGGCAGCGGTGCGGAGGCGTCTTGGCGCGGCGCTCGCGCGGAATCCGCGACACTCGCGCTATTTCGGTCGCGACACACTTCCCCGTCGAAGCGAAGAGTGCCGCGCGATGCGACCTTCGGCGCGGAAAATCTTGTCCGATTGGCTGGAAACGTCGCGTTTACGCGACGCGACCGGCTCTCACGCACTCTCACGCACACTGCTACACGCACGCACGTAGGACGTTAAAAGAGCGGCTCACGTCGTCTCCCCTCGTCGTTCCCGCTCGAACGCCGAGAGCCGGGCCCACATTCCGGCGACTTACCTGCGCAGGTAAAACGCGCCGCGCCAGGCGGGGCGCGTCCGGCTCTCCGAGGAGCTGTTGAGGAGTCGTTGGCCCGCGTTTCCCGCTCTTAATGTCGATACGTGCCGACAATGAAAAGCGTCGGGTGGCGAGATGCCGCGGAATCGTCGGGATTGCCTCTGGAAAAGTAGCTTAATCGTCGAATCGAAGGAGACTCCGATCCTGCGAAACAAATGAGGACAGCTGACGAATGAAAGAGAGAGAAAGAAACAGAGGGAAAGAGAGCGAGAGAAATGATCGCGAGGGCAGCAAACTGAGAACGTACCCAGGAACTGCGAGAGGTGTCTCAAGGACCTCCTTCCACAAGAAGGACGTCCTAACCACGTCTTATTCTTCGAAGCATCCTTAAGCCCTTTAAAGCCGTTTCCGAGACGTCTGCCGAGACGAAAACTTTGCGCTACCTGCTCATCGAAAGAACCGAACCGGTCGCCGTAAGGCGACGTGTTAGAATTTGCGACGAGCCGAGGCAGAAGTATTGAGATTTACGCTCGCGTTCCCGTCAATTGACCGACTGTAACCTGCCATTCCTCCTCTCGCCGGCGTCGGACAATTGACTGCGACCTCTCAATTGGATCAGGTCGTAGGCGCCTCGTACTTGCAGAGATCCGTGCGTGTCGCGACGGTGCGCGGTACACGCGCAGTTTTACGTGCGTGTTTTTGTAAGCCCCAGCGTATGTACGAGACGATGTAATTTCAGTCGGGGAGTCGGCTTCGTAACCGTACGGCGGAGGAAGTGGGAGAGAAACGTATATCGCGTTGTTAGTCGCGCGCGCGCGCGTGTATGTGTGTGTGTGTATGTGCGCGCGCGACAGGGCTGTATACGACTATCCGATCGAGCAGGTAGTTCTTTTCCTTTATCTCGCCGTAAAATCGAGTGAACTTCCGTGTGGCTGAGCGAGGCACCTCCTCGGCTCCTTATGCCCGGAATCGTCCGCCTACGAAGGAGGCTTTGCATTGTTACCGCCGACCGATTGTCAAGCCGACAGCCGCGGATCAGTCTCGTCGACGACGGGATATTTTCAGCTCTCGCGTTGTTCTCCGTCGTCAATGTCGTCCGTAGCGACATCGTAGTCCGAGTCACTAATGGCGGAGTATTCAAATGACTCTAATTACCGTTGCGTCAGCGGCCGTCGAGCGTTCGGGCAATTTCCACCGATGACAACAATTCGCTCCTGAAGTGCGATTCTCCTGCGCGGTTCGGCTAAAAATAGAGGCCGTCGGCTAAAGTGTATCGCAACGAGGTCACCTCACGTGGAATGGTAAGCTGGTCGTGTGTGCGGACGTTTCGGAATTTCGAGTTATTAATCCACGTGAGGCGGAGGGTCTTGCCGGCCGACACCTGCAGGCGTCATTCATGCTGCGCGTCTTCTCTCCGTTTACAGAGCAAATAATCCGAAGTAGCGAGGCCGAGCTACGTAGATCTCCGGCGTGCGTTCCGTCTCCGTTCGGGACGAGAACCTTCACCGCGGGTGCCACGACTCTGACATTTCTCACAAAGGGAATCGGATCGCAGCTGGCGAGTGAAAAAAATATAGCCCCTGTCTTCTCTCTCGCTCTCGCCAAGCGTAGTCGTGAGAACCCGGGGGAGGGGGGGGGGGATTCACACGACAACTCCGATGCTGCTGCACGACTCTCCGAATTCGAAAGCGATGGATATGCAGGTCCGTAGACGGCTCTTCCCGTAGAAATGCAGGCTGAGAGAGCGAACGGAAAGAGAGCTCGTCGTTTGCTTCACCGCAGATGAAATTGAAAAATTGAATTTGCGAGCGCGCGTCCCGTCCCCCGTCGCGCGTACCTTCCACGGGAATTCCACCTGGAATCAGTCTTGAGAGCCGTCGCGCGTCGCGACGGCCGCCGTCGTTAGGGAGACAGAGGAACGTGAGGAGCGCGCACGAAGAATAATAGCAACGTCGGCGGGATCTTCACGCGAGTCGACCGCATGCTCTTCAGGCCGAAGAGAGAAAGTGTCGAGGCTCGTCGAGGACACGCGGAAACGCGGTGCCCCTCGAGAGAACCCGACAACCATCTCTCTCCGAGGCGATGGTCCGGCCGCGAGCGACTACGCTCCTGGAGCCAACGTAGCGGAGTGTTGCGTGCCAGGAGAGGAAAGGGCCCCCACCTGTTTCAGAGCGGCAGGAGACTCGCCTGAACGGGCTGCCTACGCGGAGGGACGCGATCCCGACGTCAGTATAGGCGCGGCAGTTTTCAGACGTAGCTTTCCTCGGCGAGAGGGTGTCGCGCGCTTCACACGTCGCGGCTGCGAGGGTCTCATCAGCATCTGCGCGTCATTTAGCCCTCGTATCGGACGTAGTTTATCCGCGCTATATCTCTCTCTCTCTCTCTCTCTCTCTCTCTCTTGGGCCACACCGATCGATAGCGTCATCGCGAGGGTACCGACACGAGCGCGCTTTAGCCGCTTACAGTTCGCCTTGCAGCAGTCGTCCGCGTCATCCGGCTGAATCGCCCAGGTGAGCGTCGCGCTCGTGGAGCACGTAATATACAAAGAAGTGTCTCGGTGTCTCTTAAGGCGGTGTGTGTCGGCGCTGAGGAGGAGGAGGCGCCTCGCCTCGCCTCACCTCGTCTCGACTTTTGCGTCTCTTTGGGTTTCTCAAAGTGGAGCGTTAGTCGTCGGGGGCCGAGAGGTGCGCGAAGTACCGTTCTAAGCGAAGTATTCGTAGCGAGGGAAACGCTCGGAGTACCGTTACTGTCGGTGAGTGAGAACGATGACGTGATCTAGCCGGCGGCGGCGGCGGCGGCGGGTGCAGCGGTGAGGTTGACTGGCATAATTCGAGTCCGCTGGCGCAGCTGTTGACGGAGCTGTGCGAAGGTAAAGGTTGTCCCACCTTCAGAGGTGGACGCGGAGTCACCTCTGAAGGAAACGCCGACGATATCCGGAGGAGAGGCCAATGGGCTCCTTTGGCGTCTTCGCGAAAGCGAAGCACGGCCACTCTCACCGGAGACGACGCGGCCGTTCTCGATGGATCGCGAATGACCGCGGCGAGTCGAACACACGAGCCTCGTTTCTTCGCGGGAAACGCGTGGAATGCGGCGATCGATCTCGCAACAAAGTGGATAAATAAATCCCGCCAGATTTATGGTCCATAAACAATCGAGAGCTGACCGCAGAAAGCGTGCCATTGACGTAGCCTCCGCTACACCTCGACTATTCCGACGCGCGATCGAGATCGAAACAGTCCCAACGTGGCCGACGTTCCGAGAGAGACAGAGAGAGAGAGAGAGAGAGAGAGAGAGAGAGGAAGAAAGTCGGAACGCGTTTATTGTTGCGCCGTCGACGACGGTCACGCGGAATCGGTGATCCACGGCGGAGCGAGCACCAGCGAGTCAGCTCGCGTGACAGCAGCAGCGGAGTCGCGAGTCGCGTTCCAACGTGCGAAGGCACCACGTGGGCGCGCGTGTTGAACAAACAAATCGGGAACGCTCGCCGAGTCGTTCGAGAATCGCACAAGCGCGAGCCGTTCCTTTCGGCCGGTCGTTAATCGCCAGGGAATCAAGCGTCGATTTCGCAACACGTCTCGAGAGCACGTACACACGTCGATGATGAAACCGAGCGAGCGCGAGAGATCGCTGTGATCGGTAAAGCGCGCTCGATCGCGAGGAGGAAATGATTCGACAATGAATCATCTAGCCGCGGTCGAGCGAGTCAACCGCGAGTACAATAAGATGACAATATCGCGATCGCGACAACGTTGTGTCGCACGATGGTGCGATAGGTCGTGCTCGTTTCAGGAAAATTTCAACATTGTTCATAGGCTTTGTTTGGGGGGGGGGAAGGGACGGTCGGGGATGACCTACTTTTCTAATTAATCGCTCATTGTGTCGCTATGACTCCGCCGTGAGCTTCGGGTGAAGCGTAGATTGTCATTAACTTTTGTGTGCATGTGTGTGTGTGTGTGTGTGTATGTGTGAGTCGACCGAATTAGCTCTAATCCAATCAAACACCATCAACGTTGAATCCAGCACTCGTCGTCACGCACGCGTCGGTTATTAACGACCGAGCGCGTTAACGACCAGATTGCTTCCCGATTGACGCGTCGTCTCATCTGAGGGAAATTTCTCTCTCTCTCTCTCTCTCTCTCTCTCTCTCTCTCTCCTCTCTCTCTCTCTCTCTTTATTTCCACATCGGCCGAACTAACGAGCGTCATTTTCTTCCGGCTTGCCTCTGCTTGGCCTTGTTCCTTATCTCGCGCGCACGTTGCTTCTTCTTCTTTTTCCTCTAATTCGTCGAGCGAATACGTCAAAGTTTAACGTAGACGTGCGCGCGCGCGGCACGGCGGGCAAGTTGTACTTGAGGAGAAATTTGTTGATTCAGCTGCACATAGTTCCTCTCCGTTCGCTTCTCTTGCGCTGGACGACGGACAAAGACGGACGGAGAGCGACCAAGGCCCCGAGCCGCGTGCTGTGCTTATGGTGAATTTAATACGGAAACCTGTTTCTACTTTCACGACTGGCAAGAGAGCCGCGGTTAAGGGGGCCATCTAAATATGGACACCGTAGTGCAGACGGAGAAAGAGAGAGAGAAAGAGAGAACGAGAGAGGCCGTTCGCGCGCCGCTTGAAACAACATCAGGAATTGGCTCGCAATAATATACAAGTTTTATCTTTCGACTCGAAGCATCGGAGAATCGCTGATCTCTCTCTCTCTCTCTCTCTCTCTCTCTCTCTCTAGAGATAAGACGCGAGACGAACTATTCGGAATGGCATAGAAAGCAACGAGGGCGCTCCTGATGTTACTAATCGACACGTTATTTTCCGAGACCGCGATAGCGCTGTTGAAAAGAGCGCTGGCAGGTCAGGCAGGAGGAAATACCTCAGCCTCCAACGCAGCTATCCACATTTCAGAGAAACCAGTTTTCGAAGGGTCTTCACTGATACGAGATTTCGTCGACAGGTCCAGGAGCGTCTCGAGGACCCGCCGGCGCCCGTGGAACCGGTATGCTCGTCCGTTTGTGACATCATCGACGAGGTGTGTCACGCTTACCGCACCTCCGGCAATCCGCAGGCCCGGGAACTGGTGAATCTTCTGAGCAAGTCGCACCTCAGGGCTCTCTTGGAGACGCACGACGCGGTGGTGGAGCGCAGAGGGGCACCCGAGGCCGCTAAACCGAATCCCCCGGCCGCGGTGACGATGCCGACGAACGAGAGAACAGAGGCCGTGAGGGTGGTTGGCCTCAGAAGGCAGTCGGATGAACCCTTGGTGAGTCGTTTATAAATAAACAAAGCTTAAATAGTTTCGTTATAAATAGAAGCGGCGTTAAAGCGAGGATAACTTTGCACGGTGAATGGGATCGAAGTCGTTCCTTTATCACGGGGATGGTCGTCGTCTCGGACTGGAGACGCCAAGGCTCCTTCCAATTCTCTTTGATCCAGTCGGGACTCGCGCGAGTCACTTAACGAAGAGAAGAGCAGTCGTGCTCCACCGCGCGGTGCTCGCGAGCAAGCAGACTCGAAGCCGTGTGTTTGGCCGGCGATTTGGGAGATTTATCGCTTTGGGGAAGCTCTACCCTCTCTCGAGTTAACTCGCCGGCGTTCGTCCCGGCGGAAAGACGGAAATGCCACTTGCAGAGTTCATAAATAAGTACGGATGTTTATTTCCACGGTGCGGCCACGTACCGGCCGCTGCCACGTGGCCCGCGGCGCTTTTCTGCCACTGCGTGCTCCTTCGAGATAACACGGCGAAATGTAGTCGACGCCTTTCAGCGTTGCCCGTCGTTTTCGTCGACGCTTTGTTTATCGACGAGGCGCGAGAAAGCCACGGTGTCGTGAGCGAAGTGTTCTTCACCCGGCTCGGCTCGCCGCGGCGATTGGACCAGCGAGACGCACGTCTTCACACGCCCGTGTTTCTTTCAGGGTCTGACGGTGCAGGTGGACGAGTCGGGCAACATGATCATTGCCAGGATCCTCGGCGGCAGCACAGCGGCTCGTCAAGGTCTCCTGAGGACCGGCGAGGTGATACTCGAGGTGAACGGCAAGCATGTGCGGAACCCGGAGGAGCTGCAGCAGGCGATCCACAACGCCAAGGAGAATCTGTCCCTGAAGCTCTCCCCGGGTATCGCGACGGACGCGAACCGGCCTGTCAAGTCCACGGTGAGCGATTCTAACGACGTGACGTTTGTCTTTCCGCTTCGATGCCTCCGGTAACCATTGGCTTTTTGCTCTACTTCCTACTCGTGGTGGTTTCCTTGGATCGTATTCTTTAAGCATCGCATTATGAACGTATAAGTGGGAAGAAAATCATAGGCTCCTTGGCGAAGGACTATTCGACCTGTCGTGTTGTTACAGTGTTACATGAGAGCACTCTTCGACTACGACCCGTCGGACGACACGCTTTTGCCTTGCAGAGAGATAGGTCTGTCCTTCCAGAAGGGCGACATCCTTCAGATCGTCGACCAAGCCGACCCAAACTGGTGGCAGGCGCGCAGGGTGGAAGGTGAAGGTCTTGGACCGCCTGGTCTGATACCCTCATTGGAACTGGAAGAGCGTAGGAAAGCCTTCGTGCCGCCCGAGGCCGACTTCGTTCACAAGATCAGCATCTGCGGCACCAGGATCTCGAAGAAGAAGAAGAGAAAGATGTACCAGTCCAAGTCGAACGGCGAGTTCGACGGTGCCGAGTTGCTCCTCTATGAGGAGGTCGCGCGAATGCCGCCGTTCCGGCGCAAAACCTTGGCCCTGGTCGGGCCGCGCGGCGTGGGCCGGCGGACCCTGAAGAACAGGCTGATCAACAGCGACCCCGACAAGTTCGGCACTATCGTACCTTGTGAGTAAAAATGTCCAGCGATGATTCGGTTGTCGTTATAAAAGACCTCAATGCGAGATTTATTTCATCCACGCCTGTTCTTCAAGCCTGTTACAAATCAGTCAATCTTCAAGTAATCAGTTGACAAGGGCGCGAGAGCTCATTGATCGCGCTGAACGATTGTAATCTGCGCAGACACGTCGAGGCCGCCCAGAGTCCTCGAAGAGGACGGTAAAAGCTACTGGTTTACCGATCGTGAGAGCATGGAGGCCGACATTAGGGAGCACAGGTTCCTGGAGCACGGCGAGCACAGTGGACACCTGTACGGCACGAAACTCGACTCCGTGCGCGACCTGATCAGAGCCGGTAAGATGTGTGTGCTGGACTGCAGTCCGGCCGCCCTCAAGATCCTCCACAACAGCACGGAGTTCATGCCCTACGTCATATTCATCGCCGCGCCCGGCATGGAGCAGCTGAAGTCCCTGTACGATCTCGGGAGATCGACCGGCGCCAGCAGCCGGAACTTGACGGTAATTTTCCACCAGACTCGCGCCTGCGTCCTACGTAAAATCACTTTCTCCCCGTGATTCACATCCGTGATATTTTTTTGTGCTCTACTCTCAAGCTCCTCGTATCGCTCCTTATGTGATATGCTAGTCACTTTACTGATATGCAACTACCTTATTCTTACTCTCATTCGCATTCAGTTTTTTGCTGTATTCGATCTCAGTTTAGTTAATTCGTCGTATAAATTTGATGTTGGCTTCGCTAGTTCGACCGCCAGAGTTCCATCAGGTACAGCTCGAGGAGAGCCCGGACGCTGGAGTCCCTCGCATCACTATACGAGGTTTGTATTGCATGACTACTCGATCAATGAATGTGAAAACAACACACGCTTATGTTACGTTGTGCACTTCTCCGTTCGATTCTCCAACTTGTGCAATTGTAGTCCTCCACGTAGCGGCGAATTGTAGTTCTCCAATGCGGCACGTGTTTATATAGCGTCATCTTTGCCGTGGTACGCCATTAGCGGCGAATTAAGCATGTCGCTGCGTCGCACGCGATTTCGTCGTTCCAAATCGTGGGATAGAATTCCGCCGACGCCGCGTGACGAAAACCACGAGGAAGTCGACCTTTTCCTTCGTCGATCCTGACGATCACTTCTTCAGCCTCGTCGTCGTGTTATTGACGTCGTAGATATATTACGCTTGCCCGAGCACTTTGGCCATTGCTAATTAAATCGCAGCTCTAAACGTGACCTCGTCCGAAACGCATCTTAGCGCGCCGTCTTTTAGCGCGAGGCTGTGTTGCGCCAAGCACTGTTCTCTACTAGAGAAATAACGTAGGCAATAATACAACGTAGGAGCAAACGATTAATCGACGATCTATCTGGTAACAGGAGGACGACCTCAAGTCCACCCTGGAGGAATCCGCTGCCCTACAGAGAGCCTACGAGAAGTACATCGACTTGGTGATCGTGAACGAGGACTTTGACCACACGTTCAGGCAGGTGATCGCGGCTCTGGACGCCTTAGCCACTGAGCATCAGTGGGTGCCGGTGAATTGGATCTACTAACCACTTCCCGTGTGCAGCATTTCACGAGAGAACGCGCGGTACTCGTTGCTTGGAGCTCGAGCGTGTGGGAATTATTACGTATAACGTCGATACCATCGCGCCGGGAACCGGCCGAGATTACATCGCACGAGCCGCATAAATGAAAGAGAAAACTCATAAAAAGAGAAAAAAGGGAAGCGAGGCACATTGTAATTAGAGTACAAAGAACGTTACACTTCGTGCCGCCGCCTAGGATTACCGACTTCACCGCGCCCGGAAGGGCCGTCCGAGAATCTCATTGCCGTTTATATGTAGTTAAGTACAAGATAGAGTTTACGTTAGTTTACGTTATAGGTTTACAAACGACCCGTTCTCCGTCTCCGTCTCCGTGGAATCTCATCAAATATCCGCGTGTCAAAGTACGTTACAAACCATATTATAACGGAGCGCAGAAGCATCTCAGACGGTGGATCGGAATCGCAGCGAGGGTAACCGATCGCTTGTTCAAAAACGAAGAATGCGATCGCTGCGTTCGGCGGTGACGGAGCGCTTGACGAGCGATCCGCTCGAATTGGATCTGGTCGAGGTCTACGACGACCTCGAATTCGCGAGTCGAGCGTGTTAAATGCTTCGTCGCCGTCGGACCCGACGGCGGTTGCCGTCGTCCTTTACGTTTGAATAACGACGCGAAAATCACATCGCACGCTGCGTGCTTTTTACTGCCAACCTCTCTACAACGATTGTAACGTTAGCAACGGGTCGATTGATTGATGTAAGTGTTGTTAGACCGCCGTCCAATTAATTTTAGCGTACTTTTAATTCTTACGTCGACTTTCAGCCGCGTATACATGTATGATGATGATGATCTTTTCTAGTTGTCTAATTGTCCATTACCGCTCGTCTCGTTTCGTGCGCATTCTCTGTCTCGTTTCGTTGCTCGTGCACGCGCTAAGTATATTCCTGGCATAGAGTGCCTTAATAGCACAAGCCTTATAAAATCGGGTTGATGCGAAGACCTACTATATCGAGACAGACTCGTCTTACATTCGGGTTTACGTAAGGCAGAACTAATAAACGCGTTTTCTAACGTCCGACAGAGAGACAGAGACAGCCATCACACACGACACACACGTATACACACGACGCGCGCAGAAACACGTATACATATGTAGACGCAAACCAAATACATCTGTATGTTAAATCGAGACGCATGTCTCGAGGTGCAACGTAATACACCATGTGGAATAAAAGTTTATCGAACATTTGTTACGAATCAAGAAGCATAATGAGTTTTGTCGATGATTCATTGTCCGCGTTTACGTTTTTTTTTTTTTTCCTTTGCGGTGTCATTAGTACGCTTCATTAGTGCGCTGAGCACTAACAATTTCATGTTACTTATCTTCTCTCCTAGGTAGAAATTTAAGTTCCGTTAGAAATCAATTAAATCTATCGTATTCTTTTGGACCTACCACATCTATTGCATTTCTCCTTTCATTAGGAATTCTGCTTTTCTTTATCTACGAAATCGCGAATCTTTCTCCTTTTAATGTTTCTTAATTAAAACACAGTTTTGTTGGTTACCTTGTTGATGGTTTTTGACATCTTTTCGCGATTATACTCTATGTCTGTTAACATTTATGTTAATTTGGAGCTTCGTATTCCAGCCACGTTTTTTCTAAGAGGGCACCAGCGCTCAACGAGATTTCTCTGGTATTTTAAATAAATTCTAAATTTTATGGAGGACGACAACGACGACGACGAGGACTTCCAGTAGCAGATTCATTATAATAATGATATATTTATATAATATTTTCATGTCGTCGGTAATTTGTATCGCCATGATAATCGAAATATAGAATGGTATAAATGTTCGTTTTATTTTCAGCGTAGCCATCGATGGAGTACTATAAAGACTTACTGTTGGTCTTACGGGATAAAATGATAAAGAAAACTCATTTTTTCATCATGATTCGATCATTTTCTCGTCATTTTGATGTTATCATGATCTTCTGTTCTGCCTGGGCAGTCTTTACAGTATCTCGTCGGTGTCATCGGTTTTCAATTACCTCTGGAGCCCCCGGGGCCCCCTTGCCAATACGAAAATTTACCCAGGTTTGACAAAGACTGCGTTCAGAAAACACAACGGTTACACAACCGTTGAGTAATTCGTCAACGTTATTGGTCCGAATGTAAAAATCTAAAGCCAGCGGCACACGATGCTTGTTTCGTGCTGGATTGCTTGCTGGATGAAAATATTGCGTTCTGATTGGTGCATTTTCATCCATCTTCGAAAATATACCAATCACAACGCGGTATTTTCATCCAGCAAGCAATCCAGCACGAAAACAAGCACCGTGTGCCGCTGGCTTTACAGTAAGGGCCAATAGTCACTAATCGCTCACTGAGCGGTTTTCTCCGCTGAATGCACCCAATCTTTAGCATTATCAGAGAGAAACCTGAGAGCGGCCACCGGACCTGTTACGCTGGGACGCTTTTTCCGACGCGCCCCCTGAGAAAATGTATGCACACTACGCCCATTCTGACAATAACGGCAAAGCGTGAACGTTTCTAAAGGCCATTGCACGTACAAAAGTTTTAGTCGTAACCGTAAGTCCGTAAGCAAATTGACCAATCACAATTCGTATATTTCGAGATGCTGGATTGTGATTGGTCAATTTGCTTACGGTCTTACGGTTACGACTAAAATTTTTTTACGTGCAATAGCCTTTAAGGCTCGTCTGCAATAGCTGTAAGAGTGAGGCTGTAAGGCTGTAACGTAAGCTGTCAGCGAATGAAAATATTTCATTTCGTGTCTTGCAACCTTACAGCCTTACTCTTACAGCTAATGTAGACGAGCCTTAAGGTCATTCTACAATACGTGTCGTAAATTGTAAGCCGTAAGAATTGGCGAATCACAGTCGATTATTACAAAAATAATCGGCTATAATTGGTCAGTTCTTATGGCTTACAACTTACGACACGTTGTAGAATGACCTTTATTCATTCTACTTCCTTAAGGAAGATAGTAAGATAGAAAAGCATAGACGATCAATTGCTCTCTGTCTTTGTCGCACCACCGATGAGCATACGCGTGGTAAGAGAAGGCACGAAGCGAATCAGCGGCAGGTCTTATCGCTAAATTAGAATCTCTCCCCCCGTCTTGCCTTTTCGCCTTCTCATCTTCCGAGCAACACACTTGTCCGCAATTCGGGAAGAAGTATTTCGAGACCGCACGGGAAACTTTTAGCAATGACACAAAATGACGCTAATGATTGGCCATTTTTATAATTTTTATATTCAATTATGAACATATACATGCATATGCGTTGTAAATGTTAACATTTATTGCAATAATACAATAATTATTATATTTTAATTATTAATATTAAATAATTTTATTAACGCTAATAATTTAAATGATATCATAGTAATTTGAGATACTCATCTTCTTGCGAGGGAATTGACATATCCATCTGATTTCGAAAATATTTCTTTGTTTGAGATTTTTACGAATCAGCATGCAAAATTATATAATGGATTGTTGAGTGTTTGCAGGAAAAAAGTGAAAAGTTTAATACATAGATATTGTTCTCAAGTAGAGATGTTAAAACCTTTAGGGCCAGAGCACAGGCTTTTGCATAACACATAATACATAACGCATAAGAGAATAAACCAATTAGTTTTCTTCATTTCCCTCCTCACAGAACAGGACAGAAATGAAGAACTCTGATTGGTTAATTCTCTTATGCGTTGTATATTATACGTTATGCAAAAGTCTGTGCTCTGGCCCATTAGTTTCATCTTCTAAGTAATCTTATTCAACGGCGAATTAGACGTTCTTTATTCTGTCACGAAAAATGGGCAAAATTCAACTAGTTATAACTTCGGTGGAAATAAGGATAGCAAAATGATCTGGAAAGTATTTTAAAGCTTGATGTCTCTACTTTTCAGCTAAACAAAATGTATAACGTTACTATTGTTTACTATTAGTAAGTTACGAGAAAAATGCAGCAATGATATTTTAGTTTTATATACAAATTTTAAAAAAATCACTGGCTATTAGTAAACAAAGTTCACTACCAAGAGAGTCCAATAATTTCCAAATTTCATTAATTATAAAAGATCAACGAGTTTTCGATTTTTTGGAAGAAAATTATTTTTTTCAACATCGCCCTACTTTATAACGCGGTTCATAATTGATTATCGTGGCGCCTTTATTCCAACGAGAAAAACGTCTTCGTATGCGAACGCCATTACGCGGCGAAGGCGTTTTCATTCGCCGTTCCTGTCGTCTCGCTACATACGCATCTCGGTCGAGCGAGAAATTCCATGCCAGTGTCAGGGTTGGATATGTGTGCGGGTGTGTGTGCTGTGTGTGTTACGTCGTATCTATTACCGGTGGTGTAGTCGCGCATTTTCGCGATTGAACGCGAGCTTTCTAACAGAAAACGAAGCTATACTTGTCGCGATTATGGTGCAAGTACGTTACACTCGTAACCTGTTCCTGCGCGGGATCTGCATTATATATTTGTTCGCCTTCCTCAGCTTTTACGTACAAATCCCGGGTAGGTATGCGCGTTTGTGGTGAAAAAAAAAAAACTTTCTGCTTGCCTGCGTTTTCTCCCGTTGTGATTGTTACCACCGCGATTATGCAGAGCCTTCTCTTCTGTTCCTACGGTGTTATTCGCGAGATATATTGATTCAAAAGATGCCCAAGGTTTATTCATATAAAAAAAGAATTAACGTTTATCAGTAGTGAACACTCACGCGTGATTGTATGTGGTTTGAGATGTTAGATAACATTATATAGATAATTTCTCACTCGTCATGTATTAATTAATATTCAGTCATTACATTTATATACAGTATAGAGAAAGAGAGAAAACTTTGATAAATATTTAGATCATGAGTATATTTGATAGAAATATGACATTTTTACACACATATTATATTGCAATACCATATTATTTATTATAATTGCATCGGTCACAAGAGAAGAGTTTACTAAACTTTTATGACATTATTTTAGAAATATAGATTGCAACATTGCAGTGATTTATATGAGATTTATCCTTGTTGGCTACTTGGAAGCAACAATGTAAATTAAAATATATATATTTTTATAAAAATAGGATTGTACGGTGATAATGGAATTCTGCCAGCCAGAACAGAAGTGGATTTCAAGAAACGCACACTATTCAACAAGCTGAAGCAGAAGCCAACATTAATATGGTTTGCACCATATCTAGGCTTAAATGTGGAATATATGCTGGATGTGTTGGCTCTTCTTGGAGTTATTTCCTCCTTTGCAGGGTATGCATAATATATATCTGTGTTTATAATCTATAAAATTAAAATGAAAGAATACTTTTATCATCAAAACTCATTCTATTCATCTATTCATATATAATGATTTGTGAGCTTTGTTGTTAAAATATAACAAAGTAGTCAATGTTTAACATTATATTTGCTTGCAGATTTGTCTCGCAAAAATTCTGCAATGCTTCAGTATTTGCAGGGCTGTGGTCTCTGTATTACTCCTTGTACCAGATTGGGCAAACATTTATGTGGTTTCAATGGTGAGCCATGTATTTATCTTTTTCTTATTTGCAGCATAATTTATATTATATCATTGATAGTTATCTTCTAGACAAAGATAATATTAATATCAATTCAAAGAATACTGCCAACTGTTCTAATATTTCATATAATTTAATTAAACTTTGTATGATATAAAGTCTCCATAAAATATATGATATCATACATGTAAAACAGATAGTAGCCAAATTAGGAAAATACTTCCTGTCATTCTATTTTAATTTGTAAAAAATAGAGTTTAAATATGTATTCAAATATGACATAAAAAAATTTTTTTTCATATTTTGTAAAAATTTGCTCACTTAACCACAAGTAACTGAATTGTTTAATAATTTAATTTTATATATTCCCATTACAGGGATGTTTTATTGCTAGAGGTAGGATTTCTATGTATATTCATAGCACCATTTTGGTATTCACGCTGGAAGTCAAACACTCCAAGCGATGCCATGGTGTTCTGGATGGTACGCTGGTTGCTCTTCCGTCTCATGTTTTCTAGCGGAGTAGTGAAACTTACTTCGGGATGTCCAATGTGGTGGAAGTTGGATGGTAAAAAATATATATTTTTGCGGATTTTGCGATTTTTGCGGAACGTTTGACAAGTAACGTTTGACATTATTGTGTTAATCGCGATGCGCTCCCATGTTTTACAGCTCTAAATGTTCATTTCGAGTCTCAGTGTATACCTACTCCTCTGGCATGGTACGCTCATCATCTACCAGCATGGTACCTTCGTCTGGCTACTGTCTTTGCAAACGTCATTGAGCTCGCTGTACCATTCTTATTTTTCTTTCCCGACATAAAAGTGAGAAAAGTGGCATTTTATGCTCAGGTATGCAATCCATAGAAAGACAAGATGTCCACATGGACCGTTGATTATCGGTCGAACCACACTTGTTGTGTCGTAGTAACTTTATAACGGTGCTGTTCTAGGTGTTTCTACAAATATGTATCATTGCCACTGGAAATTACAATTTCTTCAATTTCTTAACCATCTGCTTATGCATATCCTTGCTGGATGATCAGTTCTTTTACAAACGACGATCCCGAGGTGACGCGTCTCATATGCTCACAATGAGCACCGAATCTACTCTACTAGCTGTGGTGGTTTACGGAGCGTTAATGTATGGAACGTACCTTTGTTATGACCTTAAGATAACAAACTGGACCATTCAATCGAATATTGGTATTAATCAATGTTTTGTCGACAAGAACGAGCAACGATTTAGCGTAATTTTTACAAATCATAATTATCCTTATTTTTGCAGCATTTACTAAGGAACAATTCGATTATATCCTATCTCGTGTAATACCTTTTTCTATATATATTGGCACGATCTCTCTCGGAGTTACGACGATGTACGCGCTAATTAATTCGGCATATTTCACGAAAGGGATGTACAACAAAATGACGTCGACTATAGTTACGATTTTCTACGGCTTAGTCGTATGGTCGATCTTCACTATAAGTCTCGTAAGTACATACGGCAAGTGGTTACGTCATACGTGAACGTTACATCACTACGTTCGTAATCACTGAAAATACTCGCCGTAATCGAACGCACGCATAAAGCGCGTATGAAAGATAAGATGAATGTTCACAGGTGCCGTATGCCGTTTCACATGCGTCTAACTCGACGATACCTCCTAAATTGATAGAAATTCACACCAAGGTGAATCATCTTCATTTGGTGAACAGCTACGGCTTGTTTCGTCGTATGACCGGAATCGAAGGTAGACCGGAAGTTATAATAGAGGGCAGCGACAGTATCGATGGGCCATGGAAGGAATATGAATTTTTATACAAACCAGGAAACGTTAACAACTCGTTACCGTTTGTTGGTGAGAAGATCCTAGATACAGTAATAAATATAACGAGAACCACATCTAAAACAAAACAAAGTGATATTGCGAGTTTTATATTTTTGTTCCTCATTAAGTTTCTAATGCACAAATTAAATAATGTTGCGAAAAAAAGTCTTGACAAAACGCAACCTTAGTAACATTCTGCTTTCTGCAGCGCCTCATCAACCTCGCCTCGATTGGCAAATGTGGTTCGCCGCTTTAAGTACATACAACCGCAATCCCTGGTTAATGCCGTTAGTTTATCGTCTGTTGACTGGGCAACCTGAGGTATTAGCGCTAATGAACACCGTCGAGAGTCCATTCCGAGACAGACCGCCGAAATATATCAAGGCCGAACTCTATTATTACCGTTATACGCCATGGAGCCAGACGTGAGTACTATTTTACAAAGTTGATATGCAGAGTGTCCTATGGAAACGCTCTTCTCCAATACACCGATTATAAATTGAAACATCATATATTGTCACACAAATATATGTTTTCACATATAGATCGAATACTTATGCTTGGTGGACCAGGGAAAAAATAGGAGAATATTTCCCAATATTCAGCCGAGATCATCCACCACTTCTCGAATATCTGAAGAATATGAAAACTCTGCAAGATAAGCCAAGTCCCAAGATCACAAACGAGACGCTCAGATGGATTTTGGATTGTTTGAGGAGTTTGGTCGGTAAAATGGAAGCGTGTCTACTATTGTGGAGTGTTCTCACAGCGGGATCGGCTATAATTGTAACAGGTTACAGCAATTCGATTTCGAAAAAGAAGTAATTACCAAGCAATAATCATTACGAAAACTTGTGAGTTATAAAACTAAAAAAGATATTGAGTGTTGATAAAATAGAATACGAACTATAAAATATACACACGTATACCGATTAAGAATTACTTGCATTATGATGCAACTGAAGGACATGCAGATATTACTTTTCCTTTTTTTTGTAACATATCTCTGCATTTATTCTTCTCATCTAATAGATCTCTGTCGGACAATATTAATCGTTATACATATGTAACGATCGGTCGTATATAACACATTACGCATGCAATGAATCTCCATTAAAATCAATCTGAATTCAGAAAGATGAAGATATGACGTTTATTGTTTTGTATAAATTAAGCGATGAATTCAGTAAAGGAGATATGACTATATTGTTCATCGTTCAATGAACGATATTTTCCGAATGCATTTTATTGCGTCTTGTTTATATTAATAAAATAATATCCATGTTTTTATAACACTGATTGCAGGAAACGTGTATATTATTTATAGTATCTTAAAATTATCGTATCTCTCATTTCATAAATATTGTTGTATAATGTAATATAATTAACTTTTGCTATTCTCGATTAGTATAAAGAGTTTATATCGAAATGAAGGAAAGAAAATGTATTTATTTTAACAAGAAGTAAATGAGAGAAAAGGAAAAACGCGAATTTTTCCATATACAAAGTATATTTTCTCAAGTGAATTGTCGATATTCCATTTTTCTTACATTTAGTCAGTAACTGGAACTGGATTTTTCGTATAAAACTACTTTATTCTTACGGCCTTCCGATAATAATTTAATAATTATAATCTATATTCTACTTACTCACTCTAATTATATGTAATATATGTGTCTTTAATATATGTGTATTTGTACATATATACATTTATACATACATATTTCAATATAGCATGATAATCGTCACCATTATATAATATATTATGAATTATTTTCAGAAAATTATACATTTATATTAAATAAAAGTCGGTCCTACAACCGCCTACTTCGATATAAAGAAATGTACACTTGAGAATATAAGTAATAAGACTTTTGTGCTTCCTAAATAAATTTTAATTAGTTAAGTTGTATTAGTAACAATATAATTTTATTCATCAAATTCATACAATATCACATGTTATTTGAACAAAAAAAGAATGATGTGATTACTTCAATATAATCAAGAAATTGTCATTTTACACAATTTCATTCTCCTTTAAGATCATTTTTTAATATGTCTATTCTATGAGAGACTGTTATTCGCAAATGTTTATCGTCCATCCTTCTCAGCCTGTGTCTCCAACGATTTCTCAGTTGTATCCTCCTTCTGTTCCGTTGCAAACAGCGATTCTGGTTTGGATAACTCCATGAAGACATGCGACAAAGCCAAGGGTAATCGAAATAAACGCATTAGACGAGCTTTCAATGTCTGATACGCTTTCTTGTGTTCAGGACTCATCGATCTTATCATTTGTTGCGTATTATTTGCTGGTTGCGATTTGTTGATTTTATGTTCATATAACATTTTCCAGAGAAACAAGTTTTTCAGACCTAATAAAGTCTCGTTGCTCGGTGCAATTGCTTTCTCCGACATAACTATTTCTTTATCTTTTTCACTAATGTGTTCAGTGCAAGTAGTTTCTTGTACGTTATGCGATCGTAAAGTTTCGGTATTGCAGTTTTCCATTTTTATTCTCGTATTTGGTCCAGATCTTAAGGAGGCTCGAGTTCTCACGGACGCCCGAGTTCTTACTTTATCATGAGGAGCCTCGTATTTAAATGATGCGTGTGGATCTACATCTTGTGTGTTATAACTATAATAATCGTTGATTAAGAGTTGGCTAAGTTTCTGAAACTGGATATCTTCTTCAATACTAACGTAAAGCGAATTAATACTACAAGGAATTTGTCTGTCTGTAGGTATGTCGATAAGAAACTTCTCGCTTAGATCTAGATTATAATTTATGGAATTCGTTTCATATTTTTTCCTTTTTTTGACATATCCGTTAAAAGGAAGCGGCGGAATAAAATGAGAGGTAACTTCTGTTTCTGAACCGAACATTCGATGCCTGAATCTTTCAATTACTAAGTCGCGTTCATCGTTGCTCACACAATGATGTGCTTTCACATAACTTTTCAAAGAAGTAAAAAGTTGTCTTTCTTTTTTACTCAGATGCGCATAATCGAAGAAACTTGTTGGGATATCGAGATTAGCATTTAATTGTCTCAATACATCATATAACTCTCTAGTATTACGTGAGAGTTCCGTAGCGTCGAGTTCCTGTGAAATGATGTTTTCAACAATAGGCGGATAGCTAAGATTTTCGAACAATCTTGCTTGAATCGTGTCTTTAGATGTGTTGAAATTTGATTGAGATTCTTTAGTTTTCAAATCATCGGACGACGTCGATGATTCACAGGTTTTTTTACAGTTGGGCGACGTTAGCGTATCGTATCTGGGTAAAGTCTCGATTGTGTAACCCTTGTTTATGTATCTCTGCAACGCCTTATACCGATGTCTCACTTGTGTCCTCGTCCGCAACGTGAAGTTCCTGGCTATTTCAACCCACTCGTTACCGTACTTCTTATGCAACTTCATCAGTTCTATGTCATCTTCGTATGTCCAGGCGTTACTTTTACTCTGCAATATTGTTTGATAGTGACCGCTGAGTTGCACAGTGGTTCGATGTGGCATCACGTGGCGTGATATCTTGCTGAAGTCCGTGCCGTATTGTTTTATCGCTTTCAGGAGAGTCTGTGTTTCGTGATACTTGAATCTACCCTTCCTCAAATGCGGCGCTTTTCTATACATCCATCGGGCGTAAACCTGTTGCTTGGTTCTATTGTCCAGGTAGATCGCGACCTCAGCCCAAGGGATGTAATTTCCAATCTGAAGTCTATTTATAACCAGTTCGAGCTGTTGGTCCTCCGAAATGTTCCAGGCGCGCCCCACGATCGGCAAATTTTGAATAGTATTAAATCGAATGAAACACTGGTAAGCGCTGCGTTTGGTACCGAGTCTCGCCGCGATGATATCCCAATCTTGATAATCGCATTTCTTCGCACAGTATAGCAATACCTTATCCTCTTTATTTGTCCAGTCGGTTTTGTTGATGTCAGGGTGCAAGTACACATTCCACATGGACTGGCACTCACTTGGTGAGTGTTTATTCTCGAAATCCTGACATGCTATTTTCATCCAATCGAACTTTCTGGAATCCATCATTTTTACCATCTCGTCAAAGTTTGTGGGAATTCGTACTAACGTCCTAGTTGAACTGTTCTCAGTGTTATTGCTCTCACTGTGCATTCCGTCGATTGTTTTGTCTAGGTTTCCAGTTTGATTACGCAAAGTATCGGGTTTTCTATTAGATGGCTGCTCAATTTGTGTGTAGGAACCTGCTATTGGTACTAACTTGAAAATTTCATTATATATAGCGTTTAAAAGTGTTGTCCTGTCCCTCCCTGACCAACGACATGGTTTCTGTATCTGCAATACAGACAATTCTCCCCGAGTCTCCTTTAACTTTGTGTCAGAATTCTTGGGGGCTGTGAAACCAAGTTTATCCTTGAAATATGGCATTCCAGCTATGGAATGTTTTGTACGTTCATTTATTACGCTCCCATTCTTGCTTGCTTCTATTTCTTCATTTATCTCTTCTATTTTTTCCTCGCAATGCTGCAGCAATGTATTCACGTTCTTCTTAACCATCATCAGACCTTTGATCAATTTTGTATTAATTTCATAGGCATTTTCAAATTCAGTATCCTGACACGACAAGATGTAGAACTCATCTTCATTATGTGAATCATTGTCAGATTCATCAGACATGGACAAATTGCTGTCATCATGTGAGTCATGCCACGAACGATCAGTTTTATCATTGGTATTTATCATCAAGGCATTATCCAATGCCGTGATATCTGCCAAAATATCTGAACCCTCAGACTCACTCATTGTAAGTTTTATTTATCACGTTCCGTCCTATGTTTGCGTTTCTACCACTGCAGGAAGTAAGTCAAATGCTGCAATATACTGCTTAACTTTGGGTGCATTCCGTTTCACGCATATACGCGCATTTTTTATAGTATATGTGACATAAACCATAGATAAATGCACGCATATGTGTGAAACGGAACGCACCCTTCACTGTTTAACTTACTGTTAGTAATACGTTTCTCTGGTAAATAAGTGCTTACCAATAAATAATGATCCACTTCTCTCCTTGAGCAAAATTATATGTACCAATTATTGCTGAATCAAGGCAGCATCAGAAAATCCATCCTGTGTTAAAAATATCTGCAAAATCAAAGTGTCATTCTCTTGAGATTATGTATCACTTTAAATGTATCACGTATGCTTGCTGTATTACTATTCTTACATCATTATTGCTGTTGTTATCCAAGCAAAATTATCCGAAAGTGCACACAGTACAGATAGGTCTTGCCACACGCAGTATATTGCTTAGCTTGTGAAGAACAAAAATCGAGTTTTTTCGTATGTTTTCGTTCAGTGAACTCTATTGTAGTTGGGTACAACTAGATGAAAACACACGAAACAAGCTACATGAGCTACAAAATGTGTTGTACGTTCAGTTTATTTCATATCTTTATGATTGGTTTCGTCGATTATCCTTCTATGAAATATTGTTCCTAACAAAGCACAGTTTTATTGCTTAATAAAATGATCATGATATTGTGAAAAAAGTCAATGAACCGCGCCACATGCATCTGGCATGTGTATATATAAAAAAGTTGTCTTCTCTAGCTACACTATTGTGCACTTTCTGTACTTAAAACGTATTTAAAACGAAGAGAGAGAGAGAGAGAGAGAGAGTGGGGAAAAAAGGAGCAATTAAAAAGAACAGATTCCAAGTTTCCAAGTTTAAATAGATTTCGCAAATGTCCACGATAGTCGATCGGTTCTTTTTCGCTGAATTAGTTTATATATCTAGAACTTAAAGAAAAAACTTAAAATATATATACTCGGTGGGAAAAAACGAGAAAAAAACTGGACCAAGCTAATGTAAGGAGTGCAGTGAAAAAGAACAAACCGAATCTCCGAACAACCGGAAGTCAGCCCTAAGTATCGAAAAACGATATAAAGCTTCTTCTTTTTGAATTCACTTCTAATGTAATCGCTTTCGAAACTATTGCTGACTAACGATTATTTCATTACCGCCATCTTACATTTGTATCGTCGTAACTGTCGTTTCTTCTCGCGCTTTTACATCATGCTCCTCGGCAGTTCTTCCATCCGTACCGATCTCGGTTGTCCTGACAGTACAATGCCGCAATGTTCAGCTTCGACCGCGAATCTTTCTCTCTGGAGCTCTGGAATTCATGAAAGATAGAGTTATCCTGATGAAATCATTTGGAAATATTCCCTTTTCACGATTTTGGCTCCTTCCGGAGATTGAGAATTACCAGAGATCAGAGAATAAAATTCGACGGTTCGTATAATTTCGGCCTTCCTTCACTCTCCGTCCCGATTCATCAAATTCCGACCTCGAAGTCATCCTCACGGATCATATCTTCGATACCTCGTTCGGCACAGGTTTTACAACGCTTTGCGACGACGCGAAATCAGCAGCAGCCGTCTTCGTCGGCTGCTTTCCTTGCCTCGGAGGCCGCGCGCGCGTCGCGGCTACAGGCTTTTGACATTCGGCCGGAAGTCGCGCACATATGTTTCCGTTGGTCGTCGCTGCGGAGGCGCGGCTGCGCAGTCGGGCCACGGCCTGAATATGTCGACCGACCGCGGCGCAGGGAATGCGCGTAACGTACGCTGAGAATTGCCGAACATGACCGTGGCGAATTTCGTCGGTTGAACGCGTCGACTCGGTGTTAACGCGCAGCACCACATTGCCGAGGAGTCGACACGGCGGCGGCCACTAGTGCGCAACGTATCCGCCGTCCGGAGATCGGGATCAGGTCTCCGGAGGAGAACGACGACAACGAGCAGGGGGAGGAGGAAGAGGAGGAGGAGGAGGAGGAGGAGGAGGAGGAGGAGGAGGAGAAGGAGGAGGAGGAGGAGGAGAAGGAGGAGGAGGAGGAGAAGGAGGAGGAGGAGGAGGCGGCAGTGGCGGCGGCGGCGGCGGAGCAGGAGGAGGAAGAGGAGAGAAGTCCAGTTGCGAGAGAGCGAGCGAGCGCCGTGTCGTGTCGTGCCGTGCCGTGTCGTATCGCGTCGTATCGTACTTGGCGCGAGACACCGCACCGCACCGTGTCTCTCCTGATACCGTATCGTTCCGGGGGCGGTGATCGCAGACGCGAGGATTAGTCGGAGCGGAGCGGAGCGAAGCGAGCGCGGGAGCCTTATGTCAAGTCGGTTCGCGGTCGGAAGGGAGGCCGCCGACGACGACGACGAGGACAACGCGCGTCAACATGAAGAAGCTATTCTCGAAGATCGACAACACGTCGAAGGAACCCAACAGCTACCTGGGGAAGGTGTTTGTGGTGGGCCGACATACTGTCACCGTTGAGGAGGTTCTGGCAGAAGGTATGTACGCATCGTTGCCTTACTTCACTTCGTTACTCGATACTCGCTCTCCGTCTTTCTATCTCTCGCTCTCTTTCTCCTCCACCTCCTCCTCTCTCTCTCTCTTTCTCTCTCTCTCTCCCTCTCTATCTCACCGCTCGCTCGCTCGCTCGGTCACTCGCTCGCTCTATCCAGTCTGTTTCTCTCTTTCTTGCTCTCGTTCGATCTCGTCTTGCCGCGCACAACCCTTTCGCCCCCAGCTGGTTGTCGTCTCGCTTGTCTCCTTTTCCGCTCGAGCGAACGAACGAACGAACGAACGAGCGAGCAAGCGAGCGAACGGTCGCTCGCTTGCCTGCACGTTCCTTACGCGCGAAATCGTCGCGGGAGATGACGACTATGCGCGATCGTCTTGCCGATATCGCGAACACCGGACTTCGTGGCGTGCGTGCGGAACCGCCGCGGTATCGATAAGAGCGATGATGGTGCGCGATCTCCGTCCGAGACGATATTCGGGGACGTCGTTGGTTTCGTCGTGGATACTCAACGGGCTCTTTCCTTCTCATGCAACGTATTTCACGCGGTGAAATCGGGACACTTGGTCGCGAGGAGGACGCTGTCTTGAGGAGAACGAACCTGATCACTTCTCGGAGTAACACGAGTGCTTGATTGTTATTCTGATAGCTGGCGTTGCGAGACCTTTCTCAAGGATTCTTTCGAGTACGCAGTCTGCATCTGTCATAGACGGTGTCGTGGGATACGTTCTCTCGTTAGGTGCGACATATCGACGCTGGCGAGGAGAAATCGATCGGCCCCATCGGCGAGTGTGTGCTTTGAGTGTGAATAATGAAATGTGTCGCGACTTTTATCACCGTGTTTTATTCGCGTCGGCGATTAACGCCGATTGTAATCGTATCTGTGTCAAGTTACAGTATGCGGTACTGCGTTTTGCAGTATAATCTCGCGACTTTTCGTGGGTTTCGCATACTAATTATCGCGGTTTGATCAATTTACGTTACTCTGTGCTGCATCCGACGTAACACGGAGTGTAACATTGACGGTTTGACGTTCTACGTAAAGAAAGTAATATTTGTGTTTCTTTTATCTGTAACGACTTCTCAAACTTCCTTGTATTCTTCATTCGCAGGAGGATTTGCAATTGTATTTTTGGTCAAAGCGTCCGGTGGGCGATATGCACTTAAACGGATGTATGTCAACAATGAACATGATCTCAACGTATGCAAAAGGGAGATACAAATCGCTGTGAGTAAGAGAGCAGAGCTTTCTGTCTATTTAATTTACAATGTATGATACTCTTCGCACGTAAGGACTGCATGTAACATTCGTATTTGCAGAGCAACTTGAGTGGTCATAAAAATATCATAGGATATGTAGATAGTAGCATAACTCACACTGGCGGAGGAGTACACGAACTTCTACTTTTAATGCCTTATTGTAAATCTCAAGTTCTTCAAATGATGAATAACAGGTTAGTGCTGATTTAGATATAGATATGTATATCCCTCTCAGTGAAATGAGATATTTCTCTGGTTACAACAATATATTTCTTGACATGTATACTCATACATTAAAAAATGTATCTAAAATTGCCTTTAATGGCTATTTCCAATTGCGAAACTCAACTGATACATAGCAGTTTACATGTAAACAAGCATGATCTATAGAGAGTCTTATTAACTCAAGAATATTATGATTTATGGCATACATTATAGCGCACGCGTGATACGTTTTACTTCTAGGTTGCAAACAGGTTTCAGTGAGTCAGAAGTCCTGCAGATCTTTTGTGACGTCTGCGAAGCTGTGTCTCGGTTGCATCATTGCCAAACCCCCATAATCCATAGAGATCTCAAGGTAAAGCATTTCTTTCAATGTCACGCACACAGGCGTGTAGTAGAGGTGTTATGTAACGCGACACGCACGTAAATCGTATCGGACCTCGTATCTGTCTCTCTGTCACAGGTGGAAAATATATTGCTCGCCGATAGCGGTCACTATGTTCTTTGTGATTTTGGATCCGCGACGGGGAAGGTTCTCAATCCTAGTGTTCACGGCGCCGCGGTAGTCGAGGAAGAGATCAAGAAATACACGACTCTGAGCTACAGAGCGCCCGAGATGGTTGATATGTACTACGGAAAGCCTATTACCACGAAAGCTGATATATGGGTGAGCATATACGTTCTCGCACGCAGATGCGTCACGCGACCGTAATGAGAACGGTAGAATTAAGCAACAAACATTAATTAGACAAATGGGACTGATGGAAATCCTATTAGAGCGCCGCAAGTCCCTTTACACCGATGTTTCGTGTTTCAGGCTTTGGGATGTCTGCTGTATAAACTGTGCTACTTCACATTACCGTTCGGCGAGAGTACGCTTGCCATACAGTCTGGGAATTTCACTATACCGGATAATTCAAGGTACGTGGAAGGCCGTGTGCAGAGCTTGATGGAAGTTTTCCTGAATTGTTAATCACTTAACGACCCTACAGCTACGTTTTGAACACGGCGAATCGCGTAACGGCACTGAGAGTTCAAACGGGCGATTAAAAACCGAGCGACCGAGATGATGAAACGTTCCAAAAAGTACTCGAATATAGCGGATGTAGTCATCGAATGATTAAGTGAAGGGAATACAAATGAGCATAAAACACTTTTCTGCATGTTACAGATACAGCAAAGCTCTTCATTGCCTAATCCGGTATATGCTCGAGCCGGATCCCGACGTGCGCCCTGACATTTATCAAGTTTCCGTGATCGCCTTCCAAATCCAAGGCAAGGAGTCTCCCGTGCAAAATTTACACGTACGTGGACAATTTACACGATAATGTACATAGCTATACCACAATAGCTAATATTTAATCGTATGAAACACTTTCCTGTTTACATATTGAATTTTGCATGTAACGAACCTGTCCTCTTTGCTTCTTTGCAGAAAGTTCCAACACCGACGATAGAGTCATTACCGTGCCCACCTATGGAATCCGAAAACATTAAACGATCGGCTTCCGTGAAAACTCCGAAGCCCACGCCTATAGCGGCGGTCGAAGGCACGTCCGTGACTCCAAGGCAGAGACCAAAAGGACAAGCCGTCAGTACAGGTCCGATCAGTTTAAGCGGTCAGATTGTGGGGCAGATATCGGGCCAAGGGAATCAAGTGCAGAATCCACCGGGAAATTCCATTTCTTACGTTCAAGTAAGTCAGCCTTGTAGATATGATCCTTTATAGAGATGACCTCTTCGTTTGCTAAAACGGCCACGAAGATGTATTGATATTCTCGGCGAATATCTATATATACATATGCATCTACATGTTTCGAACTTAATAACAATCTCAATGGGTTTGCGATTGCTATTATTCTTCCTGTTAATACACTAATATGTCTGAATATCCACGTCGAATTAGACACAAACCATTGTACGTCTCATAGACTGCGTTCAGAGAATACAACGGTTAAGTGATCGACATGTAGGAGATTGTGGATGTCATTTGTAAATTTAAAAATATACATCGATTATAGATAATGTTTATTGAGCTGTTGTACAAACCCGTTGTGTCTTCCGAACGCAACCAGAGCGTGTCTTATCGGCGCAGAGCAGATGTCTTTGCCGCTCGAAGACTTTAGACTGCGACAAGAAAAATGCTCGAGGGTTAGCGGCTGCTACTTTTTCACAATGTCACTGTGTGCTGAAACATTCTAGTAGCCGATGCATTAACGGGAAAGTGAAAAATTATGCATTGACACTTGGGTTAATGTGATCACTATTCTATTCCCAGGTATCGCCTCATGTTTGCACTCCCAATCAAAACGTTCCTTTCGGCCAGTCACCGGGTCAGCCGACACAGTACGGTCAGTCGCAGAGCCCGATGATCAGTCACTCACCTCTAACCCAGCAGTCACCTGTGACCGTTCAAGACAAAAGCTCGTTCTACTTCGACTCGAGGCAACACGACGCGCGAGCCACGACGAACGTGAACGAGAAGAACCTGGAAGCTTTGTTCCCGCCGTCAGGTAATCCAAACGGGATACGCGAACTCGAACGCAGTATAACTAGCGCGAAAATTGTAAAACGTTCGACTGATTCTTGCGTTTGTTCGTTGCCTCAGGATATCCGGATCCGTTTAAGGACGACGCGAGAGCGATGCCGCCGCCCACCAAGATACCACCTCCCGTAGCTCCGAAACCCGCGAAGATCCTTCCGAAAATTTCCAATCCCAATTACTCGTCCAAGTATCCGCCGGTCGCTTCGTTACCGTCGAAATTGTCCATCCCTCCCACGGGGCCTAACAAAGCGGCTCCGACGGTGACGCCACCAGCTCTGCCGAAGCCGGTCAACAAAACGGAGAGTCTGAGCCAGAATATCAGTTCGAGCACGTCTCCACCCGACAGTCCGACATTGGCGTCTTCGCGGCACAGGAGGAACGTCAGTGACACGAGTGCTTTTAACAAGTGAGTCTATTTCGCCACTGAGACTTATATAACTTGCTATCGCGTACACGTAACACACACTCGCAGGAATTTAGAAGTAAAAAACATTCTCTGATGTTCCGATGTAATATAATGTGTCCCAACGTCCAATTAGCTTCCAAGGTTGCAGGAAGAGTGAGAGACTGGACTACACACTCATGATCTCTTTTTGTCGAGATATTTCTTTTTATTTTTGCTATAATGACCATTTCAATGTTTACAGAGCATTTGCAACTGAAACCACTCAATTCTTAGCACCGTATGAGGCTTCCGTTAAGCCACGTGCTGATGATACCACACCTCCAGAACTTCCGAGTGATATAAGGCCTTGTATAGCAACTAGTGCCTCGCATGTACGTGTTGTAAGTACATAAAGCGCACAATTTTATTTTTATTTTTGTTAACGCTATTTGCGAGATTGTGTTAGTGATTTTTTACTGCTATTCATTTCAAATATTTATATTTAATTTTATGTGAGAAGAATAATTTTTTGGAGTGATGACGTAGCATAAAGTTGAAGAAAAAAAAGTTGAAGTTTTTATATAATTTCATTTTTACAATTTTTGTAATATATTTTCTTACATGTCTATTTAATTATTTATTTGTCGTTATTTCACGCACTGCACTAATGTTAATAAGCGATACCATATTACCTTCCTACTGATTAGTTAGCAATTAGCTAATAAAAGAAAAAGAGAAAAACCAACCAACATTAAATTATCGCAATTTGTACTTTATCGACATAAAACAAGCAATTTAAGATCCGACCGTATCTTAAATAACACAGTAGGAATTGACACGTAAAGCCACTTTGTATTATCGAGTAATATCTGTCTACGTTGGTATCAGGGTGAACTTTCAAGCCTAATAGGATCAGAAGGGAGATCATTAAGCGCGGATGTAGCTGCATGGAATCCGTTCGAAGATGCCCAGCCTTTTAATCAGTTAACAGAGGATCATATCTTTGGTGCTGAATTCGATAAAATAAGGAGAGGGAGCAACACCAGTATCAGCGGAGTGAAAAGTCGCGAAAGCCTTGTCATGACATACACAGAGTTACCGGAGGACCCCTTTGAATCTGCACCCTTTAGCCTGCCAAGTAAGTACCTCGATGGAATTGTGTATCAGTTGAATATCGGAAGAAAGGATATAATACACGAACATGTAATGATCGATCGTTACAAACCCGTGATCTCTACTAATTATCGGGTTTTCTTTTAGCAGGAAAGAAGAACAAGATTGGATCAAAGACTGCTGCTATTGCTGGAGGTAATGCATAAAATCCTACTTACACTGTGTCCTCCCCATCATCTTTCTCTTCCACTTTTCCTATATTAATCTATTAATCTATATTTGGTTTAAAGCCGCTATGAACACGCTCGCTGTCTCTTAATACTTGATTTCTTACATTTGCCGAGTCATTGCTACATAAGATTCTAAGCTGTCATCATAACCATTGTCTCTCGTCGTTTTCGATATATCTCAATGCGTATACCAAGTAATTCCGGCAAATTCGCTATTTTGATTTATCAAGCGTTATAACTGAAGTTTCTCGCTTATTTAAAAATCTCTGAGAAAAATTAAACTCAATTTCTTTCCAAATATGTTCAAATAAGTCAATGAGATCTTTATGGGTTGATGTAAATTATATTGATATAATTTATATTGATATAATTTATGTTGATTAAATTTTGAAGTAATTTTTATCACGTCTAGCTTACTGCAAAGCTTGTTGAGTTACTTTGTAAAGACTAAAGTACCGGAGACAATCTTGGTATAAAACTCAAATCACCTCCGAATCTATACTTTTAGTTTAGATCATAATTTTAAAAATATTCATACAATGAATATGTTACAATTACGGATTACAAACATCACATTTTTCATATTTTTGAAACTAATCGAGTCAAGAAGAGATAAGCATAGTCATTTTCATTTTAATTGCATAATACATTTGCCTCCTTGTTTACTTTTTTTAATTTTATGCAACTAATAACATCATTAAGCATTAACGATACATTTAACACAATTTAAAAACGGATCTTTATTAGTACTTTTATTTTTGCATTATTTTTGTATGATTTTATTTTTGTTCTTTTCTCTAATTAAAATTCAAAAATTTTAATTTGTTTCAAGATTTCTTATTTTTTATTGGTATTACACCATTGAAATGACTATTGAAGAGAGCTATAAATACTAGTATATTTATACAACATGTTTGTGGACAATAGATATAGATAAATGCTGAAACAATAATTGTCAGCATGTTATACTTTTGTGCACTTCCATGTACATAAATATTAATTTTTATTAATAGAATGATGTAATGGTAAATGAAAAAAAAGGAATATTTCGAAATAATGTAGAAAATAACAATGTTTTTTTTTCTCTCAATTTAACTAAAATTGATTTTAAAATGTACAAAAACTTGATTTGTGATATAACAATCAGTTATTACTTACAACATTGGTCATACTGTTACACTGTTTTATGCAATTAAAAATGTCGAAAATGTTTATATATATTTTTGTTTTTTAAATAATATAAATATATATATATATATAAATAAGTAAATTGCGAATTTTTACTAACGTTTTTCTTCTTTGCCAAAGATAAGTTATAAAGCTTAAACACTATTATATTTACAAATGAGAATTAATTACTTCAGAATTAGTGGATTAAAATAAAAAGATTTGGCACTCATTATTTTGAACAAATTTTAACAGGTTATACTTGTTAAATATGATAGGATAGACGGTTGATAGAGAGAAAAGTATTATCTATGAACAAATTCTACACACGAAATGAAACTAAATGTAATTTACCTCAAGAGTATTTCCAAATTAGATCGAATAGAATCTACTAGTGCCTCTACTGGCGCTAGTAACAGAAGATACGGATTAATTTAGATTTTATTTGCTCATAATATTTACAAAATATAATTGGGAGTTTCAAAATTTTTATATTTTATTTCGACAGATGCGTACGTGTAAGTGTTTATCGAGATTATTTCTATGCTTGCTAAAGTGCGCTTATTAAAGATAGTCTATTTGTAAAGATAATGTGGAAGATTTTCTTTCTTGATATAAATTATGTTGATAACAGCTTCAAAAACTTTATTTTTTTGATATCGCGGAAGTTTCGATAAAGACGATTGTATGTGGAGTACTTTGTTTACTAGCAGAAGCATATTTGCGAAAAAACATAAAATAATGTGATGCAAATCTGCTCAGTTATGCTCAATTGCACGAGAGGAATGGTGAATATTACAAGTGAATGACATAACATTAACTTCTACTTACCTCAAATGATAAGTTATGTAACAGAACATAATACATCGAATATTAGACTCACACAAGATATGATATAAATAAATAAATAAATAAATATATATATATTGATTATGTTATAGAGAACAAATGCAATTAAAAATTGTTGAAAATATGAACATATATGATGAACGATAAGGAAAGAAAGAAAAGATTTTGTCTTTATAATAGATGTTCCTACGGTATATAATGCACAAAGCGGGATTAGCTTTTATTTTTAGTGTTTCCGTATACACGAAGTGGTTATTGTGCCGACAAAAAGAAGGAATAAATTACATATAAATATTGCATATACATATATAAATATATAAATAAATAAAAATATACATACATATATATATATATATACACACACACATATACATACACGTCATGCAACATATGAAAAGTTATGTTACATATTATGTGATATACAAAGTTTAGGTACACTATTTTGTCCTACTCATATATATATATATATATATATATATATATATATATAAATATACATATATACGTGCAAACGTATATTGAATGTTATAAAAATTGTATTATATAGCACATTAAGATGTGTGGGAAGAATGGGTTTCGAGTATTTGTTGCACACATTGTAATTAACGATACCACGAATCAATTACTATGAAAATTGCGTTCTTAGAGGACTAGATACTTCGTTTTTGTTTTCTTTTTAACAAATATATATATACGTGTATATATTTGTTAAAAAAAATGATAGTTCGTAGATCGTTACAGTGAACGATACAGTGAACGATACCGTGAACCTTTCCTTCCCACGAAACGAAGGCTCTGCGTGAACGCATGTGAACACATACATACATAAACATACATAAGGGTTATTATATATATATATATAATACCATGAAATTGTATCTCTCCCCCTGCGCGATGGTAATACTACACAGTGACTGGCAAATAATACTTATAGCAATTATTTTCTTTTCTCGCTCTTCTTCCTCGTCCTCTTGTTTCTTTTGTCTTCTGTCTCTTCTTCATTTCTATTTGCGTCTCTGTTTCTTTCGACTACAGTGCTCTTCTAAGTTTCATCGCTTTTACACGACACTCACTAATTTGGGTTTCTTCTCGGTATATAACCAATGTTTTCTCTCTATCTTGTATTACGCTCATTCGACTCGTGTCGAGTCTTGGAGTAGGACGATGCGATTCTCAGCGATATCTTCGCGATTCTCAGCACAATGCGATTCCGTCCATCGGTGACGAATGCGCGCTGGAGATGCAATCGAGAGGCGATATCACGCCGAATCGTCATCGTCCTATCTCATTTGGGGACGTAAAAGGAGTCGCAATCCGTTGCGTATGTGTGTATGCTCCGCGTATACTTTCGCATATCTGCCTTACGTACTTTGTCGCCCGCGAGAATGCGTTAACATTTATATCGAATAACATATCTTAATGTAACGAACGCTGTATAGACACTAATTAACACGCGCGAATACTTATCTTTTTAGAATTGTTGGTCCTTCGGTGGAATTTTTACGCGAAACTATGTAATGTGGCTTAGATATAAAATATCCGCGGGATATCCGTACAGCAACTTCTTGAATCATGGAAAAGCATTCGGAGATATTGCGAATAATCAATTCCGTTCGCGTACGCTCGAAAAAAAGAGAGATAGCGCGAAGCTCTCGTGTGATGTAAAGGCGAGGTCGAGCTTCGTATTATCTTTCCTTTGGCACTGGCACTAGTAGTATTACCGGAACCGCCGTAATATGTTGATTCTTCCTTGAGTATGTAAGTATCGCAAAACACGGAAAGAGATTCTTCAGGGTATGACAACAAGCGAAAACAAAGATAATTGACGAGTGCGCTTTTTTGTTTTCGTGAGAGAAAGAGAAAGAGAGAGAAGAATTTATGAAGGAGCAGAGAGAGAGAGAGAGAGAGAGAAAGAGAGAGTATATCTCACACATTATCTGTCCAATGTCTGGAACAACCTAATGAGTTTGGGAGGCACAAACACTTTCGTATTCATTTCGAACGAATTTTACCGTTTGTTTATAAAATTTTTTTGATCCTGTCCTGCTTTGTTTGCCTCCCATGGTGTCTCTGATTACGCACTGTCGCGATCACGGAGAGATCCCTGGTGAGTCAAGTTGCATAATAATAATATTAACAGTAATGGCCAAAAGACAAAAAAGGAAACACCGTCTCAATGTTCGTCACCGTGGAACACGAGCACGCATCTCCTTGTGGTCTTCGTGGCGAAACTCTCTTATTGTAAAAAGAGAGAACGAGAAATTTCCTGTTGCGAATTAAGAGCACTATAGGGGGCTGACAATTTCGGATGGTACCTTTGTCGCTGTATTAAGACAAATAATGTTACAGCAATAAAAATGTAAATTAGCATACGGAGTATTTGTTTTTTTCTGAACGCTACCGGCGCAAAACGCAGCAATACTTTGTACTTCGAGGCACGAGCAATCTTTGAGAGAAAAATAGAGAGAGAGAGGGGGGGGGGAAAGAGAAAGAGAGAGAGAGAGAAAAAAGAGAAGCGTGTCGTTTCAATGTGTCACTTGTGATGAGCCCTTCGTGTAAGAGCCGTTGCGACGAAATCGTCGTCGCAACAGGTGCACGTCGTTTTATCAGGCTGCAATTCAGAGCATTACTGCGTTTTTCACATATACTTACCCTTTAACCCCCTGAATCTGATTAGGACTGTTCCAGACCTATTGGTGGCGGTACTAACAATAGCTTAAACTAGAATATATCTGTTGTGCTATCTTTCATTTTTTTCTTCACGCCGAGAGGACCTCACTCTCGGCCCGAGTTATCTTTTCTTTCTCGTTCCTTTTTTTCCAAGGGTGATTATAGTAAGACTAAATGTAAATGTTTTAACGCACATCACGCCTGGCAGAGTGCATTGTCTGCGGCAGACCTAATCAGACGTATCCTGTCTCTTCCGAGTCTCTTTCTTCCGTAGAAAATACTGCGCTTCTTATTGTGTGTGTATACGCGTGTGCGTGTATCTTCACTATTCTGTATAAATATCTTTGTAGAAGCTCGCGCGACATTCGAATTGTTGAATCTACAAATGTTCCAAGAGTAGAAAAAATGTAGCGTATTAATTTGCGCGTTATATTTAATTGATTAATTTACACGTCGCGTTTAGAGAACGAGATTACTTTGTACACTTGTATATAGGATGTCTCTTTGTTACCGCGGCGATCCCAAGTAGCCTTATTAGTTTCTTCCACGAGATCAAGAGTGTCCGTCGGAATATATGTATTCATGCGGAGTGTCCTGGAAGATCTCTCGAGTCCCGGAGAATCGGTCTATCAAGGATTCCGCACGATATGTCTCGGCTGTATTAAAATTTGGCCGAGATAATTGAGAATATTGACCGAATAGATACCTACAGAAATCTACCTCTTCTTGCAATCGAATTTTTGTCTGATCCGCGGACAGCAGAAAACCAGTGACACAAATTGAATTCTCCTTCCGTGTAAGATAGACTCCGGGATACTCGGCATGCTGTATGTGTATGAGAGAGAGAGAGAGAGAGTGTCTCTCAAGTTTCATTAGCCGAGAGGAGATTAATATGAAACCACTGCTATCGCACACGTAGAATTACGTTTCTCTGACGAGGTTTCGCGAATGTAAGAACGCAATAGGTAAGTGACGATACGATTTCTCAGTAAATAACAGACTCGACGCTTCAGATCGCGCTGATGACGTATATAAATATCTCGCAAAGACGCTATAGAAGACTCGTTATCTTGAACGTAGAAGGACAGACCCTGCGGCGATCGACATTAACGAGGGCCACTCTCTGTTTCACAGGGAAATCGACGGTGAACGGCAGGTCGAGAGCATCCCTGGACCGGTGGAACTCCGGTCTGGAGCATCGCGATGGAAGCAACGACGGTGCTGGTGTCGTCGGCAGCAGTGGCGGTGGCGGCGGTGGTGGTGTCGATAGCGCTGCTGGCATCGTCGGCGGGGTCGACGAAGAGGCGTCATTGATCACGGAATCGAGCCCGGTCTCGCCGCCGTTCGTGCGTGCTCCTGCGGAAGACCGTTCCAAGTACGAGAAGCTGGCGTTCAACGCGGACGAGGTATCGAGCGACAGCGACAACAAGACTGGTCAAGGGCCGGCCAAGGAGCGCACGAAGAAGGTCAAGCGGAGGCGGGTGAAGAACGTGTTGAGCCGCAGGAGGCGGGTCGCGCACGACGTGGACAATGCGAACACGGTGGAGTATGAGTCTGACGACTCGATCGGCTCGGCCAGCGACCTACGGGCGATGAACGACGAGGAGGGCAACCAGGAGGAGAACGACGACGGTGACGAGCGCGAGCGCACCATCGACGAGACCATCTCCGAGAGCGTGCGCACGTGCGGCAGCTCGGCGTACCACGCGGAGTGCGAGTCGGTGGCGACGCACGAGGACGACTACAGGATGAAGAGGCCGAAGAGGCATTACCGGGAGCAGCAGCAGCAGCAGCAGTTGCCGACCATCGACGCGGACCCGATTGTTGGCCACCAATACGGCGAGAAGCCGTTGCTGCTCGACGACGAGCTCGACCCGGAGTCGAAGCCGGAGCAGTCACACGGCGATCCGTTCGTGCGCCATCAGTACGGCTCGAAACCGTTGCTGTTCAACGGCGACAGCTCGTCCGACGACAACGAGCGCTCCAAGTCGTTGAACAACGGTATCTGGAAGCTGGAGGACGACGTGTTCGCCATGGCGCCCTTCCCCAGGTCCAGCAGCTCCAGAAAGAGCAGCGACAGCCGCGGCAGCGAGTCCAAGAATTTGGGTAGCGGCAGGAACTCGCCGTCGCACAACTCCAGCCTGGTGACGCCAATCTCCAGCTCACCGGTGCCTACGCCGGCGGAGGTGTTCGTGGATGTGGACGCTGGCAAGGCGTTGACTCCAAAGTCCGTCTTGTCCTGCATCCAGTACCCGAAGAGTATCGGTAACAAAGCCATCTATGAGGAGGCCCCAACGAGCTTCCACCAGCCTGTTCCCAGCCAAACGTCTCCGTCAGTCAAGAACAGTCCTCACCGCGTCAGTATCGCCGAACAGGAGGAAGAAGAGGACGAGAACGCCGAGAAAGACCTCTTCGGCTCGTCTCCCTTCAGTCCCAGCGGCTTTACGAATCCTTTCAACAACGTTCAACCTGGCTACGCGAGCATCGATGCGCCCACGCAGCCGGCTATGTCGACGATCCTCAGCTCCCCAGGTTCCACGTATCTCGATTACACCAACGTAGCTCTGCAGCGGCCGCACAACCTGGCGACAGACGCGTATTACGTCACCTCCGTTGCCGCTCATCCGACCACTGTCGCTTCCGCGTCCAAGTTCGGCATGGTGACGGTGACGCAGTCCGAGCCGCTGGTCGCCGCGGACAGCTGCAAAGACCTCTTCGGCTCCATCCCGTTCGAGGAGTTCGCGTCGTTGAAGATCACCGAGCAGCAACGTCCGACGTCCTTGGCGTTGTCGCAGTCGCACTCGGTGAGCTACATCGTCGACAACGTGACCTTGACGACCGGCGGCAGCAGTGGCGGTGGCGGCGGCGGCGGCGGCGGCAACGTGCAATCGCCCAACTCCGTGATCCACTTGACGCCTACCCCGCCCACCGCAGCGTCACAGCAAGTCACATACACGATCCAGCCGACCGCGCACACCGCCCGGATTACGGTGCACGCGGTTAACAGCGTCTCTAAAGTGGACATCGCGTCCGATATGATATCACCCATGTCACCCGAGCCGCTGGTCGGCCCCACGGACGACGACACGCCGAAGCACAAGCGGGACAAGTCCAAGTCCGACCGGTCCAAGTATCACCTGATCAGCGAGAACCACGGCGACATCGTCAACGTACTGCCGGCTAAAGTGTCGCACAAGAGCAAGTCCGTGAGCCACAAGAAGACGCCCAAGGGCAAGCGGAGCACTGCAGCGACCGCCGGCTTCAGCAACATGAGCTTCGAGGATTTCCCCAGCGACGAGAATGAAGAGAAGCAGACGCGCACGAAGGTCGCGCCCTTCGAGGTGATCCGCGAGCAGTCGGAGAAACGCTTCGGTTCGTTGAAGAGGAGGAGCAACCCGTTCACCTGAAATGAGCTATCCGCCGGGACCGGTTAGCGCGCTCGGCGCTCGTTTCGTCACAGGCGCGTTCGCGCAACGGCTGCGGGATTGAGTCGTAGCTGAGACGAAGCAGGTCGATGCATTGTACACTCGGTCGCAAAACGATTCAGACTCCTTTTTCGGATACAGTTCGAAATGTTGCCGATGAGAGTGGGACTTGCTTCTGACACATTCCCAGATGCTAAATTCTCCTTGTTGAACATCTGCGTTCCGAACTGCGTCCAGACCAAGTGTTCCTCAAACCGTTGTGAAATCCAGTGCACACTTGGTTGCGAAACGGTTTAGACACGATGAGGCAAGTTGAAACTTTTAACACGATCAGCCGCGAGCCGCTGTTTGTAAGCTTGCGCGTTGACTGGTTACAAGATTGGGAATGAGAACGAGACGTCCGTAAGGTCACTACTGACGATTCAGGAAAGTGTGAATATCTTTATTATATTTTTATCAGTCCGATAAGAGCATGATAAAAAGTCGATATGTGCACTTTTTCAGCTCTTGTAACTAATCGCGACTTGCTACGTAAGCATGTCGATACGTAGAGAAAAGTATCATTCTGTTGCTCTAGAGAGACGATTACTCAGTTTCCTTTTTTTCTTGTATGTAATGATTATCTTCAGGAAATAATAATTTATTTCCCTGATAATAGTTTCTTAAGATATATTCATCGCAGATTTCTGAAGAGTATTATCATCCATTCAAGGAAAAAGAGAACTTTTTTTTTTTTATTTAACATTCTTGATCGAAGTTAAACGTCACGGATATCTCTGTGCTGAATTTGGTTCCTTTTCTTTTTAATACCAAGCTGTATATTTTCTGTATATTCTAAAGGTGAAAATCTCATCAGAGCAAAGTGTTGAAACCGTTTCGCAAACGAGTGTACATTGCGAGAGGTCGAGAGATGCGATCAAACAATATTCTCTGCTCACAGTCGCGGTTAACGAACGGCTGAGAGGATCTTAGTCGTGACAAGAAGAGAAGAGAAAAGTGACGCAGTCAGATGATCTCTCACAAATACCGGGAGAACACAATCAATACACAGCTTGTGCATTTCAAGGAGAGCGCGTTTAAGGAACAGTTCAACGTCTCTCTTCACTTTGCGAATTCGTCTGCGGAGTTTGTGCCCGTTTAACATTACCCGTTCCCGAAATGCGCGTTTGTGAAAAAATATAGGACAAAGAGGCAGGGCGCGGAGTGAATTTGCGGAGAGGTACGTCAATTCGCCATCTATCTCGGTAGGTTTGTTATCGAAGTGTAACTGTAAATTTGCCGAACAACTTTCATTCGTCTCTCTTCTAACGTATGACTCGTTTTTCCGTATTCTAGCGTTAAAAAGTTGCAGGATGACGATGTGTATTTCCGAAGGTTGTAGAAACAGCAAGCGCGCTAACGTTGTATCACGGTTTCTCCCGACGCTTGTATATTTTGCCAGCTATTTTTTCACAAACGCCGACAAGGCGATGTGATAGCAGCTAGTACAGCTGCGTACGTTTATATCAGAAGGCACACACACATGCATATACACACATACAGCATGACCGAATATATTTATACATGTATAAATCCACATGCCTAACTGACAAATGTACGACGAGTCGTATAAAAACGTGATTTACACAAGTCGGAAAGTATTAATTCATATACTACCACTTTTTAATTACTTTTTGCATTTTTAGGAGATTTACACAGGGAGGTGAGAGAAAGAGAGTGAAAGAAAGAGTGGGAGAGAATGAGAGGTAGTGAGAGATAGAAATAGACACAGATAGGAATAAGAAAAAGGAAAAGATTACATTACCCAGAGAGAAATGTGTTGATTCGTGCGAGAAGAAAAAAAGAGGCACTCTTTCCAACATGTTTTAACTGATACCAGGTTGTGGAACTTGGCAGCTTGATACCAAAAATGATAAATAGGTAGAGAAAGCTCGTGCATCTATTTTTGCAGCTAAGTCTTTTCGCTACGTTTGTACTTTAAAATTTGTAGATTTCTACTAGTAGTACAACCTATACCAGCTCTTACGAAGCAATTTTTCTAAGAGAATTATCTAAACTATACATACATCTGCAAAACGTAATCCTGTTGCGAAGACTAACATCGACGAAAGAGAGAGAGAGAGAGAGAGAGAGAAAAAGAGGGGAGAAAATTTTTACCGTGCATTCATGGTCTCTCGGTTGACAGAGAGAAAGAGAAGAGAGAGAGAGAGAGAGAGAGAGAGAGAGAGAGAGAGAGAGAGAGAGAGAGAGAGATCATATATACATAAACCGAGTATTCCTTACGAAAATTCTAGTAATACATAGTTCATGAAAATCGGTGTTACAAAGGCGCAGATAATAGCACTTCAAGCATACTAATGCATAGCATTCATGTTACAGGAAAGATAAAGAGAAAAAAAAAGAAACAGAAAAACACGACCTACATGATATATCGCAAAAACAACACACGGATTCGCCTAAAAAAAAAAAAGGATTGGCCTTATCGTGTAAAGACTGACTTATCGTTTAACGGTCTCGATTAATATTCAGGTCACACAACAAGATGGCTAATAGCTCTTTTTAGGTAATCGCTTGTAACTCAACGACGCATTAACGCCACGATACGTGAATTATTCTGACAACGCGACTCCTGCACCCGTGATAATCGAGATCGTCGAACAAGGTATAGAAATAATAGAAGAGTTACTGGTACGTTAGTAATGGTACTGGTAATAATACTCACTAACGTTTACTTTTATCACGCTGAATCCACATACCACACACATACACATCGAATTGCTCGGGCGTAATATACCGAGCTCGAGCGAAATAGAGGGAATTTTTATAACTTCCGACTTATCGTTTCGATCGCGTAAATTTTCTACTGCTAATACTGCGCCTTTCTAATCGAGAGTCCACGGACTAAAGATCTAGTTCAGTGTAAAAAGATGTGACAATATTATAGAGAGGAGAAATGTTTATATATATACATAATCTAAGTGTTTTTATGCACACGCATATTATACATATATGTATACATAAAGTGTAACATAGTTTGTAGATATTAGCTCATATGATTAGGTGCCTTCCTTTACTAAGTAGCGTTCGAAGCTTGCAGTCTTTGCTCTGTCGTGTAGTATAAAGAAAAAAAGAACCGATAGTATTATAAGAGAAGAACAGAGTCAATTGTATTTATATGTGTAAGGGATAGCATCTGAAAGTTTATTTTCAGTTTAGTTCCTATGCATATATTATATATATATATATATATATATAATATATAAAAGGAAAAAAGAACGGTGAAAAAGAGATGATACCATGAGTAATCTATGTAGAATATTGTTAAAAAGAAAAGAAAACGCCGATTCGATGCTGCTACCACAAGAGTGAGGGGTGATTGTATGTATATGCAGATAGAGTTAGAGTTCAAAATCTCGGCGAGCGAGATATCGAATCGTACAGACAGGATTATCGTCGTGCTGATCACGCGAGCGCGCGGGTTTCTATTGTATTTATTGAACATATTACGCGAGAAAGAAACGTTGTTATATTATTATTCCAAGCCTTAAAAAATTACTGTCGATCTGTATGCACCGTGTATAAAATAGGGAACGATAGGTGCTATTGAGAAACACCTCGAGCATTTTCATTTCTTCTTTTTTCTTCTTTATTTTCTTTTTTCGATTTCTAATTTAATATCTTCCCACGAGAAGATGTAATAATTTGAAGATTGTATAAACTGTTACGACTGTGTAATAGTATATAGATATACGATACATTCCTTCTTGAAACTTTCTTATGCAGTTATTTATTATTGTTAGTTTGTAGGTTCCTTTTTTTCATGTATACACGCAGGAAATAAAATGTGAATGTCGAGAAAAGTCTCACGAGTCTTTTCAGCAGTTTTTCATAGTACGAGAGTAGTCCCAGAAGTACCTGACCTGACGTATAGATAGCGGTTGTTGTTTGAAAAGAATGACTATGGTAGAAAGTACCAACCTTATAAAGCTTGAGTTTGAAGTTTGACGACGCTACGTTGTTTAGTATTTGTTTGGCAGCCATCAATAGTGAACGCTCTCAGTGAATTTGTAAACATGGAAGAAACATGGTCATCGTTATGTGATACAGTACTTTCATTTGAAAGGCCTCAGTCCAACCAATATCAAAGCGGAGCTAGATTCTACTCTGGAGAAGTCTGCTCCTTCGTTTACAACAGTAAAATATTGGGTGGCAGAGTTTAAACGAGGCCGTACAAGCTGCCAAGACGAACATCGCAGTGGTCGACCAAATGAGGTGACCACGCCAGAAATGGTGAAGAAAATCCACAAAATGGTATTGGATGACCGTCGACTGAAAGTGCGCGAGTTAGCAGACATGGTAGGCATTTCAAAAAGTGCTGTACATCGCATATTGACTGAAAATTTGGACATGAGAAAGCTGTGCGCAAGATGGGTGCCGCGATTGGAACAAAAACAGCGTCGTGAGGATGTTTCAATCGAGTGTTTGGCGAAGTTTCGCAGCAATAAAGCCGAGTTTTTGCGTCGATTCATAATCATGGATGAAACATGGGTCCATCACTTCACTCCTGAGACGAAGGAACAGTCAAAACAATGGACGACCCAGGTGGCTTGATGGCTATTTTGAGGAGCTCGACGATTCCCACTATAAACAGAGTATCGAAGCTATTGAACATCGCTGGGAAAAGTATATTGAGCTAAAAGGAGACTATATAGAGAAATAAAGATATTTTTTCCCAAATTTTTTGTGTTTTCTTTGTTAGGTCAGGTACTTCTGGGACTACCCTCGTAACTCGTCTCGTCACACCACGCACAAATAGCTGTTACAGTGATCTTCTGCAGCTTCCTGCATTATTGGCACGCGATATTGCGGCGTGTTTCAAGGATTAATGTAAAAGCGGGAGCTTCTGATCTTCTGAACATCTAAGCACACATGCGTACGTGCGTGACGCAGTCTGTACGAAAATGTACCGAGGAAATGCGATTAACTTCCCGACATTCCGGGCGTGAAGAGAAGCAGTCGATCGACAACGTTGTCTTTGTATAAAACGTATGAAATGTGTATCAATGTGCTGATGAATTAACTGCAGCTACGCGCGCGTTTCTTTCAGGAACCTCCGAGTCGCGGATTTCACACATCACTTCGGTGGAGTACGACGACTGTGAAACATCCAGCACGAGTTCCTGGAAGCTGGTACATTTCACGACAGATATCGAGACGCTTCCAGTTCGTGACACGTGGAGTGGTGGACACGCGGTTCCGTGGAGAATGTCGTTCATCAACAGCAGCAGCAGAACTTCTCTCCCAAGTTATGTAGCCTCTTCCTCGCCATGACCATGTTTATCGAGAACGCCGCGAGCCAGACGAAGAAATTCAGCCAACTCGTGGATATCGCGAGCTGGAGCGCGATGCCGGTGTTAATCTCGCTGCCGCGCACCCAGTTGTTAGCATCCGGCTGCAGATAGTCCATGAAATCGAAGATCCCGCCGCACGACAGTCTGTCGTGAATCGCCTGCGAAACGACGCGAATCATCTCCGATTAATGATCCGTTGATTCACGTCCGCAGCTTACAGCTTACATGTTCAGTTTACACTTTCAGCTAGAAAGCTCTTGAAGAAATGAAGATAGGAATGAGGGTAGAAGTAAGAAGTTGCAAGAAAAATAAGGAATTGAAGTAGAAATGAAACATGAAAATAATATTGAGTTATACGACAAGTAATCTCCGGTAAGCTGAGCCAATTGAGCCAATTGAGTGAAAATTGATCCGACTGAAACACGCTTCTTTCGTACCTGAGCTTCGCGTCCTCTCGATCCTAACAATTGTATGATATTTCGTCTGTATTGATTGCAGGTTTCGTAGTAACCGTCGGTTAGCACGACCGCATGGGCGAGAGACAAGCAGCAAACCAATGCAGCGATGAAAGCTGCTGGTATCCACTGTTTGCATTGCGATCTCGATTTCACATGGATCACAACTTGCTCGTTGAGGTTGCGCCTGGACAAAGAGTTCAACAACAAGAGGAATGATCACGGAATGTAGCAACACCAAAATAGAACTGCGTAAAATATTAATAGATCTGTTTGTTAAGTCTGTGAATTACGAGAGCTGTGGTGAAGAGAGAATATTTTCACGCACCGAATCCAATCAAAAAGTTGGGTTTGACTTTAGAGTAAAGGATTGCTCTTGTTGAATGGAAACAACTTATTCGCCAGTCACATAATTACTGTTGTTGCTTACGATTCGCGGTTCTGGCGACATTCGTACTTCTACAACTAAACTTTTTGATATGTTTTGACAACCGATATAAAAAGTATAATATTTTGTATGTATATAATTATATATAGTACAATTAGTGTACAATCAATTGTATATATATTTATAGTAAAATATTTTTTATAATTACGTGCTATTATACTGTCTGGAATATTTTTTCGAATAACGCATTTGCTTCGAGATATTTTAGGTGAGCATTTAATAAGGGACCACCTTGTATAATTCGGTGTGATCGGAAAGATAACAAGGGACTATATCAGTCGTCGCTCATAAGCACCTGTCATCGTTGCGTGTGACCGCGCCGTTAAGTCGCTTAGGCTCATCCAGATTCTTCTGCACGCAACACCTGTATCCGTGATACGAGCTGAGGCACAAGCCGATTACGATGACGGGTATGAGGGCGTACGCGCTGAAATGGCAGAGCTTCACGTCGCCGCCGATGAACGTGTTGAATGTGTTTATGCCGTACAGTATGCAGCCGCAGCTCACGTTGAAGCAGCTGTCCAAGGTCCATGACCAATGCTGCCACGCTGTCACCAGCGAGATGATGGACGTGACGGAGAGGACCATGGAGCTGCCGTAGAAAACTGCCAGCCAGCCTTCCGCTTGCTTCGGTGTCATGGTCGCTTGGACACTCGCGACTTATCGATCAATTAATTGCGATCGGTTCTCTCTCCGTGTGCCGTCGAAATTTTGTCGATCGGCGCGCGACTCGTGATGCGTTCACGGTTCGCTCTCAAGCGCAGCTTCCGTCTCCTCCGTGTCCTCTTCTACTCATGTCTTTGCAATCTCATGTATGACGAGCTATGACGACGTGCGAGACGAGAGTTTGTCTGAAACATATCGGAGAAGACAGGTCTCATCCTCTTGCAGTTTTCTTTTTTCCGTTTGGCGGCTTTTATGAATTTATTAGGGTCGAATCGATCGTTCTTTCGTGCCACCTTCACGGATGTTGTACCGCGTTGGGGAAAGAACGGTCGAAGAACAATATGAACGCCGCTAGCGTTAACATTATTATTAAGCGGCCGAAGATGACCAGTTTGTAAGTTCTCATAAAAATTACTTAAATTCGTAGAACGATACGTTTTATGCTTTTAACGGACTCTTGAATAAGAATACGAGAAGCAAACGTTTTCGCTCTTGCGTGACGTATTTCCTCTTTTTTGTTCCTTAAACCTGTCGTTTCCATCCGCCCCGGTGACAAGGTAGACGTGTGTTAATTGACGCGGTAGTTTCAGCGGTTAATAGCGGTTTAACAGATGGATCGCCATCCGCGACAGATGGGTCGAATCATATTTTGCCGGAAGGAAAAAAAGAGAGGAACGTTTATTGCATCTGCTGACGTCATCCTGATGGTGAAATTGTGAATTGCAGGCCCCGAGAGGAGCGCGAGGCGTGCGAACGAGGCGGCTGGTGCGCGAAGACCCGCGTGGGACGCGGCGGAGGCTTTGGAACATGTAAACATTTGCCGACCTACTATTTTTCTACGTTCGACGCGCTATGGACAGATCTATTTTCGAGCTAAACCGCATGCGGTCCTGCGCCGATGTTGCGCTCCCCCGATCGCCACGACCGTCGGACGAAAGAAGTGTTCACCTTCGCAGACCGCGGCTGCTCACCGAAGATGATGCGACGCACCTGTGATCCCACGCTGCGGCGTCAGTCTCCTTCAACGGGACTGTTTCCCTCTCCGGAAACCTGAAGACGAGTTACTTAGCAGTAGTTTGTTGTCGTAATGAGTTAAGCGAGTGCCGCCTGAGTGATTATCGCGATGTTAAATAAGATATGTCGTTGAGTAATTGGTCAGTCAGTATAAGTTAGTAAAATAATAATTCAGCCCTTGTAATCTCGCTTTCTTTTCTCATACGTCTCGTCGCAGAACGAAACACGTTTCTTATTTGTCGGAGAGACTGTCTTCGAGGTAAATTCACCACTTACAAAGTCTCTTCAGCGAAGAGAGCACCCGGTTCGGCGGGGAGAGAAAAGAGAGAGGGAGAGGCACGATCTCAGCGGTAGGACGCTGTAAAAACGAGCGAGTCGCTCATACTAAGACAAGGAGCATCTTAACGAATTGAGCCGCTGCTGCCGGTTATTTATTCGACGCGAGAGTCATCGCGATAAGTGTATGACGAAAGTTTGCGAAATTTGTGTATATCGGGTTACGCACATTATCTCGTCGCGGTATTGGTCAGATTCGATTGTGTTGCAACGCGAGCGACAACGATGGGAGACGAGACGAGAGATCAACACGCGTAGAGAGAAAAAGGAATAGAAACGAGAGAAAAAAGAGAAATCAATAAGAGCACAATGAAAAGAGTCGCGTTCACACAAGTACGAGTATTGCGCGCTCGAGGATCGAAGATGACTGACTGACCGACTGACTGACTGTCTGACTGACAAGGGCAGGCCGCACTTACGTTGATTAGCCTCGCTCAGAGATAATAAAATTCTTCTCCGCACGGCCGATGCCGCTGATAGGGCTGAAAAGAGACGGAGAGGCGCTAATTAGGATTGATTAGCAATTCGCTCTCGAGCGGGAAATGCGTTAAATATAGACATCTCGAGCGCGCGCTGCAGGATGCGACGCAGGTAGCGCAGGTACCACACGCGAGTCCGAGCGATGCGAATGCGTAATAATTGGGCGAGAGAGGAATTGTCGGTTCTCGCCTCTCTTCCGCTCTTTCTCTCTCTCTCTCTCTCTCTCTCTCTCTCTCTCTCTCTCGTAAAAATACAACATTTCCGATTATTACTTTCGCGCGCGCTTCGCGAGACGATAGTGCACCGCAAGGATCGAGGTGAGGAGAGAACGAATAATAATTATTTCTCGCGTGATAAGCTAAAAAATGTATATTCATGAAGATGCAGATTCGGTCACTTTCTTTTGGATACAATTCGAGCTGCATTCGAAAAAGTGTCCAAACTTTAAAAATCCAATATATAACTGTGTTTACTGTAGCGTATAATATATAATTGCGCATGATTACACATGGCCACGTAAAGATAAAATCTGATCGTTTCTTCACGGGGAATGAGAGAGTAAAATTACAGAGAGCGATTTTCAATCTGCTGCGAGCTTTTTCTCCAGATTCTCCGTCTCATCTTTCATCCTTGAAGTGCAATTGAAATCGGGCTCGTCTCTCGAGTCTACTTCCTTCCTTCGACGAGCCAATAAATCAAGGTGAAGCAACACGCTTGATAAAGAATAGTCATGAACAGATAACGGCCGACGATTCACGATAATGCACGCGCAAGAGGAAGCGTGGAGGAACGTTGCTCGTCGTGGTTTTTAGCGACCGAGACTCACTTCACCGTGCGAGTGCTCCTCGGTCGCTCTTGAGACTCTGAGACTCTTTCACGTCTTCTTGACGAAATCGCACCCGCCAGCGGCGGAATATCCGAAGCGACTGTTACCTCTTCCGCACGACTTCCGTGCCGCGATCTTTTGCGTCGTGTACGCGACGTGTGTCGTGTGTGCGCAAAAATCACGCGTGTCTTGTTTGAGCAAGCCGCACATTTTTGTAAATATTCGTCGCTGTCTCTCACGTAGCTCCTCCGCGCTCGACAATGCTCGTCGTAGATCTCGCGGGTGCAAATATTGACACGAGGCGAGGCCGATCTCTCGACGGTGAGAATGCAATGAGGACGCTCTTCGCGGGCGACGAGCAACGCCGTTCGATTTCCGCGCAAGAGCGATTAAAATCGCGCATTTTCATTCTCACGTAAGCGAAGTAAAGCAAATGTAGAAAAGAGTGGAAAGAACAAACATAGAAGGAAACAACTTGCGAAGCATAAATGAGGTGAAGCAAATGTAGACACAAAAGTAGAAGAAAGAAACAGAAATGTGCAGGAGGAAGGAAGAAAAGTAGAAAATACTTGGATTTTTCTGTCGATATAAATTTCCCAAGCTATGAAAAAAGATCTCAGTTCAATTAAACGTATCTTCTTGCTTTCTCGCCGTCGCGAAGAAAATATCTCGATAATGTATTAATATCTAAATGATATATAGAATTTGTTTTACGCGACGAAGTAATAAGATTCAGAATAAAGCACACACTTGACGCGTCTCGCTATCAACTGGCACATTTTCTCTTCGCCGATCGCACGATGATAAACGAGTCTGTCCGCCCTGTCGCTCGTCTAAGATAAGGATGTCGAGCGTTCGGTTATTCCAGATAAACATTTATCTATGATCGATTCAGTGTTACCAGAGAGATAGCACGTGCGACTTAGCTTTATTCAACCATCGAACGTCCACGTGAATCACATCGTGACGAAATATCCGCCAAACTCGCGTCACTCGCGCTTTTTTCTTTTTTTTAAGTATAACGCTAATCACAGCACGTATTCTTTCTCGCGCGACGCGTTCGGCGTTCAAGTATCGCGCACCTACTGTCTGCCTGGCTGTCTTTCTCGCGGGCCGTGAGCGGTATTACGAAATGTTTGCGCGCTTCTACACGCTGCCGCGAGTTACGGATGTTCCAGGTGGTGGTATCGGCTTTTTAGCGCTGCGTTACTCCGACATGCGTGCACACATTTACGATCAAATGCACTCTGATCAGAGAAACCTCATTGCCATTGTACGGAGAAACGCGATACGATGGCGAGATAAAATTTGATAAGATTATCACGGTCTTTGTGACGTCGGTGTCTACCGTGAAACAAAGTCAAAATCGTTCTATCGCAGAAACGTACGGATGCATCTCGGGTGACGATATATTCATATTTGTAAGCGAAACTCTGATATGATATTTAATAAATATATAATTTGAAAAATAAAACGGAAGGGAGAGAGAAAATGTATGTATGATAATTTTGCCGATTTACCCGAGCAACGCTCGCTAGTTTTTCGTTCGTAAACGAAAATGATTTTGGTACATTCGCTCGATGTGTGATACAATTGGATTTATTCTTTGCATGTTATTTGGAACACAAGATTTAACGAGTTTCGCGTCCATGGTACTGTACTAACGCAAATTACATAAAACGTTTACGAATTGACAGTACTCGATTCTTCGAATTTGATTCTACCAATTAAGAATTCGATACAAACGAATGCCGCGTGTCGAAATGTCTCAGCAAATGTCTTCTGTTCCTTGTAGAATTTTATCATAAGCCTCCATTTCTTACGTTATATTAGAAGCTACCTTTGGTACAACATGTACACAGGACTATTGTACAAAATTCTGAGGTTCTATACACGGAAGAAATCTGCTCCTGACCAAAACAAATGATGCGCTTAGAGAATGAAAATTCTTTACATAGTGCCATAGTTCACATACGATACTTTTCCAATCCTCGTCGTTGCGCATACAAGTTATTATACTTCGTCTTATAATTTGCATCTGTATTATAACTATCGCAACTGAATTACATATTATCTTTTGTACGTGTATCTGTTATTTAGTTTTACAACGCGTTAAATAGCGATTACACGGTTAACAATTTATTCCCAATATTCTCTTAATCCCGCTTATAAATAGATTCGTACAATCTGCCCTCTTCAATATTCTTTAGCGTAATAGTCTCTACGGTTGACTGCCGCAAGGCAGCGATTGTGAAATGTGACGTAAAAATATACAGGCGAAGTATAATTTAGCTAAATAGTTTACTATATATGTACACATTTTTACGACCGATACGACTTCCATTCCCTCATACGTTGCGACGAGAAGCCACCATTGTTCCATATGCAATACATTGTTGCAACACCTGCAGCTATAGCACTCGCAAAACCAGCTTTTCTGACTCCGGCTAAAATGTATTAATTATTAATCATGAAGTACAATTATTAAGTACATATCAATAAACATATACATAAGTTGCCATCTTACCAGCAGATCTAAATAATGCGGCACTCGCCGCTGCTGCGCCTATTGTATTGAGACTATCGTCAGTTCCTCTGATCCAAGTTATACCTATGCCAGCACATGTATACATTATCGTTATTACACCAAGAGAATTTGCCATATTAGCTCCACCTTTCATAACATGATTGATCAATCTGGAAGCAGAAAGAAAACAATATATAGATGTGCACTGATTTGCTTTAGATATTTAGTGCTTAGAAAAATCATACTGTGTTCTTCTGAGTTTGCCAGTTTCACCAGCGATAGTCGTTGCTTTAATGCCTCTGTATAAACCTGATGCTCCACCGATTCCTGCACCTAATATACATGCTGCTCCAATCTGGCCAAAAGCTAATTCCAAACGACCTCTTTGCTTCACAGCTCCCTCAGGAAATATAAATTCTGGTTGACTAATGGGAAGATACGATGGGTCGACATTCATATACGGGCTAAGAGATAAACCTTGTTGTAACGTAACTGGAAAAAGAACATAGAATTCTTTAATTTAAGCAACTGTAGTTCATTAAATAATAATTCATTTATTCTATATCTATGATTTAACTATACCTGATTCACTGTCACATTAATGCAACATATATTTTTGTTCTAGTTGCATATTATTATTGCATACATGTATATTATTGTCACGAGTGTGATCATATACATATACCATTTTTATAAATAGTACATACTTATTTTTATATACGTCTTATTATGAATAGTACACATAACTCATGCAATAAGGTTAGGGACACGTTTTTCACCACGAGTCGAAAAAGAAGAATGATTATTCGTATTGCAATATAATTTAGAAAACGCATAATTGTATACGTATCTGACACTTTGTTCGACAACACTCCGAAAAAATATCCTGTTACTTTCAAATAAGAGGAAAAGAAATTAGAAAAGCTAGAAATTAGAAAAGAGAACGTTGGAGCAACCCAGAAATCTCGACGCAGCGCATAAAGTCTCGCTTTCTGTTTACCTGGTATGTTAGTGTTGCTGTACGCTCCATTATCGACCTCGTTCTTTCTTGAATTACCCATAAAATCTAACATTTTGTCAAAACAATTTAAACTTTGTATTTTACAACTAGAAAACGAGATTCGAATTATTACAAAAGGCACGACGATATATCAGACGAAATTGAACATCGAGAAAGCCGGGTTGAATGCTAGAAAGGACTTCCTATCAGGCGATCATCCCCACTATACATTTATCGCTATAGAAAGGTCTGTTCGTTTTAGCTGAACCAACGCTGCACTGCAATTTCGTTCCTTTCCTCTTCAACGTAATAAGTTTAAATATTTATTTCACTCTAACAAAAGGTGCAAAAAGGCAAAAGGTGCAACTTAGATCAGCTAAAAAGAACAAACCTGGATTGTGCAGGAGTTTAGAAATTGATAAAAAGAACGCAGTAATGCGATGCATCGTCACGCAAACGAAAATTGTTTTATCAATTATATATTTTGTTATATCGTGATATGTATATGTACATTGAGTCGTAGTATAACTTAACAATAAGGTCGTTATTTTCAAGTAGTACAAATCAACGACGGATCAACCGAGTTGTTTCATTTTCAAACGATATATACAATTGCAAGTCGAAGGATCTTTTCATTCTCAACACGACTCACACACAACGACAAATCGAAAAAAATTATTTATTTGAGGGCTGCGTTCCGATATTCACTGCCGGTACTGAAAATACATAGTTTCTGTCACATATACTATAGATTCTCAGTGCTGGCAGTGAATATCGGAACGCAATCTATGTCGTATTTATTTTACGTCATATTTTCAGGCTTTAGGGGAAAAGAGAGCGAGAAAGAGAGAGAAAAGGAATCAGGTGCCGAAAATGCAACTGAAAGGATGTATCTGCTGGTAACTAGATAAATATTTGGCGCGTTTTATCATTAGATTCCTTCGTCTTATCGGTTATATGGGTGTCGTATGTACGTAAGTATCTCATTTTGATGCTTTATTCTCATATGTCATTCTTTGATTATTTTAATTAGATATTAAAAAGAGCGAGATTCTAAATGTATAGATTAGATGTAATTCCGTCAGGCTTTGCTAATAAAGAATACAACAACGGTTTTTCGATGACTGATAGTTAAAGCAATTGCATCTGTAGTTTTATGCCGCATTTGTTGTGATAATTACCGTGCATTGTTTATTAGATGAGTCAAAATGTCTAAAATACGCCGGCTATCAGTTCGTGGTATTCGCAATTTTGGCGATGATAATGAGGACGCATTGTTGCGTTTCTCGTGTCCGATGACGTTGATCCTGGGGCCTAATGGAACAGGGAAAACCACGATCATCGAGGCGTTGAAATATGCTACGACTGGTGAATTCCCACCTGGCTCTGAAAAAGGAAAATCCTTCATACATGATCCTAACTTGGCATCAACTGGCTCGGTATAGCAGATATCAGTCCTGTTGTAGCAATTAGACAATTAAAATTTTATTATACAAATTTGTATCATGATTGAAATATTTCTGAGATCAAAAAAGATATTTCTGAAGGATCTAAAAAAGCCAATTATTTTTAATTTTTCTTATTTTGTATCACATATTGTTTTAGATTAGAGGTGTCGTTAAAGCTGAGATTGTTGATTCTATTGGTAATATGTATACAGTATGTCGAACAATTGAGTCCATGAAAACAACCAAAAAATTCAAAACTCTTGATAATACTTTAACCAGAATAAGCAAAGATAAGAAAGAGGTGAGTGTTTAGCTATTTTTATAGATTATTATATTTTTTAAATTCATTTATTTCGATTTTCTGAATATAGAAAACATCGATAACCAATCGATGTGCTGACATTGATGCTGAACTCAGCATAGCATTGGGTGTTTCAAAATCTATTCTGAATTATGTAATATTCTGCCATCAAGATGAATTTAATTGGCCATTTGATCAAGGAAAAACATTAAAAGATAGATTTGACGAGATATTTGACAGTAAAAAGTTTAACAAAGCTTTGGAAAACATTGGGAAGCTCTATAAGGAGTTACAAGTAAATATTCGAAGCCTGACTGCAGAGAAAGAATCTTGTAATATAGTGGTGTCTGAGGTAAAGTCTAGAGAGACCAAACTTAAAGATTATAAGCAGAGACTTAACACTACAAAGGAAAAAATAAATGTTATTGATAAGGAGTTGGAATCCTTGCAACAAAAAATCAAAGACATGGAACAGTTACATTCAGAATACAAGAATATACAAGCTGTTGAAGGTGAGTTAAATAAGAACTTGTGCGTAGAATACAACTAATAAAACGAACATGTTACTTTTTTATAGAAAAGAAGAAGATGGAGTACACAATGCTCAAAGAACGATATGTGAAACTAAGAAATACTGTAGAAAATATTTTTGAAGGAACAACAGAGGAGTTAAATGTTCATATACAGTCGTATGATTCCATATTGAAGGAGAAGAACAATGAAATAACGGAGGTACAATGTTGATGAATTTCTATTCAAATTTCTAGGTATATATTTCGATATATTCATGATTGTATGCACTGTTTCATTGATTTGTTGTTTTTAGAATGAAGCAGAGATCGAAGATATCTCTACGAAAGAAGCCAGGATCTCGAATATCTTGGCAACGCGCAGGGAAACTGTGGGCACATTGAAACAACAAGTAAAAGATCAAGAAAAAAGGATAATTCGTCGTAATCAGTTATTAGACGATGCACTGAGGGTCTGTGGGTTGGACACGGTGGGACCGGACGTGTCCGAAATAGGTATTTGAAAAATAACTTTGAGGATTAGTCACGTATAGAATTTTATGATATTTAACGAATGTATCATTGTATAAAATTCTTCATATAGAGGTAAAAGCTCTTACTAAAAGATTGGAGCAAAAAATGCGGACATTGGAACGAAAATTGGAGGAGAATCGATCGGCCATGCAGAGGCAGGAGGAAAAGTTACAAAAGGAGCTTGATAAGGTGCGTAGCAATCATTCGAAAATAGAATCCGAAAAAATCCTCAAAGAGAAGGAAGTAACCGAGATAAGAAATGACGTCACTGCGATTCGGAATCAAATAACACAGGTTGGTACATTTCTGCTGCACATCAGAAATGTTTAGTTTTCCAATGGGAATTTTGCTTCAATTTCTGTTTTCTTTTTTCATAGATCGGTGCGGCGGGAAATAAATTGAAGTCTCTTGAGGAAGCACTTCAAACAGCGAAACAGAGAATAGATGACATCAGCAAGATGTTAGACGTGGACTCTGTTAAAGCCGATATTAAAAGCAAAGTAAAATCCAGAGACAAGATCGAGGAAAGTTTAAGTGCGGTCGATGATGAAATTTCCTCCCTGCACAAATTGAGCTCGTTAACGGCGGAATTTGAGTTAAAGAAATCGACCTTGCAAGCTAAAGAGGAAGAGTTCGAGAATCTGAAGAGAAAACATGGCGAGGATATTAAAACATTGTTAAACGTTCCAGAACTGCAGCACACGAAATTGAGAAGTTCCTTACAACGTGTTCATCAGCAGTTAGTACGTATTAACGTTTATATGTTTATTTCTTAATGTTTATATAGTGCTTATGCAATTGTATTTATTACAAACTCTAGGAAAAAGAATCAAATTCCTTAACACGTGAGATACAAGCGCAGGAACGCAGAACTACTGCTCTTGAAACAACAATGCGGCACATGGAATTTGACATTGCGAAGAAACGGACAGAATTTGAACGTAAGAATTTTCTTGGGGGGTTTTTTTTTTTCATTTTACGTTATTGATGTATAATATTGATTATATATGTGTATGTGTAGTTACTTTGAATATTTCATTCTTCAGGTGATAAGCAGAAAATATCTGTAGTGTGCGATTATAAAGATTTCGACGAAACTTTATTAATGCAATCAAAGATAGTCAAGGATCTTCAGGATCAGAGAGGAGTTTATGCTTATCAGGCCACAGCTTACAAGGAATACATTAAAAAGCTTTCCATGAAAGATCCTTGCTGCCCGTTGTGTCATAGAGATTTTCAGGAGCAAAAGAAAGTTACAGAGCTAATAAAAGAAATGGAAAGCGATATAATACGTAATCAGCCAAGCCGTTTAAAGAGATGCGAAGAGGAATTGAAGACTGAACAGAAGAAATATGACAATATGCTACAGTTGAAACCTATCGTCGAGAAGATCATTCAGTGTGAAGAAAATGACTTAAAGAAATTAGAGTGAGTGTATTCAACTTGTGTATTATGTCATTCATATTTCACGTTTTACATTGCTACATAATACTTGGTAATTACAATTTTCCTTTCAATTAGCGAGAGGTTGGAGAAAACGAAGAATAATCTAACGCAATCGAAGATGTGCGTTAAGACTTTAGAAGGGTCGAAAGCAGAGCCCGAGAAGAAATTGATGCTGTGGAAGAATATCATCGGCGATATTCAGCTCTGGGATCGATGCGTAGATGAGATACGGCATCTGAAGACTACCGTTGACAACATGCAAACTCAAATGGCCAATGCAGGTGACGTTTACGACAATTCATAACAAAAATTCAGGATTATCGAGTACTCTCTCCCTCATTTTCATACGTAACCTTTTCTCGCAGGTATTCAAACCCAGAGGACCATGGAAGAAGCACAAACGCAACGAGAACAACTGAAGAAGTCCTTCAAAGAAATTCGGAGTCACATCGAAAATTTGCACCTCAAGTTGAACAAGCACAACGAGAAATTGCAGGATGCTAGGGCGACGTACAACGAGTTGCACGAAAAGCAGTTGCAAATACACTCAGATATGCAGAAACTGAAGCACTTGAAGGATAAGCAGGAAGATCTGTACACGCGAGAGGTCAACGTGGCAGAAGCGGTAGAAAAATTGCGGGAAGATTTGATGGTCGTCGAGGATCAATTGAATTCTAGTATACAGATATTGGAGAAAACTAAGGTTTGCTCTTTTGCTTTTCTCGACCAAACCAATTGTTTTAGATTTTTTACATATAATTATATATATATATATATATTCATTCCTATCTTTTTTTATAGATTATCTTATAAATATAATTGAATTTAAAATAAATATGGATATTTTATTATTTATATATAGTTATAGATTTATACATTATATAATTATATATGACTACATGTAATCTATAGAATTCGAATGAAAGTATATACCAATGAATTGTGAAAACGCTCTTTTATTGCAGGCTGAAAATTGGCAGAAGCAGGAGACTGATAGGAAATCAGTAGCGGAAAATACCAGACGTTTGTCCGACTTACACAACATAATAGATGAAGTTGAGTCATTCATCAACAGCAACGTGTCCGAGAAACTCACGAGCTATGAACGCGACATAGAGACTCACCAGAAATCGTTGGCAGAACTCACGAACCTGCGGAAGAACGTGGAGCAAACAATTGGCAAACTGAAGGAGGATGTCGCCACTCAAGAAATCAAAAAGAGAGAAATGCTCGACAACATGACGTTGCGCGAGACCAAGGAAGGAATGGAGACGTTGAAAGAAGAACACCGGCAGTTGGCTTTGCAACTGAAGGACATGAATTACAATGAAATATCGACAAAATTGAAGATGTTAGAAAACGAGAGACAGACGACACTTCGTCAGGTAAGCGACGCGTTTTTGGCATACATCGATCGTTTACTAATTAATAATCTACATGACCTCTTTTTATCTTTACTTTTTTTCAGAGAAACGTATCTCTGGGCAAACAGGAGGAGCTGGAAAGAGTGATCGAACAGTACACACAGGAACTGCAGAAGGAAGTATATCGACTCGCTCGTCGCAATTACACTGACAAGTGTATCGAATTAGCGGTGAAGTATCATATACGAAATAGCATACGTCTCGGTATATTCGAACTAGACAACTCTGTACACTGTACTGAGATACGTATGTCTCACCTTCTGTTTAGGTTGAAGAAGATACGATAGCCAACTTGAAGGCTTACAGTCAGATTTTGGATGCCGCGATGATTGAGTATCACGAGGAGCGCATGGCGACGGTCAATAAGATAATGAAGAAGCTGTGGAAGCATATTTACAAAGGCACGGATACAAGTAGCATACAAATCCGCACGGAGCCAACGGATGGTGTAGGCAGCAACAGGAGGAGCTACAACTACAAATTGATTCAGACTAAACACGGCTGTGAGATGGACATGAAGGGACGCTGCAGTGCCGGGCAAAAGGTAAAATTTTATTCAATTCGAAATAATTTTATTAATCTTCATCTCATTAAAATATTTAACGTTGAATCGCCTGTGCGTGTACTAACAAGTAACAAAATAGCATTATCTTAATCGATTTTTACAGGTGCTAGCATCGATCATCATAAGACTCGCCTTGGCAGAAACGTTTTGCAAGGATTGTGGTATACTCGCCTTGGATGAACCAACGACGAACTTGGACGAAGAGAATGCAAACAGTTTGGCGGATACGCTCACCAAGTATATGTGACCATTATTATGTGAGACGTGGAATTCTTATATAATGTAACATAACACGCGATATTTTGCAGAGTGGTGGAGATGCGATCGAAGCATCAGAAGAATTTTCAGCTCATCATAATTAGCCATGACGAGAAGTTCCTGCAAAAATTAGCTGATCTAAATAATCATAAGAAATTTCACGAACTTTATCGCAAACAGAAGTACGTTGTATAAAGGTGTTCTCGTTCTCTATGGGGTGCTAAATTGTCAGACATTAGCAACTTCTTTTTTTATAGTGGATTGACCGCCGTGAAAATATCCGACTTCAATGAACCTACGAATTCCTTGATGCATATCAAGGACGAAGACGAATCCGATGAAGAGGAACGGCATCGTCTTCCATCGAGAGATCTAGATACGGACACGGCCAGTACATCGAATAGAAAACGATACAATTGGGACGATTTCAATGATGAGGAGAGGCCCGCTAAGAAGAGATATTGCTTCAACGAATAATCAAAAAACGTGTATTTCCTTTTATTATTCTCTAAATTTAAATGCCATATGTATGTCCTATTATATAATATAAAAATTATATTTTTTATTTTTAATGTTTTCGTGATGGTTTGTCAAAATGTACATGTAATATGTTAATTTATTCTTACAGAAACGGAGAAAAAGAGAACAATTGTACGCATAGTTGTAAGGTGTTAAAAAATACCTCATATTATAAATAAATATAAAGTATGTTTTATATGATACCTTAAATGTATGATAAGTGTCAATATTTTTTGCCAAAAATCTTATCATATGATTGAGCGAACGATAACTACGATGATTTATGGTCGTTGTATCAGTTTTATGTATTAGAATTCGCATGTGATTGTATTAAATTAAAAAGTAATGTTATAATTTTCGTAAATCTTCTTTATGTACCTTATGTACAGTAAAATCGAAGGGGTGACCATCTTTCCTCGATAGTATAGTGGTTAGTATCCCCGCCTGTCACGCGGGAGACCGGGGTTCGATTCCCCGTCGAGGAGTAGTGCTACTGAGCCTATATACTTTTGCTTTTTTTTTTCATCGTTCTTAATTTTTGCCTTAATATTCCACATTTTGTTGTAACACATAAATGTAGAAGCATCAGATATCATTTGGAAAGAGGCACGCAATTAAGAATAAATAGTATATTCAACTTATAGCAATATAGAGAATATCGACACCTCTTCGACGGCGTGATAAGCATTTTCATCGAATTTGCCGAGATGACGCCACACGATCGAATGAGATTCACCGCTGCATTGATGAAGATGGCGCATCCGCGAGGCGACTCGATAACGCCGTCGATATATCTCGATCGCCATTGCGAGATGTCGTCGCTTCGAATAGAAGCGATCGTTCATTTCGAAGGCGGCTCGCACCGAATTCGAAGCAGAACGGAGCCTCCGGGAAGTCGGCTACTGCTCTTGGCATTTGGTTACGTAAGTTTCACTTCAATGTACGTATCTTCGTCTCACGAGACCGCACTTTAGACAAGATGTCGTCGAAATCTCGCAAGACTCGCATGTACGACTCGCGCGTGCGACACAACCTTAAATTTCTCAATTTTACGTCAACCTCCTCCCAGCGAGACGAGAAACATAAATCGAGTCAAGTTGCTCACGAGCTTATCGCGACGAGAACGCCGGGAGAGCGCGATCGACCGGCCGATTGAAAATCGTCGAAACCAAACGAAATGTAGCGCAACGCCGAATCAATCGGGAAGTTAGCCGCGGGCTAACGTTCCCCGATATTGTCTGTCGCACTCGCCCTCCCTCTCTCTCACGGCCGGGTACGACGCGTCTAGATGATAACCGTTATAGTTAGCGCGAGTTATCGCGAATCGTTGGCGAACGCGCCTGCGAAACGGGCGAGCCGGGCGGCATCGTAATAAACGGTAGCTCTCGACTCTCGTTGCCGCTGCCGCTGCTCGGGGAGCCGTAACGTCATAATAGAATAGCGATGTTAGTAATACCATCGCGCGCGCGCACGGCGGGCGCGCGCGACTGGAGGCAAGCGGCCGGGCGATTGACTGGCCCGGCGCGGCATAGCGAGTCTAACCAATTTGCATCGCATTGTGTACTCGTTACGCCTCCATCTGCGCGCTCCCGCTCTCGCATGAACGCACGAATATACGCCGCTTGCGGCCGAGGCGGCGGACGGCGACGGCGTCAGCGACGGCTCGACGCGCGCCGGCGCCCGAGCGCGATCTCGTCGCCATGGGATCCCGCTTCTGCTGCTGTCCGCGAGAGCCTTCACCGTGCGAGTCTTCGACTTGTAAATCGGGGAGCTGGTTAGAGTCGATCGGGGTTGATGACGGTAGACTGAGAGAGAGAGAGAGAGAGAGGGAGAGAGGGAGAGAGGGAGAGAGAGAGAGAGAGAGAGAGAGAGAGAGAGAGAGAGAAAGAGAAAAGAGAGATGTAGATGCCTCGTTTCTTCCTCATGTTGGTCAAATTTGTGTTTATGGCTTTTTTGAAGACGATAAAGATGTGGGATTTCCCAGGGAATGATTATGGGGATCTTTGAAAGGTCGATCGTTGTGATAATAAGATTCGTATGCAATTATATATAGTATCGAGTGCCATTAACCGCCGAACGGTGTCGGGGAGGGCACGAGCGGTCGCGATGGCGCACCGCGTGCGCCTTTGGGTTTTCGTCGAAACAGCGCTTGTTGAATGTTTCTACGGGTGTTTTATTAAATTTCTTTGTTATCTTTATATTGTATTATATCTATTTTATTTTAATTCGTGGACAATGTGAGAAAGGCTCTCAAGAGGTTTAGAATTTCTCTCCAAATTTTCTGGAGAACTTTCGACCACGTGTAACGTTCGGAGCGTGTTTTGTTTCGCGTCGGATCAGACAAAATTTTCAGGCAGAATCGAACACAGGAGCGGATCCAGATGGCCTCGATCAAGCCGGTACTGGGCGAACGGCGTCGCCGTCGCCCTCGTTCCCTCGTCGTTCCGGGCATCCCGACGGCGAAACCGACCGCCGCACCGTTCCAGCAATCAGCGCCCTGGGAGAGCCGTGGAAACCGCGGAAACCCCCAACTCTATTATCGTTTCTGGCATCGTTATCGTTATTAGCCGCTCCATCGCCCGGCCATCGTATACCGGAGAGAGAGAAAGACGGAGCGATAGAATGAGAGAGAGAGAGAGAGAGAGAGAGAGAGAGAGAGAGAGAGAGAGAGAGAGAGAGAGAGAGAGAGAGAGAGAGCGACTCGCTCCAACTACCGCTTGGTTAGCAGCCAGACCAGCAGCTCACCGTGTGCTCCCTGAACCCGCGTTCTAAGGGTTGAAGCTTGTACTTTCATAGAAAAACTCTAACGTTTTAATTTACAAGTAACTTTGATAGACTTCTACGTGAGAGCCGATGGTGACGATAATTAATGGCCGACACTCTCGATCGTCAGCCCCTCGAATACACGTTGGAAGGGTTGAAGTTCGCATTTCCATTGAAAGACCTTTAACTCACGGCTAAATCTGACGGATATACTTCTCTACAAGTTAGTAAGAAATTAGCCACCGATACGTTCAATGGTGTGCTTAAAAACGAACCAACGCGCCTCGCGCGGAGACAACAATAAATAACACCTTCGCCTTTGCCGCACAAACCGCGTCGTCCCTCGCCTCGGTCGCGAAGCGAGCCGACACACGTTCGCTCGTTCGTTCGATTGATTGATCGCGTTGTTGTGCCACCGAGATGCGGTGTGATGTTGACTCGCGACCGGGATATCTCGTCGAAGCAATTGGAGAATAGAATCGTGCAGCGAGACACACAGAGAAAGAGAGAGAGAAAGAGAGAGAGAGAGAGAGAGAAGATCCCCCCTCGCCAAGCATCTCCGGTGCGCTTTGATCTCTTTCTCGCGCTCCTGATTCGACCCCTCGGCAACCCGAGCGAGGGACGGGGCGACGAGAGAGAGTTCGTCCGTCCGCGCCCCCTCTTCAAAATATCAACTAAACGATAACCGTATTTATTATTCATTCGACCGCCTCCCTCTCACCCTATCTCTCTCCTCTCGCTTTCGCTCTCGCTTTCGCTCTCGCTCTCGCTCTCGCTCTCGCTCTCGCTCTCTCCCTCCGTCTCTCTCGCGCAGCCCGTCCGCCCACCCGCTCGCCTCTGCGCGTCCCCAATTTTACAAAGTAGTTTTTCAAAGAATTCCTGCGAGCGGCCTGCATCGCCCATGAGACAGCGGAGGCAGTAAGGGCTGAAAGTGCTCGGATCATGAGCCGTGGGAGGGCTCTCTCGGCTCTCCTCGGGATTATCATACTCGATACGATATCCTTAAGAATAAGCGATAAGGATAACCGTCTATATTACTGGGCGGAGGACGCGTCGCGAGATATAACTATAAATTACCGCTCCTGCACAGAACCGTGTCTCACCTCGCAGGCGCGTCCTCAGCGGGCACGCGGGGCCCGATTTTGCGCGCGGAGCTCTTCTTGGCAACTCGACGACAGTTCGACCGCACGTGAAGATAGAATAAACGAAAGACGAGATCGAGAAGCGAGAAGAGCGGGTGCTTGGGAAGGGAAAGATTCGCACTCGCCGCGGCGCGGGGGACGGAGGGAGGGAGAGAGGAGAGCGATACGCCGGCGAATCGAATTGACGCGGGCAGAATTGAAGCGCGTGTACTCGTCTCGGTTATTTCGGCGGAAATCGAGTCTGGAAAATCCCTCCCCACCCATCGCGCTCGCTAGACAACGGGGGGTAGGAAAGAAAGACGCGCGGGACGGATCGGGTTATCGAGATTAACGCGAATGCATCGGAGCCGCGCGCGCGATCGGAGGATCGAAGGCGGCGGCATCGTTCCCGTCCGTCCAATCCGACGATATCAATTACTTCGCGTTCGACGTTGTGTTCCGATATCAAAGCGGATTAAACCAGCGCCCGGCGGCCCTCGAGAATCTCCATTTAATACTGATTCGGAATCGCGCCGTACAGTACACACATGTACACACATATGTGTGCGCGACACGTACACTTATACACGGTGTCCCAAGCGTCGCGATCTTAATTTTGCCCGGAGGTCCTCCGAGCAATTTGGAGACAGCTCTTCCTCATCAGAGATATCGGGGGCAGGGGGGGGGAAATGCCATTACACACGAGGACCGTTCAGTTGTCAATGGTAATAGTTTTCGCGACTTGCGACCAAACGGAAGTAAGCTTTCGTCAATGTTTGCGTGAAATCGGTCGAGAAAAGAATTGCGTTGTCCGTTTGATCGCTCAAAGTTCAACTCGCGGAGAGCGACTGCTCGTTTGATCTTTTGTATATTTCGAAGACTATAACTAACGAAAAGTGAACTTTTAGGCTGGTATTCACAATCAGATTTTACGTTTAAGAGAGTTCGTCCTGGGCTCATCTGCGGATTCCTCGTTGCCAACGGGACGGCCCGTGCTCAAGATAGACTTAAGACAATCTATAAGAACCGACTGTGTGAATACCTTGGCTTGGAATTGCTCGGAGAACCTCTCGG